CTGGATGGACATATGTATGTATGAAGAGGACACTGGCTGCTTATCTATTCTGCTAGTTGTGTTCTGCGCAACTACGCTGATGATTACGTCGTGTTCAGTGCTGTACGTATAGCGAGGTCACCATTCGGAGCCGTTCAATTGCGCTTTGATGTCAGGCGAGAGGTGAGTCAGTATGTGTCACTGGGGAGACAAAGGCGGTCGGGCTTGGTGCTGGCCACCCACCCCCTCGTGTGCCGTGCCGGCCTTTATAAGTGCTCGCTAACAGCACTTGCTCCAAGCCTGTTCAGGCGACAGGGGGGGATCTTTGTCTTTGTGTGTTGATGTGAGTCAGTTGTCTATTTATGTGTTTGTCAGTGTGTGGTGAGCGGTGGCGCAGTGGTTAGCGCACTGCGCTTCGAACTCGGCGAGTTAGAGTCCCACTCACGGCCAACATCGTTGACGAATATCTGAACTGCTCCGAAATCTTCCCTAGGCCGACTCAGCCTCACATGGGTGCTTGGTGCGATGTGTTAACATCGCCGCCGGGGAGACAAACGAGACCGTGCGTGGTGCTGGCCACCCAGAGCCACGTGTGCCGTGCGAGCTAACGCCACTTGCTTGCTATACACGGCTCGGCGATCTTCGTGCGCTGTGCGATATATCAGTCGCACGTGCCTTGTGTATACTGTTGGATCGATGGCCAATGTTGATTTGAGATGTTATCGAAGTGATCCGATTAACGCCTGGCAGCAGTGGTAACGACCGGGCACAGCGTCGAGGCGCTGTCTTGTGATGACTGCACGGAGCAGGATAAGAGTTTAAAAGCCACTGTGCCCCTGTCAACGCATAACACATTTACACACTGCACGTGCAATGGAGGGTGCTTGTGTGTACTGTAGTATCTTGACTTAAAGCTTTCGTGACTGCAGGAATTCATATTCTATATATATAGGTGATTTGAACCTATATCTACGTGACTTTACCGAAATAATATGTACTGCGGTATATGTGTTGTATATTGTGAGCTCTACGGAGGCAATGCAATTGCGACTCGCTTGCAACGTGTAATCAAATTTTCCCTTCATCCGGAAACATCCTCGCTAAGTTTTGTAAGCTCAAAGAGTGTTGGGGATAAGTGCCCTTAGCGCAGTAGCTACTCGTTTGAGACTTTAGTAGACCTAGAGGATGCCCAGAATCGGTTAATATAATGAAATTAAAAAGTAAAACTCCATTATTTTTTGTTTGCCACTGATGTTAGCCGCGGGTCTGGATTCGAACTCAGGGATTCCTGATTTGTAGCGTGCTACGCCAACGCTCTACCCCCACGTACACACACACAAAACAACAATCAACACTCAATTCAGAGAAGAGCGCATTTATTATTCCATTTGCCAACCATAATACGACTCAGAAAGCTTATAGAGCTTTATATATATAAAAAACCTTTATTTTCAATGTGCGATTATGGCATGGGGAGCGGAGGGACGGGAGAAATATGCGGGATTGTTCAAGTTAATTTGGTTGAACCAGGCGAGAATTCACGAGATCAGGATTCCGGTGTGGGGATGTGGAGGCGCGGTGATGTATGAATGCTCCTCGAAGCAGGGTCCCATCCGAATCTTCTCAGATCTCCGCGGATCCTTTCAGAACTACCCCTGGCGCCCAGTTCCCCGCAAACCACGGCATCCCCACTCAAGTGTTGCGCCTGCACGCTTGCGACCGACAGGAATACTGTGACCACTCGCGCATAACGATCCCCTAAATTTTTTAAATTAATTTCAGCATCGTCGGAGAACAGGCAAATATTCCCACACCAGGCACACCGTATCCAGTATACGTGCCGCTCTCTATGTGACATGTCCTTTCTCAAAGACGTCAGCGATCGTTGGCCTTCTCATTAGCTCTGCCCGTGGTATTGCTCAAGAACGTTGCATTTGATCGGTGTTCTTCAATTGCAAGACCCGCGGACTACTGGAGGCCCCTGGTGGCCTTTAGTGCGGGCTCTGACGTGCGGCCCCCCCCCCCCACAATACGCACAGAGTGACAACAACCCCCAATCATCATCAGCATCGTGCTGCTGTCAAACCCAACAATGGTTGCGAATGTGTGGCGGCGCTCACACTGATGTCTTTTTAGGCGAATGTGGTGCCCCCTCTGAAACCTAATGTGAATAACACTGCGTTAGATAATCTCAGTCACATCTCATTGCAAGTCAGCAGGTGGTAACTCAGTGCATACTATTCGCGATCTGATCCCATCTGTGAAGGACAAGATTTCTGACATGAAATATCCCGGTGTCTACAAACTAAGCTGTATCTGCGGCAGCAGTTACATTGGGGAAACTAATCGACATGTCTCGGACCGTGTTCGTGAGCATAAGGCAGATCTGAAACACGGCAGGACCAATACTTCTGCCGTTGCTGATCATTACTTTAATGCGGCTGGCTCAAATGACATTGATTTCTCTCTTTGCAAGCCGACTGTCTATCCACAACGATTCGTTCACGAAGCCATCCATATATACAGACACAGACAATTTCAACCGAGACGACGGTTATAAACCCGGCTATCATTGGAAAGATGTCATCAAGCACTTTGGGTCATGACTTGATTTGTGATTTCTTGTCAATCTCTACCGTCAGCAGTGTGGATGGGTGTAGCGAGGTGCAATGCCCCCCCCATCTCTACCCCCCTCTCTCCCCCTATCTCTACCCCCCTCTCTCCCCCTATCTGTACCCCCCTCTCTCCCCCTATCTCTACCCCCCCCTCTCTCCCCCTATCTCTACCCCCCCTCTCTCCCCCTATCTCTACCCCCCTCTCTCCCCTTATCTCTACCCCCCCTCTCTCCCCCTATCTCTACCCCCCTCTCTCCCCCTATCTCTACCCCCCCTCTCTCCCCCTATCTCTACCCCCCCTCTCTCCCCCTATCTCTACCCCCTCCCTCCCCCCATTGTCTACATTAGTCACTGGCTGCCCCGCCCATGCTGTTTACGCCACACAGCTTTCCTTGCTGCTGCCTCGCCACTCGAGGTCCTCCGCCCACTCACAACTTTGGCAGCCCTTAGAAGCAGCTGCATTTGGAGGCTTGCCCCCTTTTTTCTCTCCGCCTGATGAAGACCGCTTGTGTTGCGATCGAAACGTCGTGGGCGGTTTTTTTTTGCTTTTATTTTATTTTTATTTGATATCTACGTGACTTTACCGAAACAACCAAAGAATACACAGAATAAAGGTGGTAACTCATTTTAATTGTCTTCTCTGGCATGGAGTCTCTTGTTATCTCGGTCCACGTGTCATTGTGGATGTAGTTACCAGTCATGCCAGCAACTCCGGTCTAACCAGCGACCCCAGGAATAGATGCAGTGAGAAATTAAGCCCTGATCTCTCTCACTACCCCAGCTCCTCGCCACGCACATCGACGCAGCCCGCGTGAATGCTTAACCCGTAACGCATTGCCTCGCAACTCATGGTGACGCCACACAGTAGATGGTGTTGTATCACAAACGCATGCGAACACTTGTAAGGGCTATGTAGTATTGGTTGGCGCGTTGGCTCTCGGGGCTAACGAACGCCACTTTAGAGACACTGAGCCAGGCATCGCTAAGACCTCGAATTTGAATCCTGATGTCAGCCAGCTGTGATTAAACCACCGGGTTTTCAAGTTCATGGAGTACATGACCTCAGCCAGGACATGCTCCCTGGACAGAATGCTTCCTCCACTCCGCTGTCCGGATATGGAACTGCCTCCCTGATGAACACATTGTTGGCGAGATCACTGATTCTTGTCTCCAGGCCTTCAAATGCCGAGCACATGGACATCTCTTAATCTCACCACGCGCCTTGTAGGAGTGAGTCTTTGAGTTGCAGTGAACCAGTGATTACGTCCATTAGACGTACTAATGTCTGATATGGCTGTTGTTCACAATACACCCAATAAAAAAAGAGTCCTGGTTACCTATTTGACTGCACAATAATCCGTGAATTTAATGCGTATTCCAGCTCTGTGGGTTACGCGTCGTTCTCTCTCTCTCTCTGACACACAAGACGGTGCAACACTCCTTACTCGCTCCGATAATTTCGGACGCGCGAAAGGTTTTCGGGCGTCGCATCTGACACGACGTGGATGGCGCAACCCGGAAAAAACAGACGGTGTGTACGTTGCACGTCTTTCGCACCGTGCGTAGCCAACCGTGCTAATTGGACAGTGTAAATAAAGGGTATAATGACCAAAGCAGGACCCTGAGACTCAGTGCGGGGGCTTTCCCGGATAAGTAGCTCGCACGGTCGTGGCCTTTAAAACGCAACAGACTCCTAGACTTCATGGTTACGTACTTCGTGTTTTATTTATTTATTCTTAAATATATAAACAATGAAAAGTAACAAGTCCGCGGAACGCGAAACGATGCGCGCACAGGTCGTTGGATTAAAAACGACAACAAAAACTTCGACAGCAGCGACTTAAAGCGTAGGGGGTAAAAGCCACAACAAAGTAAATTAATTCAAATAGGCATCTGGAATTGTGTATGTGGGGCGTGGGGACCGGTGGTGCAGCGGTTAGCGCGCTGCGCTAAGAACCTGGCAACCCGAGTTCGACTCACGCTCACGGCCAACACCGGTGACGATTATCTGAACCTGTCCCATAGGTCGACTCAGCCTCAAATGAGTACCTGGTGCGGTGTGTAAACATCGTCACTAGGGAGACAAAGGCGGCCGGGCCTGGTGTTGGCCACCCAACCCCCGTGCTCGCTAACAGCACTTGCCCCAAACAGCCTTACAGGCTACACGGGGGATATTTGTCTTTGTGTGCGGTATGTTACTGAAGGCAATCGGGCCCACAGTGGCAGAGAATGCAGCGAAGGTGACGTGGCCCAGCGGTAGGTCGTGCGGTCTCTTCGCAGTGGACGGCGACGCATTCCCCGGCGTGAGTCGCAAGTGTGAGCCATTTGTGTGTCCATGCGTCGAAAATGAGCACTGCAAATGACTCAATGACCCGCGGGAATCATCGAAACTCTCCCCCTTCTCCCTAATGGCACACGAACACCCCAGGTCGCTCTTGCAAAGGAGACACACCCTGGTTACGTAAAAAAAATACGCTTGAAACTTGAACATCGCAGCGTGTGGGTGTGAAATTCAGTTTAAACAACAACAAAATACGACTTAGTTCCAATGCCAACGTGCAAAAAAAATTATTTCACAAACCGGCCAAGATCGACTTAGCCAGCACATCATCATCATCATAATTACATCATTATCATCACCATCCCTCCATCGGTCGGTTAAAATGAGTACCACCTAATGAAGATTGGCGCGTGGTGAGTCAACAGTGGCGGTTCTATGGATATACTGCTCCCCGCCATAGGATTGTGGAATTTTCACCTATAGGCCCATGTTTGGTAATAAAATAGCCGCCTTATGGAATGAGGGGGGAGGGCCCTATGTCCAGCCAAGTGGCAAAGGTCATCGACGAAACACGACCACCGTAAAATAATATGCGCAATTTTACAAAACGGAAACAAATATAGGTAGCATTCAATAATCGTATAGACATTAAAATAACACAAAAAAGAGAAAATATAAGAGAGCACATCATTACATCGTCAACGTTGTGTGTGTGTGTGCATAAAGACGCGCCTGGCGATCAATGTGCATTCTTTAAAACCGCCAACGTGTTAGGCATAAACCCATAGCCTTGTATCTATCAGAGTAAAAACATTTTTGCTGAAAAACAAAGACCATTTGCATATTTTCCCACGTGAAAACTTGATCTGATTGATTGTCGGGTTGCATGTTGAACTTCTTTTGCACCGTACGTAGCCAACCGTGCTAATCGGAGTTGCGGAAGAAGATGGAGGGTTATAGTGAAAAAGATTACATTATGCCTGCACGATCTAACTCAAAATAATTAGTTGTGTTTATATGCAATACCATTTATGGTGTTCTTCAACTCAAAATCTTAAATCTGCAAAACAGTGTCCAATCCTTAACACGTAGGGGTTTTTCACAGCCGATACACAGATATGGTGATCTGGAGAAATGTTATCTCAGACCGTCAAAATGCATTCGGTTATGAGAATTGTTTACCGGTTAACTAATTTCTTTAGCTCTTTTATTATTTTATTGTTTCCCTTCAACGTGACTTTACCGAAAGAGCTAAGAATATGAATTACTGCAGTCACGAAAGCTTTAAATCAAAATTAAATTTCTTTAGAACTCCTGCGTGTGTATTGCGTGTGTTATCTATCCTTCCCCCGCACCTCTGATTAGCACTTTTGGCAACATACGGTGCGAAAGAATTTCAACATACTGCATAATCGGTGCATTGTTATACGCTTGTCCAGTGCCCGACAATTTGTTTGGTTTTGTAGAGTGGTGGAGGGCAACATTTGGAGAGATCCTAATCACCACGTTGTCCTGTATCCAAAACCCAACTATGAATCGGTGTGCCGCACCATCCACCAAACCCCATCCAACACACACAACTCAGCCGCAATAATGTGCGTGTAACGTGGGAAATTGGTGAAACGTGTATGTCAGTTTAAGCTGAAAATAATGTTGCGAAGATCTCCCGCTGCATAGTACGAGAACCTTTGGAAGTCGTTAAATAACGAGATGCAGTTTCAAGCGGTTTCGAGCGAGCGAACGCACGCACGGAATACAAAATCACCGCTGGCCAACAGCGGAGAATATCCGACAACGACCCTATTCTCCGGATAATAAAACGCACTTATTTCCCCTGTATTTTATATGAGAACATTGGGGCTGCGTCTTATAACCCGGCGTGTGTGCGCGTACGTGCCTGACCAGATTTGCATTACTTTACTTGAAACCACGTGCACGTTTGGGTCTTACTTTCAGCGGGGCGTCTTATAATCCAGAAAATACGGCAAATCATTTACTGCAACGGAGCATGCTAGAAAAAAAAACCCCCACAATGGTCACGTTTTCAGCCCACAGATGGCTTTATAAACTCCATTTACAAATATAAATTGCAGAGGGCAATACATTTAAAGATACCCCATTAAAGTCAGAACTACGGAATATCGGGTAAAAAAACACAACAAATTACTCTACACGTGTCCCAGAAATCTCCGCATACTCTCCCGATACACTTTGCCCAACATAATAGGTGCGATTTACCTCCAAGAAACTAAAGAGGAAGATAATTATTCGAAACAGGTGTGGAATCCATACACGGCTCACCCTACGTATACAAACTGGATATCTATACTGTTAATCTGTGGGCGAACAGTGGTGAGCACACTGCACTGCGTACACGGCGACCTGAGTTTGAATCCTGGCCACGGCTAACATCAGTGACGAGTCACATCTGAACAATGTTCCTGTCTCCCCCCCCCCCCCTCTTCCGCCTCCACTTCACCCCAACCTGCACTGACCAGCGTGGTGAAGTATGGTCAAAGAGCCCTCCTTGACCGACATGGCATGTAATCTCGCAGTGGTATTTTTTTTTTACAACTTAATTGAAACGTTGCGTGAAAGTTATGGGCGTGCTGTCTCACAATGCTCCCGTTATTAGCATCCTCACGCAAATATATACACAGGTGAATATCCAGACCATCATCATCTCTCGGGATGTTAAAAGCGACCGCCGCTGGGTGTCTCCTGGTGAGAGGATGAGCTACGCCGTAGGATAGTCGACAGCGGTCATCTTGTACGGAGAAACGTTCTTGGCGTGGTAACGGCGAGTTTCCGTAGCTTGGCTCGCGTGGCGCACGCCTGGAGCACGTGTGTGCGTGTGCGCGCGTCTCCGCCAAGCAACCCGTGGATCACCAAGCCGAGATGACCCACGCGAATGAGAACTACGCCTACGGAGCGTCACACCGATTGTTCCACCCCCTCTACGATCGCCACACGTCGAGGGGGGTGGGGTGGGGGGCAGCACACCAACTGGTCACGACGCCAAATACGTCAGCGCGCCCATACGGGCAGCAAAGACATTTGTCACTGGAACGAAAACACATTGCCACTTTTGGAAATACGTTAAATCTGAATGCGCAAATGCAATCTTTGCCACTGTGAATGCCACGTTAAATGCCGTATGCGAGCTCCACTCATGAGTGTTATGCATGGAATTTTGTATTGTTTACCGGATTTCCATTATACAAAATGTAACTGCATTTGCTCTATACAAACGCTATACACCCTCCCTTCGAATGCAAATTGCTTACCGCTTTGGACAGGTCGCCATTGAAACAGCAGAGGCGTCTTAGCTCAATGGGCCTCACTCGAAATCGACCGAGTGACTGACCATTGTACCACTCCTACAGATCACCACCACCCCCTAGACCTGGGCTATAGAAGACAGCCACACTTACAAACGGCAACTCTATAGACCACTACACCATTATATATTACACCACCAGCAAGCGCAACAGACTGGGCATTTATTAAACCACGAGGGAGAGAAGACATAGCGTGTGACATCAGGCACGACGGGCGCCGAGCTGCCGAAATAAATCCGCGGTGTCAAATAATAACAGGAAAACGACGCCAAATTAGCATACGGATTCATTAAAATATATACACACACACTCACTACGTGCGGTCAACACAGCGGGTGGCAGAGTAGGGATGTCCAGTCTAAGTAAGAACGAATTAGATCAGGTCAGGGCGTAATTTCTCTACTAAATATGTCGCGGCTCGCGGAGATGAACTGGAGTCAGTGCCGGATTATCCTCGTAGCAAAAGTAGCTACATATGTGGTAGCTACATATGTAGTAGCCACATATCTAGTAGCTACATACTGTATGTAGTAGCTACATATGTAGTAGCTACGGGCCCCGCACTTTCAAAGGCCCCACGCTAAATGCTTCCACGCTATCAATTCCGTTTTTGTGATTCTGCACTTGCTCTATTACTATAGTACTATACTGCCTTCAACATTTATGACCGACTGGGTGTTTAAGGTGAGCGATTTGTCGTATTATCTGGCTGTATAGAAAATGAAAAAATACAATTACTTTACTATGCAAGTAACAAAAATTGTGTTTTAATATATATTTTTTACATGTAGGGCCCCTTTATAACAACATATGCTACAGGCCCCGCACTAGCTTAATCCGGCACTGATTGGAGTAGGTAGGCACGTGAGGAGTAGCCACCAGAGTCCTGGCGAGATGCATATGGTTGATGTGGTGCGCCGGGCGAAGACATATTCTGGGTTCTGGCATCGACTCGAGTTGGTGTGACGTGACAACAAGTCGTCGCCACAGTCCACAATGAGAGATATTACTGACTGGGGTTGTGGTGTGCCGGGTGGCGTCAATATTTATCGGGGTCTCCGTGATGATTTTCTGCTGGGCATCTGTGAAACTACTGGACATCTGTGCAAAAAGAGCTTCATAGCTCATCAGATTCCTCCAGTATAAATACATATTCTGATGGTCTTGATGAAATTAAGCCCTGGATCCAGTTAACATGTGTTGCTACGATAAACAAAGACCTACATGTGAAAGTCGCAAGACGCGTCCATCAGCCATGTGTTATATGAATGTACAATCGATAAGGTTATATATGTTTGTGTGCTAAGTATCGCAATTGTAAAGTATTACCCTTGTAACAGAGTCGATTAACAGAAAGAAAAAAAAGGGGCCGCCCAAAATGTTTAAATATATACGACACGTCATCGTGAGTTTGACTACTATTCTAAAGTTAACAGGAATGATTTAGGTAAAATATATGTGTGAGAAACAATAAAAAATAAAATTGCTACAAAGGAATCGAGTTATAACAACTATAATAACCATAGAGGACAGAGCAATTACTGGGAACACGTAAAACACCCTCCCCTCCCCACCCACCCACCCACGGACAGAGGGATGCAATGGCTCGGTCAGAGACTGAACTTCAACCCCGCAGGGCTGAGGTGCCTGTTAAGTGGGAAGCGGACGCCAGAGAGGGCCCCGTTAACGAGGCGAGATGAAGGACTCGCTGCTCCGTGCAGCAATGCCAAAGTGTTCATTCAGATATTTCCCCCAGGGTAAAGTACGGATTTTAACTCCACGCTGGTCAATCTCTGCTTTGGTTAAGGGCCATTGCCCAAAACGTCAGCCTGTTATATTTGTGTTCCGCTGCAAGGCAGTGTTTCAGTGACCGACGTAGTGAGTTTGTTTTGAGTTAGACCTTTCCGCATCACCACTTTCAATTTCTATTCGCTCAACAAATGCCCGAATTGTTTGAATTGCAGTAACCCAGAGAATCTCCATTAGATTGGTTGTCATTAGACTTTCACCACCACCACCACTACAACTATGACACAAACCTTCGTGCTGGGCCACTGCTATTGTAACAAATCTATTTTCAATTTGCAAATCCTTTACTTGTCAAAATCCCAATTCCGCGCGGGGGATGCGAGCTGGCCAGCAGATGGCATGACAGCAAGCGGTTCACAAGCCCCATCTGGACTATCTCCTTCCTTGTATCGGTTTTCTCCTACACGAAGCCAAACTCTCAATTATATAGAAATTTAGAAAGAGTAATTGGTGAAATATCCCAGTGCAGCAGGGCCCGCCTTGGCACGGAGTGTTGATACACGGCGGGGCTAATCCCGCGTAAATAAACCACATCGGTATCATCATTGAAATACTTTCCTTGGAACGGGTCCATCAGTGAAATCGAATTTCCACCGCTCTAAGGAACTGATTCCAATCAAATGGAATGACAACCGACTTAGCCGGTCTCGATGAAAGTGAATGGAGATTAATTATATAGCGGAGGGGGGGGGGGGGGCTAAACTGTGATGCAGTTGACGCTGTTGTAGTGATTTTAATATATTAAATAGACTAGTATTCTTCACTGGCAGCCCCTCGTGGCCTATAGTGCGGCCCCTGACAATTCACAAAATGTGAAAACACATCATCGTCATCACCGTGCTGTCAAACACCCAATGGTTTCAATTGTGTGGAGGCCCTCACATTGCCGATGTCTTATTGGCGAAAGTTCCCCCCCCTCCCAGCCCCCCCGCCGCCCTCTGAAAATTAGCGAAGAACACTGAAATAAACCTTCGCATCCTCCCCTTGCGTCGTGCCGCACGGGGGAGACACACGGGTGCGACACGCAAGCGACCCCAGCAAGGGTCAAGAGTTGCGGGGTATGTACGGGAGCTCTGTCCGACATTGATAATTATAATAATATTCCTCTGTGATACGGTCCCTTTAACTTTGGCAATAATAATAATAATAATAAAATACAGGCTGGAACCCGACAGACCAGCCGTGTTGTAACTTAAAATATTTAGGTCAAGCGACACCAACATAAACACGATTGTTCAAATACCCTATCAACCGAAAATGAGCTGCACATCGTCATTATAATTACAATAAAATAATACCGAGGGCGATCCACGTATATCCCCCCCTCCCACTGAAACAAAGGGAGCCAATAATGGAGCAAAACGTCACGTCACGTCACAGTCTCTAGGTGTCCGCCACCAATCCCAACAGAGTACGTCAGTTGATGCCTCACCAACACTCGCTCCTCTCTCACGCCATGGAGCCATCGCTTTACCACATTTCTGCCACCTGTTGAGAGATGCTGAGGCCCATTCGAGATCAGTGGAGGGCGTATCTACGCGTGGATCACCCTGCATGTATATATTTTATCTGGATGTTTTGTGTTGACATCCCTGCGATAGGGTACGCCTGGCCCCTCACATATTGGTGCGACCTTTGAACTTAGCCCCTCTGCTCAGGCCTTGCATGCTGCCATCGTAGTTGACTTTGGGGACGTGAGAGTCATTGATGGGAGCCCCGCTTAAAAAAAATAAATCTAAACTGTCCATCCGCTGCGAATGTGGCCAATACTCAATCTGGAGTCTGATCCGCCATCAGAAACTCCACAGAGACTTCCCCCCTCCCCCCTAAATTAAAGTATGTGGTACATACTCGGTTCCTGAAGCAGCTCCTAGGACGAGGCGCAAAACGTCGGACGTCATTCCGAAACAATACGCGGCAGGACTCCGAACACACATCAAGCGCGTTCTCCACCCTGCAGAAACAAGACCATCTCCCATCCCACGCGCAGCGCTGATCACCTTCAATGTGGCAGTGGCTGTGCGGGTAAATACGGCGCGACCGCACTTGTGGGTTAGTTAATTCAGAGCTGGATAATAAAGTCCACGGTTTATCGAGGGCAGGCAACGGCCAACCCGCGTTAAATGTTACACAACGGGCGCAATGCAATCGTCGATGAAAGATAGACCGCGTTGTGCACAGAGGCGCCAAGCTCTGAACAAACGAATACGACTCGTACAATAATAGGCAAACAGATAAAATATATATAAACAAGTAATTATTTTATATACACTTAAAACGTAATGATAATAAAATGACGCAGCGTGTTCGTGTATATTTTACGGAATAACCCCCCCCCCCCTCTTCCACGAAAAAAGGAAACATTTATAAAATATATATAAAAAAAGAAAACGTGAAATAACATCATTACACGTGTTAAAAAGGGCAGCGAAATAAAATCCACTGTCGCCCGTCCCAACTTGCAGTTGTTGTTGTTGTTTGCCGCAGGCGGTCAGGCATCGTCAGCGCCACGCGTCACGACACAGGCTGAGAGATTTAAACAATAGCCGGGCGATGACGTGGGGCTGCTGGAAGGGGAGAGAGGTTAGTCGTCCCCGGACGTTCGGGGCGACTGTTTCTTTTGTTGTTGTTGTTGCTGGAAGGCAAATCGTGGCTCCCAGGATATTTCCCTGATCCAGCGACACCGCGGACAGGTGAAACTCACGTGTGGGCCGAGTAGCCGCTCGTCTCAGGGGGGTGAAGGAAATAATAAAGACGATGCCCTGGCACCATCGGCTCCGAGAACACAGCTCAAGAGCATTTGAGTCTCCCAATGAATTCCAAACCTCGGGGATGGAGTGGGAAGAGGCGGTGGAGGGTGGTGGAGGGGGGGGGGGGGGGAAGTGGACTGATCACTACCCCCCAACATCTCGACGCCGCTCATCGCATCTCCAACGGGAAGTTTAAAGAGTCCCTCCAGGTAGGTTCCATTCCAACCACCGGGTTCGCTCCTCCCATCACCTCCATTCCTCTTCCTCCACCCCACTGCCGTCGCCGCCGCTGCTCCTCCACCCTCGCGGGGGCAGCGTCGAACGCGCCGCTCCACACAGCGCGCCTCCAGCTCAGCCGCAGAATGCGCTCAGCAGAGGCCTCCTCTACTTGGCGATGAGCCACGGCGTCTCGCCCTTGAAGGAGCGGCAAAACGTCAACGTTCGCTCACGCTGCCCCCCACGCACCCCGGCCTTCACCTCCTCCGCACCCTCGAACTTGCACCCCGCACAATCGGGCCACGTGGCAGCGCGTGCCGCCCCCCCCCCCCCCCCCCGAACGCCCATGTGGGGGGTTCGTGCGATTGTCACGTGGGGCAGTCTCCACGTGGCCCAGAGGTTGTCTCTCCCTCTCGTCACCGTGACTTTGAATGTCGGGGGTTCAGTGCGAGTGGAGCGATTAATGACGGGAAATTAGAGCGGTGAAAAACACAGCACTGCACACATTAGGCCATGAAGTTTTCGATAATTCAGTTGTTCCACCACCATGGCCACCACCACCTCGTCATCCCATATTCACCCCGAGCCATCCAGGATTTTGCTGGATGCACACTGCATGGCACCGATGTGTTAATTATTTTAGGACACCGCAAGGAATTGGCTGAATCTATATATTTAACAAGAAACGATACGTTTACGCGTCATTAAATTTAAACCGATCAGGAAACTCACGATTGGAAATGACTCCACTTAATAAAATGTAAAATCACTTCTCTACTCTATTCTGAATGTATTTTATAAACGTGAGTCGGATCTGTATTTTGTTTGAAAGATTGTCACCCTTGAATAATTGTTTTACTCGAACGAATAATTGATTGAGAAAAGCGTAAAAACTGAAAACCCTGTGAATGTTCGTCCAATGTGGAGACTTTTTTTTCTTCAGATTATTGACTTTACGTTATCACCACGTTAGTTAATTGGAAGACCATGACAAGTAAACCAGACATTTGTCTGAGGCCCGGGAGAGGTGGAGAGGAGATGGTGGGGATGGGCGCGGGAACTGAAGATTTGAAAACCATGCCGTGTTACACACACCATCATGCGAACAATAGCCACTGTCCCATGTCACATGTACAGCCCATATGTGAAGCAAATGAGCTTTGTACGAATTTACGGGGGAGTGGATCAAAAATCTATTTGTTCTGCAGGTTGGTTTTAGTGGGCACTTTGGACTATACCATGTTGAAAGGCACCTTCCCCCCTCTATCCTGTGTCCGCATGGATTTAAAAAAAAAATCAGCCACTTTTCAGGATCAATTTGAGAAGGCCAATTTCACTGTTGTGGGTTTTAAGTGTGTTCTCTGTTCTCAGAGGAGACATGCTGTGATCTTCAGAGGCTGCAGTGGCGCCTGACAACACGCCTCATCTCAAACAATACCAACGGAAAAGCAAAGTACAACCCATGTTTAATTCATAATACTGCGCGGATGAAACGCAGTTGTCGTGTGCGGAGTGATCCACGGTTTCAAAATATACGACGGGATGAAAACCACTTTTCTTTTAAATTGTCGTTCCTGCCAGTCTCAATTTTTTTTTTACACAACCGGGGTTAGAGATTCTGGATTGCTGCCAGGGATTATTGAGGTTTTTCAATTTGGAATTACATTGCTTCCAGCCAAGGTGGTTGTGCAAGATTTTGTGAATTACGAGTGGAAGACGCATATCTTGAAATGGTTCAAGCAAAGATCACGCTTCCTTCTACCCTGTGTTGTCGGGCATTTGTGCATGGCTGGGAGAATGTGATTTGACGCGAGTGGGCTGTGTTCGTCCGTTGTGTTTGTGAGCGTCGCGTGAGCGCCGTGGCCGTGTTTATGGTTAGCGTGCTCTGCTACGGACCCCGGCGACCCGAGTTCGATTCCCACTCACGATCAACGTCAGTGACGATTATCTGAACCGGTCCTGGGCACTCTCAAAAGTTCGACTCGGCCTTTAGTGAGTACCTGGTGTGATGTGTAAAACATCGCCACTGGGGAGACAAAGGCGGCCAAAGGTGGCTCTGGCCACCCACCCGCCGTTCCAGCCTTTAAAGGTGCTCGCTAATAGCACTTTCTCCAAAAGTCTGTTCAGGTTACGCGGGGGATCTTTGTCGTTATGAGTGCGGTGGCTGTTTGTAAGTAGTTGCTGGTAACGGCTGCCATGCTATAGACGGTGATTATCAATAAAAACATGGAGCTGCCATGATCCTAGAATTTAAAACTCTCTGTTCTACTATAAAAAAAACGTCTGGGAATGGCTGGAACCACCCTCGCATGTGGCTGGTAACACAAGTGAAATATTAATTGAGCTTCCATTCCAAATTAGAGGTGGGCTCCCATCTTGGACTATCTCGGACTGTGCCAGGAGGCTGTTTGGTGCTGTGGGAGCTTGTGTCACGTGATCAGCTTCTGCGTGAGGAGCTTTCATAGATGCACAGATTACGAAAGGGATGGAACGATTCACCATCTCCTCAACCCCGTGGAGATTAGATTAATTATTGTGATGCGGGGTTCCGAAATGAATGAAAGAATGAATTCCTTTTTGTAACATTGTGGCGAATGTCAGGAGCCTTCATGTGGCCGCATGATTGACGTGACCCAATTACATATGTCATTCTTTCTGAAGTAGAGCCCTTTGTCAATCCACTGCTGGATGAAGTCATCCCCACGTCGTGTCGGTCGTAGGAGTTCACCGTGTTGGTCAACGCGCGTCGGTGAAGGAACAGTTCAGGTGTGGTCACTTGCTACTCATGTTGGCCGAGCCCAGGAATCGAACTCGGTCGCAGGGTTTAGAGTGTAGAGCCGTAGCCGCTGTGCCACTGCTACACCCCCCCCCCCCCCCAGTGACATTTACGAATCTAAAACAACAATAGATTCTTACACACGCGATTTGATGCACGTGGCACGAGCTTAAAATCAGTGATTAATCGATGAATGGATGTGTCTCGTTCCACCCTCGGTTAATAAGTTTCATGCAGCGATGATCACAGCTATATTCTTCCAAATCTTTGTTCTTCACTGATTTTCAGAGGAGGTGGAGGGGGGGGGGGGGGCACTTTCGCCGATATGACATCAGTGTGAGAGCTGCCACGTATTCGAAACCATTGGGGTTTGACAGCAGCACGATGATGATGGGGGTGTTGTCAATTGTCGTGTATTGTCCGGGTCCGCACGCCAGGGGCCCCCGGGCCTTGCAATGAAGAGCGCCGCTCCAAATGAATGTTTTTTTTAGATCAATGGGAAGCATAAAACATGGGATCACGTGGTATATTATTCACAACAACAAACAATTGCCGGCGCTTATAAAACCGTCTTAAAAACACAACACAAAGCAGTATGCATTATCTGATAGCTTTTTTTTTGTTTAAAAAATTAAAACACGAAAATGTTAAAGACAATTTGCGTGATTTATGACAACCGCCGCACGCGACGTATAAAAAAAAAACACGGGCAATATTAAATCACACACGGGGCAGCAGCAATCTGTTAATATTTGCATATGAACTCACGCAGCAACCACAAACCGAATAGCCGCCACGGCGCTCAACGTGAGAGGGCCGCGATATTTGACTGCCATGAAGCCCAGGGGAGAGAGATGGAGAGGGAGGGTAGGAGAGACTGTGTCGATTTTAAAATTGATCGTAGATTTTCGGCTACCTGCGGTGGCATTTTGAGTGGCCTAGAAGAAGCATTTTCTTGGGTGTCCACTTAAAAGTAGGGTAACTTAATATCCACTTGAATCATCATTAAATTTTAGGTCGTTGTGAATCCAACGCCGATAAAGGACCCTCGCCATAAGCCACGTTGGTCATGGGGATTGTTTATCCATACTTCACCATACTGGACCGCGTGGGTTGGTGAAAGGGGGGGGGGGCACTCAGGACCGGTACAGATATTTCGACACTGATGTTAGCCGTGGCCGGGATGAGCAACACGTACAAAATGCAAAGGTTGATAGGAAACCCAGCGACTGTCACCGTTATCGTTCTAAATTTGCCCATTTAGGATCCAAATTGGAAACGCGATGCCGTTAAGAAATTTACATTCGTGTCAAGCCTGAAGAGGACGTCAGAACGACTTCTGGAGTCATTTCGAAAGCCGACTTTATCCACACCCATGTGGGTGGGGCCGCGTGCAAACCCAACGTTAATTTGTGAAATATTCTGTCCACTGCCACTTCTCCATCACATTCACGTTCCAGTTACTCCCGTTGAATAAATTATTTGCAAGCGACGCCCGTGTGGCTTCATTCCCCTGGGTCTCATAGCAGCCAAGGGACACAGCCCCGGATTGGGCCAAAACTCTCTTGACAGCCGCCACTTATCTACACGCAGCGCGGTAAACGTGAAACGTGGAGCCGAGGCGCTCCCTCACCCTCGTATATACGTCGGGAAGCAGAGCATGCTGAACCCCCGCTCTTGATTACGATTCTCACTGGCTGCAGGTTGCCGCTGCTAGTGGTCAGTGGGTACAGCACTGTTCTTCAAAGGGTGGGGGGTGGGGGGGGGGGCAGGGGCACTTTCGCTGATAAGAAGACATCATCAGCGCGAGGGCCGCCACACGTTTGAAACCATTGAGGGTTTGACAGCAGCACGATGATGATGGGGTCCGGACGTACGGGGCCGTACTAAGGCCCACCAGGGGCCCGCCAGTGGCCCGCGGGCCTTGCAGTCGAGAACACTGGGGTAGAGGCGCGCTGACTGGCTGGCTGGCAGTGCAAGAGAGCCATGCATACGAGAGCATTGCTTGGGAGAGCGCCTCCAAGACCAGTGCAGCCACGTGCCGTAGCTATGTGCCCGCAGCACTAACACGATTGGACCCACACACTGCCAAACTCTTTGCGAGCTTAACAGCCGATTTTTTTTCTGCTAAATCTGCGAATGCAATGCCTGTAATTTACGATTAATATTAATAAATTCATTACAATTATTATTACGAGAAGACTGACATCCGTAACGCAGCGCTACGGATTTTCACCGCTGTACCCACTGACCGATCGCACGCGGCGGGGTGGCCGCAGATACGAGCACATCGTTTTTTGGGTGCGCTTCGCGGAATGTTCATAGGTTTCATTGCAGCCTTCCACTACTCGGATCGGACAAGCAAACCTCGCAACTTCAACAAGGCAGCACGGCCAGTCGGAATGAAGGTCGGATGGTCCACACCACCGGCCGTATTTGGAACGACGTAAAACAAAAAATATATAAATGCTTAATTATCCACGGAATGCAGCACGGGATGTTCGTGAACGAAGAGAACAATTCGGAAGGCCTGGTACCTTTTTAAATCGAAGCGCCGCTTATTCTGTTTTAATTAAGCGAATAGTCACGCTTGTCATGAATAATTCAGCGTGAATGTATAACGGAGATGTTGAAATTCTCTTCCATCCCCAACCCCGCCCCATGGCTTTCTTAGAGGCAAGCAATTTGTTACCATAGCAACGTACATAACACTTGTGTGGTCATAGCCATAAATTATGCTCATGCATTATTACGAACTGTGTATAAACGAAATCAATGTGTAAAAAAAACGATTTAGTGTAAAAAAACCCCAACAGATCTAAACAAGAACATCATCATAAAAAATAACAACTTTACAAAAAAGCGATGTTTGATACAAAATATAGTATTTATATCTTATATACAACAACAGTCCCATGCTGAGGGTTAGGCAGACCATCACTGCAAACAAACACACGAACACACACACACACACGGGCAGTTAGTAGTGCAGGAGCTCGGTGGGAACACGCGGTAACACACGCACACACACGGGCGCAAAGAAGCTCCGAAAATCGCTCGCTGACCCTTATCTCGGACAGATGAGGAGGGCCTCCCAACGAGGCTACATTTTAAGGTAACAAGGCGAAGTCAAAGTGATGTGCGGCTCAAATGAGCGTCAAGGCAGTGCTCACCTCCCGTTTGCTGGCCCGAGTCGTTGGGAAATGCCCCATTCAAGTGATCAGGGCCGAGTCTAGCCAGTGGACAACCATTGTTGTTGACTCGCCCACAACGCGGTACCTATTTTTATCGACCCCCCACCCCGAGGTGGGATGATTGGCTGAGCCAACCAGGAATTTCAACTCAGAAACTTCCGATTGAGAGCCGATTGTGGATATCCCCGATAATGTATTCATTGGGGAAAGCCTCACCGAGTCTCAAGACACTCTTTTTTTATCAAGGAGAATCCTGCATTTGGATGTTTGGCTAATTCCACTTTTGAGCGCTCTTACGCGCGTGTGTGTGGGAAGACGCCGCAGTACCTGAAGCGCCCAGAGAAAACCCAGAAACACGACAACTGTGTTGAGCGAGGGAGCGGTCATATGTATGGGCAGTGGAAACATCCCACATGAATACAACAGGGGCTGATCAGCCTGCAGTGCGAGCACCAATTAGCGATACCGTACCCACATTTATGTAACGTCCCTGCCATTGGAATGTCGAATTTCCACTACTGGCTCAGGACCATGAATTTGCGATGAGCAATACCCAATGCTTATTTGAGAGCAGGGACGCACACACTTTGACTCGCCTTGATCTGCCGCGTTCAAATACGGCGCTGTGACTTCACGTCTCACCTGGCCTCTGATAAGGCATTCGATTGATCTGTTATTTGCGAGGCAACGTGGGATAAAAATAAATAAACGTGGTGCCAACTGCAGCGCGTGTTCCGCATAAACGGTGACGATTCACCGCCACGGCGAATCGTCTACGAGTGCAAGATTAGACCCTTTGGTTGTTTCGTGAAGTCACGTAGGTAGAAAAATAATAAAAATGAAATATATCACGACGTTTCGATCGCAACGCAAGCGGTCGTCCTCGGGTGGAAAAAAATAATCCAGCAGTGGAAACTGCTCGTGATATATATTTTGTTGTTTTATTTTTATTATTTTTCTTCTACCTACGTGACTTCGCCGAAGGAACCTAAGGGTATGGATCCCTGCAGTCACGAAAGCTTCAAATCAAGATTGAGTGCAAAATTATTTGCAGAAAAAGGCGCAAGCAACGACAACGGGAGACGAGAGCGTGTTAACAACCCCCGGGGGTCGTGACCCATCGACTCCGGCCCCTCGGCCTACGGCGGTTGAGTCCGATCGTCGTGGGGATGTAAAGTCACGTGCGCGTGGCCGAGAACCCCGATGCGGTGGTGTTTTTGCCGATTTCGCGGCGCGGGGCGGGGGGTTGGAACCACCAAAGGGTGGCTTCTCGAGTGGCTAAGCCCTCATGTTAGCCCATGTCGTGTGTGTTTTCTCGAGATGCTAGGAGCAGTGGTACGGAGAGGTTAGCCTCCCCCCCCCACCAGAAACATCGATATCTTTCCACTAATGATGAGCATGAGCACACCAATGCGCGTTGAGGTTTTCATGCTGCCTCCACCCTGAGGTGTGGCCAGCCGAGATGGTGTGGTTGTGAGGGCGAGCATTATTTTACTTGGGCACGGGAACACAGGGGGCACAAAGGGGATGAATGATTCCCACGCGTTTTGGACAGCGAGTCAAGGCATATCATGTACACTTTGTGGCCCCTCCCCATGGCTACTACTAAAAATTAGTCGCCAAGGCTATTTAGGCCCAAAATTTAAAACTCATTCTCACACACATGTATGTAAGCTTCCAATCCGCCTCAAGCCTGCCTTGTGCCCAGCCATTATACCGCAGTGGTGAGATGTTAATTACCTCGCCTGGTATACAGGAGGTTGTGGATTCGATCCCGACATTGACGCCTGCTGTATATTTTGAGTTTGCATGTTTCTCTGCCTACGGCCGCGTGGATTTTTTTCCCGGGTCCTCCGGTTTTTCCCTCCACATTTAGAAATATGCATTCGGGTATTTTGGCTGCTATAAATTTGCACGTGATCGGCCACTTCGTTGAGCTATCATTTGTGGCCAGGTCGCTTCTGAAAAAAGAGCTTTATAGAGCTCGTTGGTCCTTACCTGGTAAAATAAAAAAAGTTTAGTTTTCATCTCTAGTTGATTGTGTAATAAATGACCCGCCCATGCAGTACGTCTGCGAACAAGAGCTTCATAGCTCATTGGATTCCTCCATTAGTCTAAACAAAGCATCTGATACTCTGAAATAACGCGCGCGTCTACGTCCATACTTACTTTCTGCCAGCAGCCGGGGAGGGGCAGCCCGTCCGCTCCCTGTAAGGGGGGGGGGGGGTAGTGGAACATAATTGTCGTGAGTCTCGGCCTGCAGCGGCAGACGCACTCGGGCAACAGGGCACGCGGTACGATTCGCAGCAACGGCGTCACCGGCTCGAGTCACTCCACAAAGTGATGTCCGTTTGCGGAGGGAGGACCTCTCCCGCTATGGATTGGGAGGTTGGGCCAAGAGGCATTGCTTCATAGTTCTCCGATGTATTTTGGCAAGACGGTCTGACATTTCACTCCGCGTACTGGGAGTATATTCATCCACAACTGAATCGAACTCTAGGGTTCCTCAAGGAGCTCCCAGCACGTGGGGGAAAACGCCGGAAACGCATCGGAGAGCTACGTATGCAGCACAGTCGCGCAAAACCATTGGCAGGAGGCGTTGCTAAAGTCAGCTCGTGACGCCGCCGATTCAAAGACACGTGTGGGGGCGGCACCGTCCTGATCCGACAACGGATGGTGATCCAACATTGGATGGTGATCCGACAACGGATGGATCGCTGCCGATTTAAACCAGGCAGAAAAAGCAAACCTTTCCTCCACAGTCGTCATCGACAAAGATGTGAAAACAAAAATTTGTATCTAGGTTATTCTTCGCTCGATTCGTTTGTCCTGCCGTGCCGTTAGCCCGTTGGGTGCGGCTGTGCGCCTTTGTTCATTTGAATAGTTCCACGGGTGGCCATGGCACAGGTGCGATGGCTTTGTCGATTCCTCGAGGCAGTGGTGGAATCAGTCGGTGCCGCCTTCGCACGGTCGCATTTCACTAATAATTGGCCACGGACGCGAAGGAGCCAAGCTGCAAGGAATCTGAAAATGATGCTGATAAAAAAACACAGCTTAAAATCCCGCGAAGCAAATTATGCATTTTTTTTTATTTGACGGATGTTGCCGAATATTTTTATTTATTTAAACAAATACACCATGAAGGGTTTATTGATATGAACGAAGCGTTGCCTACATTTATTTTCCCCTCCGTTTACATTGAAATTTCGCTCACAATTTTGGTCCTTACTCAGAAAGCACTCTCACGAAGTAATTTCACTGCATTAAGAAGAAACCTGAACAGGATAACCAATGTAGCATGTGTGAACACTCGATTCGCTTGCTTGATTTACAACGGCAAAGGAAGCTTTTTATGGAAATGCACCCGATTTTTTTTTTTACAGCCCATGCCTGAAGCCGGCCTTGATTTGATCCAATTCATTTGCTTCTCCGCATTAAATTTGAAGAGTGGATAAAAACCGATGGCAATATCACGCGTGCAGGCCTGTGTTTTTTCTGACGTTCAGTGACGATGAATTATACTGATCAGGGAATGTGTGCAGTCTTAACGAGGGGGGTTATTACTCCCCACGGGATGTTCCATTGGGGGGGGGGGGGGGGGGGGTTGTATGTACGTATGCTGAACTTCTTTTACACCGCACGGAACCAACCGTGCAAATCGCAGGTGCGGGGGAAGAACAATTAAAGGTGGGGTGTCCACATTTGTCTCAGCATACGCACGAGCAGGTAATTCTTTTTTGAGTAATTAATTATTATTATTATTCTTTATGAAGCGCCCGTGGGTTAACAGTAACAGGGTTAACGCGGCCTAGCTTTGAAGTTCGTGGTGTATTAAAAGCAAACGAGAAGATGTATATGTTGACAACCACCCTCTATTTGAATTTCATGAAGTGATTCACACTGGACCAATTCTATTCAGGATTACAATGAATATCTTAACTCTGCATTTCCCCCCCCCCCCCACCGCTTCGTGAAATGTAAATCTCATTTTTACTGCTCGATTCCCCGTGCGGTTGTTTGATCTGCTTATGTGCACAGTGCAAATATATCTGTAGCAGATAATGGAGAAGGGGCAGCCTCGTACAAATTATGGGTTTAGAAGGTTGTTTAAAAATTGCTTTAATTGGCCAAGCCACCATTGCAGGCCCAATTATAATAATTATATATGTGGATAAAAATATAGTTCAGACACTGTATACTTGTTTCAATTGGTTTCAGGAAACGAAGGTAATGGTAAAATTACTTGCATCTCACTTTCAGACTTACCAAAGCAGAAGATAACACTTTGAACACTGATGTAAATTAAGCCAGAATGGTCATTTGATAAGACATTATTTGGAGGAACACACTATCTCGCAGATGTGTATATATTTTTTATAAGCATCATTTAAATTTACTTGCTGCTTTTTTTCAGTTTCCAGCATGCATTTCTCCAAACATCACAGTTCATATCATCAAAACATATAACTTCAGGCAGCAAACAAACCTTCATGCAGCAAACATTCAAACGACGAATATAAATATCAACTACATTTGAATATAAAAATAACCCTGCACCTCTGTAAGAGGCTTGGCATGTCAGCAAAGCCTGAGGAAGGCCTGCTGGTGTAGGCCACAGATGCTTATCACCATGACAACAATCAATCCCTCCCAACCAGTGTTGTCCCTTTATGAAGATCAACCTTACCATTACATTTTATGTAATTTAAAGCTGGACATTCCACTCTATTGTGAAAAAAGAGCCAATTATTTTCGAGTTTTTTTAATGTTTGGTGCTTATTCTTTTCTGTGTATAATTTTCCAGAGGGGTAAACAATGGCCATGAACCTAGAGCAGGCTGATGATGTCTACTATTTGGAAATGCTCACAAATGTGTCAATTTGTTCAGAAGGGTCTATAAGGCCATTATTCCCAGGCTGGGCACAAGTGAATACAAATAATGCAATTAAAAGTAATTGGATTTTTTTTTGTGCAGTGTTAATGAATTTTATTCTACAGATGCTTATATTCAATGGACACTGAATATAGGAAGATTTTCACGTGAGATTTTATAATACCCAAAAAAATACCGTCTTGTTTTACATTGTAGCGTGTGAAAAGTCGCATCACAATAATTGTTTTCCCTTTGGCTCTGGTGTTCTATCAACATCGCCGCTATTGATTCGCAAGCGTGGGTTTATTCCATTAACGTTCTCAACCCCTGCCGCTCACTCCCACCGCTCCCGGGTCGTGAGGCGTGTTTAAGAGCGGCCATGCTCGGAGGTGGATTTGTCTGACGTTGAAACGAAATTCACCACAAGCGACAGAGGCCGTGTCACAGCAGGGTCAGACCGCACCACCTCCCCCATTTCGCCCTCAAGAACAACGGGCGCGCATCGCCCTGCCCACGGTACTGGTATTAACAACACCTTTAACTCCACCATCGCCGAGTGCCGTTTTTATTTTAGATTCAATTGGAGCGTTGTCTAAAAAAATCCGCGGTGCATTTCATTAAGCCCATGGGCCAAGGAGGCGCCCTCGGCAGTCACGGGTGCGTGGCGTGAATGTCGGCATGATGTGTTCCGGGTGTCGACTCAATTTGCTGTGCGTACGGCTCGGGCCTGACCCGGCCCCTCTCTAATGCACCACAGGTGCCGTCACAAATCCTCCCCAGACATGAAATGCGGAGCAAAATGCATCAGGGGAAAATGGTTAACAGGGAACGGTCAAGGACCAGGAAGGGCGTTCAGCTGTGAGGTGAGTCGGACTGGGAAGGAATCAAGGATTGCTTTGGGACTCGAGACCAGAGAAGGATTGGGAATCAGGGAGTGCAAACCAGCAAGGAATCGGGATTTGTGAGGCATTGGGATCAGGAGGTGAGTTGGACTGGGAAGGAATCAAGGATTGCTTTGGGACTCGAGACCAGAGAAGGATTGGGAATCAGGGAGTGCAAACCAGCAAGGAATCGGGATTTGTGAGGCATTGGGATCAGGAGGTGAGCTGGACTGGGAAGGAATCAGGACTGCTAAGGGTTCGCGTAAATTATTAGGATCAGGAGGGGAGTGCAGAAAACAGCGAGGAATCGGTGCCCAGGAGAGGATTGAGGCTGGGAAGGGAGTGAGGATTGGGATCCGTGCGGCAGAAATGTTACAGCATTCGGAGTAAGAGGATAACGCAAGTATGGCATTGTCTTTTAAAGGCACGCAACGCCAGGAAGGAGGCACACTATTAAGGAGGCAGGAGCAGGGAGTGTCCAGGAGTTGTTTACATTAACAGTTCACCTTGTGCAGTATTACTGTGCCTTATTATTGCCACGATCTGAATTGTTTAAGGTCTACCAAGAATTACGTGAATTTTTTTGTTAAAGATTGTCTGGGTTTTACCCATAAAGAATAATACTTTACATACCTATGAACACGTGATTAGTAAGAAAACAAAAAGCCACACTGCCCATTGCAGACAGGAAAGCGAAGTCAATATTCAAGCCAAGCAAGCCGGGGAGGAACAGAACGCGTGAAACAAAAATCTTTTGTTGGCAAAAGATTTGACACATTAGCATGTGGGTAAAAAAATACCCCCATCGCTGATAGGAGTTATCAGAGCCATGCAGAGGCGGAACATCTCACTTGAAGACATGCGCTCGGCATCGTGATTAACAAGGAAACGAGAGGAAATAGGAAAAGGGTTGCCAAGGAAGGGGAAAAAAACATGAGGAGCAGGGAAGTGGGGGACAGGAACGGATCAGCAAGGATGTGGAGCGAGGCACAGGAGAGGCGGCATGGAGGTGGGTAGGAGGTGGTCGGGGTGGACTTGGCGAGGGATGGGGTGGAGAGGCGAGGGTAGTTTGTTGGTGCCTCCAGTGGAGGCCGTGTGTCAGCGTCCCCGCAATATTGTTTAAGTTGTTGTCCAACTTGGATTTTTGCGTCCCGAGTTTCACAACATTCGCCATTGGTGGGCTTCGGGGCACAGTGCCCTCACATTTGCCAATTATGCGAGATGAAATTTCGTGTAAAAACACTCGACGGGTATTTACTGCCACCTGCAGAGATTGGACACATTGTCGCAATTCAGGGTTGCGAATGTTTTGAAATATATTGTCTCGTCTGTATTCCATAGTTGCATTAGCTTAAATGTAAGATAAATATATAATTTGCATAGATCGTGAATAATCCATTCTTACACGCACAATCTGTTAAATTTGTGGTGAGTGCAAGTTTTTATTTTGTTAAATTAACCTTTGCCAAAACAAACACGTGGCTTCTGATTCGTGTGTTGTGGAATGCAGTTTCATCACAATTTCCAACGTGACAAAAATCAGCAGAAAACATTGGCATTTATTTTTAAAATGCTTTGACAATTAATTACCAGTGGAACTTGCTCTTCCACCAACACACGAATTAGTGCCACTTGAGCGTGGACCAATAAAGCGGGGGGGGGGGGGGGGGGACTTTAATCTCCTTCAGTTAAGGCCACAGGGGGATGGATGAGGACAGGAGGGCAGATGTGATAGGGGGTGACAGGTGTGGAGAAGGGATGGACGAATGGAGGTGAGTGGAGAGGAGAGGAAAATAAGAGTGGGAAGGGAATAGGGGAGAGGAAAGGAGAGGAGAGTGAGGGTACTGTACCAACGGGCATGGCGCGTCTAGGCCATCCAGGCCAGGCATGCCTGGCTCCCCCTTCTCCCCCTTGGTACCCCGAAATCCCTGCACGTGAGACCAACCGACCGCGTCCGTCACAAACACTCTCCCTGCGCGTTAGAACCCCGTCTCTGATGGGGGAGCGCTAGCGGGCACGGCACGTTGCGCCGAGCCTGCCAGGAGCTCGCGTCCAACCCCCATCGTCGTCTGAGAAACGAAAACAATGACGAGCGATAACGGAGAGAGGGGCAGGGGGGTAACGCGCCGGTGGCCCCGCGGCTCGAGTCTACGCGAAAGACCGCGGCTGCAACAAAAAAAAAAACATCGACCACGTGGACTCACGCGCACATTAAACCGCGCAGAGGGGGTTCGGTGGGGGGGGCGACCACCACCACCACAATAAAGCAGCGCTTCAGGTAATACGTTCATTCGAAATGCAAACCGGGCTCATGTGCCCTGGGTTTAATGTCCAAAATTGAATGAGCTTAGTAATTGGTTAAGTGAAGCTACGTTCGCTTTGATGACGGCTTGCGCCACGCTGCTTTACGTGGCTCGGTGACCCCTCCCCCTCCCCTCCCCAAGTTCCCCAGCACCTTGGCCAGGTTGGAACGTACCAAAGGACAGGGCGCGTCTAATCCGGGGGCGCCCTGCTCTCCCTTATCGCCCTTTGGGCCCTTTTTACCTCGGACTCCCCTCTCCCCCTGTGAATGCAATGGTTTGGTCAGCCCACACAGACACACGCACACAATCAGCTCATGGGGGGAATACAGCTTGGATAAAGTAAAATACAATTTTACTTGGTAAATGTTTAGTATGACTTTGTCGGACGATGTTGCTCATGTAAACACTTACATTTCTGTCAGTTTTAAACATGAAAATTATTGCTTGTCCATTAGTTTAGGTTATACATATAGTTAGCTTACATTATTTAGACGGTACACGAGGCTGCTATGGTAGAGAGGGGGAAAACATGTACAAAAGAGTTGAGCAAATGATAAGAGTTTTTTTTTTTCCAGGAGAGCTTGAGAATATCAGAAGTAAAACTCGTGGAACGGTCTTGGGGATTCCATGAAGTTGTTTGGCCACGTTGCTGGGTGGTTTTTTTGCGGCAGCCTTAACGGGATTCTTTTTACTTCCAAGGATCTGAGGGTTTTAAGAACGAGCAGGGTCTGTATTCAGATACACTAAAAAGCCCTGCAGGAAGACACCACTCAAAAAAAGTTAAACAACTCCCGTATTGTAGATGCACACCTAGCCCGTGGATCTGCCGAATTTCCGAAGGTAGGAGTTTAAAGGCTCGTTTCATGAGATTGGTTCAGGCGAGCCTGACAAACTATGTCCAAACGTGCCCAGTTAGTTTGCTTGTGTTGAATCAATGTTGCTGACATTATTATGCACTCCCCAAATTGTGCACATTGTGGGGCTGACTAGTTGTGTAGAAGATGCTCGTGTGCTTTCTACGTGACGAGACTGGTATACGAAGACGACGTACTGTGTTCTGATCTATTTTGATAAAAGATTTAACGGTAAGTGTACGAAGTTCTCCAGTGATGTCACTGCAGGGATTTATATATGTATAAAAATAACTGCAGTAGTCACGCCAGAGTGACAAACATCACGAGAAAACGCCTTGAGGTCGCTTTAAATTGTTTCTGCACATTAACGAAGCTTCCAAGCTTTGTCGGACAGCCTGAAACACAGCCTGCGAGCGCAGCTTCAAGGGGTGATCGGAAATTTGGCCTGAGTCTTCTCCTAAGGAATGTCTCTTTTTATTTAAAGCAGCGTGTTTTTCAACCGGCTCTTGGGGGAGTTCATATTGGAGAGGATGGCAGGAGTTTACAAGAGGCCTTGAGGGGGTCCTAAATGTGAATTATGCTGAGGCCTTCGCCGGGTTTTCAAAAGCCTTGGCCACTACAAGACAACACCAGCAGCGACAGGAGGAGCTCAACGCGCTGCTGCTGCTGTTGTAGATGCTGCTGCCCCAACGGTGATGGCCACGTCGGCTTTAATAGTCGGGCGACGTGAAGCCCCAGCGGAGGTTGACAGTCGATGCTGTTCGCCTGCCGAGATGTAGGCCTGAGGCTGGTGAACTAAAAACGATTTTTACAACCTCATTTTTTGATTTAAAGCTTTCGTGACTGCAGTAATTCATATTCTAAGTTCTTTCGGTAAAGTCACGTTTAAGGGAAACAACAAAATAATAAAATATATATAACAATAAAAATTCTCACGACGTTTTGACCATAACACAAACGGTCGTCTTCAGACACTAACGGTCGTCTTCAGACGACCGTTTGTGTTATGGTCGAAACGTCGTGAGAATTTTTATTGTTATATATATATTTTATTATTTTGTTGTTTCCCTTAAACGTGACTTTACCGAAAGAACTAAGAATATAACCTCATTTTTATTTGACCAGGTGAGGCCCACTAAGCATTTGAGCTCTTTTTCAGAAGCGACCTGCCCACCAAATGATAGCTCAACTAAGTGGCTTATCACGTGGAGATGCAAAGCAGCCAAATACTCTAAATGCACGTTTCTAAATGTGGAGGGAAACACCGGAGCAACCGGAGAAAAACAAATCCACACCACCACGGAGAGAGAGACACGCAAACTCCAAATATACAGCAGCAGCAGGCGTCAGGTTCAGGATCGAACCCACGACCTCTTGTATACCAGGCGAGGTAGTAAACATCTCCTAGCCACCGTGGAGCGACTGTGCCGTGGGCCCACTGGCTGTGAGTGGAGATGGCAGTAGCGCACACATGGTGCTGAGTAGGCATGTAACCGTTCATATCCTCAGCGGTTTGATGAACTGTCAAAATTTCGGGGTTGCAAATTGATTTTGGGAAATCTGGTGATAGATTTCACACGGTTCTTACGAATGTTGTTCACGCCCTGTTTTGTTTTTGGACTGTCTTGTGTGTACAGTTCTGTTCGCTTCACTAGCCAGCGTACAACACGAGAATATGAATTATCCCAAGCGAAGAGATTGATCTACGGGCATTCATTCAGCCTTAATCGCCTCTGTTGAGCGGAATAAATGGAACTGAAGGCAGAACATTAGAATCTAATTTGTATAAGATTTGAATACATCTATTCCCACGCGTATATTTTTAAGTTATCTATCAGAAGCACGAGAACCGATGCATCGTTGCATGCCTAGCAGTGAGAGACGGCGCCTGACGGGGACGTGCTTATTGCTCGTGTGCTCTATCAAATCTGATGAGCGGCGCTTTAACTTTCAAAGAGCAGATAAGCACATGGGACCGATTTGGCAGTGTCCGTCGGGAGCTGCCCGTATCGTGGTGAGGATTTAAGGGCTCTGGCAGGGAGAACGCAAAAAAGGGTTACGAACGGAAGGAGACAAAGGCCGGGACACGGCGAACTTGACAGACAAAGAATGCAAAGTAAACATTCTGCAGCGGGAAACGGAGAGAAGGCACAATGGGAAATAATTAGCACAGGGAGGTGGCCCGATATAAAGTGGCAGCAAAATTAAGATTACATTTACAACTCGTACTTTGCACACTGTGGTCAGTGGGAGAATAGCAGCACTGGCCCCATAGGCAACGCCATTCAAGGGTTTATCAGGATTTTTTTAACGAGGTACATCGATGATGGATCGATGCACTAGGAATGGTGAATCACCTTAAACTGTGATAAAATTAACGATGTCATTAAAGACAGACGCGTCCTTGAACACAAATTGTGTCCTTTCATCAAAGGCACTGGGAAGTGAGTGGACATGAGGTTGTTTAAGGAAACAGGGCACACTCGAGTATTTGAGCTGGCCCCAAGACTTTGTCGGCGCTCACGTTTTCACTCGTGTGTGTGTGTGTTGGCGAAAAGACAGCGGCTGCACATCGGACAAATGTTTTTTGTCGCGTTCTCTTGTGCTGAGTGACAATTGAGGCCGAACCTCCAGGGAGATATCGGGCCACCCCCCACACCAACTTCTTTACTTGGGGGAGAAAGCAACAGGGTGGGAGAGTCGGGAGGCATGGGACCAGCACGCGGGAGGTTTCGGCGAAGGGAAAGGGTGAGCAAGCACACGGGAGGAAATCGACTTAACTCTGAGCAGAACATATCCTTTGTGCTGAAAGTTTGGTGAATGTGAATGGCGGACGTTATCTTTTAATAGAAACATTTTCGGGGAAATTGCAAATGTGCACGCGTATGAACGATGGCACATTTCACTCGTGACAATGTAGTAGTGGCACATTATTTTTCGGCCAGAATTGAAATGATCAAAGAAATGGTAATTTAACAGATTTAAGCACCTCAAGGATCTCAATTCAACTGGGAGCTTTGAGATGCTACTTAAATTCAAATTGTTATTCTTATTTGAGGAAAAGACCCCAAAATGGAGGTAAGGAGAATAGGCAAGGCCCGAGCTCTCGAGTAGCCATGACGACGACGATGATGATGATGAGTTCTGTAAGCAGCGACTGATGAGTGGAGGTGTGAGGATTGTTCCTACCCGTTCCCCCTTGTCTCCCCTCAGGCCGGACGTGCCCTGGAGAGACACGGAGCAATACCACGGCAATACACAATGAGAAACGCAAACACACACGCATGCAAGAACACGCCAGCCGGACTTATAGTGGTGTCTGATTTACTATCTTCGGTGCCAATTTGGCACTACCTCATTACAAATAAAAACCCGCAAACGTTTAATTATTCATTCAGTTGTTGTTTGTGTGCCACAATAGATGGATTAAAAGTGGCGTGCAATCCCCACTCTCTCGTTGCCTTGCCCAAACACACTGTTGCACGCTCTCTGGTATTTGCACAATGTCTGTTGCTCCTCGACTCGCAGATGGCAGTGAGGCGGCGGTTCCCAAGCTGTTCTCTCCATTAAGTGTTTTTTGCCCGTATGCCAGGTCAGGTGACCCCTTCTCACATCTCGGAAGCTAAGCAGGTACTTGGCCTGGACAGTGCTTGGATGGGAAACTACCATGCACAACAGATGCATTGGCTGTGGGGGCTAACGTTCCAATGTGAGTAAAATCCATCGTTGTACTCTACTTCTATGCCCCCGCGTTTATGCTATCCAGCGGTGGGTTGACAGAAAAGGGGCTCTCCATGGACACGCACACCCGGGGCGTTAGCGTTAATCTAGACGGACGTGAGTTTCCCATTATCGAGCAGGCGTGCGGCTGGATGTAAGCCGACAGGTGCGGGTGACCCTCACCTGGAGTCCAGGCATCCCGTTCCGGCCCTAGACAACGAGAAACACCCACGAGGCATCGTTATTAGTTGGCAAGCCATTCGAGTCATTTTATCAAACCCCCGGTGGGACCATGACGATGATGGGCTGGGTCACGGGTCACGGGTCACGGGTCACGGGTCACGGGTCACGGGTCACGGGTCACGGGTCACCCCCCCCCACCCCCCCAAAAGAGACTTGAAACCGACAACCGTCCCTGATGGCGAGCCGCTCGTTCCACCGCCGCGTCAACGGGCCCAGAGGCCGGCCGTTTCTCGATTGCGATGTTTGGTCAGTTTATTTATTTAATAAGTGTTTTTTTGAATACTGGAGGAAACCGGAGTACCCAGAAAGAGAAAAAAACCCACGCATACGAGAGGATAACACTTAAAGGCCTACACTGACGGGTTCACGGACCCTCTTGCTGTACTGCAATACTGTGGACACCTTGCGGGCCCAGTGGATTCGGGAGTTTCACAGAGCTCTCTGCGTTTGACCAACTCTTGTCTCCAACTAACGGAACACAGATGTACTGTATGTCACCCACGCCCGCTGCGTCACCTCATGCTGGACTCAAACATACCGAAGGGACTGCGTCGATTATGGACTCCGCAGCCTAAGGGCCGTAGCTGATGGACTGCTTGAGGGTTTCTACTAGACTGCTTGAGGAATTGTACAACTGTAATGGCCATGCAAGTGCCTCTTGATGCAGCATCATGTAAATTATTTAAATAAAAATCAACTAAAAGCTAAATGAATTTTTATTTTTTTATTTTACAAGTAAGGCCCACTAAGCTATATAGCTCATTTTCAGAAACGACCTGGCCACAAATGATAGCTCAACGAAGTGGCTTATCATGTAGACATTTATAGCAGCCACATACTCTAAACGAATGTTTCTAAATGTGGAGGGAAAAAACGGGGAAAAATCCATGGTACTACGGGGAGAACGTGTAAAGTCTAAATATACAGCATGCGTCAGTGTCGGGATGGGACCCACGACCTTCATACCAGGCGATGTAGTTAACATCTCGCAACCGTGGCACCATCATTACATCAACAACAAGTCGACATCATTAACCACACTGGCTATCTGGGCTTCTACTAGATATGAGAAAAAGACGAAAAAAACCTCTCACATTTACCAATAACACTGCGGGCTTAAACGGGAAAAAAAGATATATATAATAATTGACGTTTCGTGCAATGGCCCATCTTCATTGCACACGGCCACTGCCCGAAACGTTGGCCTTTTCTAATTTTGTTTTCTCTTTTGAAGACCACAGTGTTATTGACGATCGTGTTGAGGAGTCTTTTGTTATTTGTGCACCACTGGCAATGCAGCAGCAGCAGCGTCACCACAATAATTTGCCATTCGAAGCGAGCGTCATTTCCACTGTAACTGCGCAATCACTCCACATCCGTGCCGCGTGCATTTCAGACTCCAAAACGAAACAGAATTTCCTGGCAAGCAGGAGGCATGGTAATTTCTTCGCGGCAATCGTAGAAAAACCATCCTACTCTCATTTTACCCGATCTGTTATACCAGCTGGCCATAAATGTCCCTTGTCCATTTTGCATTGTCAACCTGACTTCCTGCTCATATGAGCGTTGTGCCATCCGTGCTCATCTCCCGTTTACAACCCTGAGCCAGTGGTGGAAATTCCCCATTCCCATGGCAGGGGACGAGTCTTTTCATTGTACAACCGCCGTTGACTTTGCCGCAAAGTGGTATCTATTTTATCTACCCTGGAGAGATGGTGGGCTGAGTAAACCGTCGAAGAAGGTGGGAACTCGCAACATTTCGGACTGCGAGCAGTTTTTTCTACCTCTGAGCCATCCGGCTGGATTTTGCGCTACCACAGCTGAGAAACGGCACCGCTATTATGAATATAGGGAGACGTGATTATTGTAATTGTTACCACGTGTTGGGTCAAAGCGTATCGGTGTATCCATTACCGGCGCACCGGGAAAACCGCCAAGGTGATGAAATGTGGTCGTTTCATCGTGACGCGAGAATGGCCCACAGAGGTTGCAGTGACCGCGTCCAACCGAAAGGCGTTCAAAGCCCGTGACCAAAACAACCCGAATCAAATCACCCCAATTCTGTCGTCAGATCCGGGAAGCCGAGCAGATCTGAGCCTGGATTAGTGTTTGTGTCGTTGTTATAGGGCGGCTGTAGGGCTCTGTTACGTTGTGTACAGAAGTACTGCAAAATCAATTGCTGTACTGCACTTCTATGTTTCCAGGTCTATATGCTCCCTGCCTTCACTCACCCGCACTGACCAGCGCTGTGAAGTTTGATTGAATAGCCTCCACAACCCGTGTCGCATGGTGTGGCCCTCATCCAGCAGTGGATTGACAAAAGGGCTGTGCATTTACTCTTTTACAAGGGAGCGGGGTTTGGAGGTTCCTTGGAGTGCAGGCACTCACGGGTAGCCCTGGGGGTCCGTGAGGTCCTATGGATCCAAAGTCTCCTTTCTCTCCCTGGTGCGGGGCAGGCAGAGGGGGCGTGAGGAGGACGGGGAGGGGTGGTGGGAGGAGGCGGGGTGAGCGATGGAGAGGTAAGAGTCGAAACAAGACAAGCGAAGGGTCACCACACTCAAGTGGTTAACGCACCACGTGGTGTTAACACAGCAGGTGTGCAGTTACACACTAGGCAGCTGGAGAAGCGATGGATCAGAGTCAAACTCAACTAAATCTCACAGGTACAAATGATACAGATGAGTATTATTTATGATATTGAATCGCACTCAAGCCTATGACCAAATATTCCGGCATGTATCCGATCTCGTCAGATCCCGGAAATTAAGTGCTTGGATGGGTGACCACAAATATGAAAAAATATATTAATATTTGTACCAATGGATCCTTGCTTGTCCAATATCTGCCCATTCCTTAAATTCGACCTTGGTCTATGAGTGACTCTTTCTCTATACAACAGACATTGCCCAATGTTCTGTACGGCATCTGGAGATGGGGGTCACATTTAGAAGCTGTGCGAATCAAAACTGTATACATTGTATTCTAAATAATAATGTTACTGATTTATCCAGGAAAGCATCACTAAGTCTTTAACGACTTATTTTTCAGGACAGTCCTGCATTTGTTTGTTTATCCAATTTCCTTTTGGTGAGTGTTTTTTCATGCGGGAGGAAGTAAAAATGTAACGTACGAGGAGATAACACTCAAATATGTCTGATGGCTTCGCCAAAAAACAACTTGCTGTCCTGTAATCTGCTGACGTTTGTCACAGTCCAGCTGGTCCGGGAAGCTCACAGTTTCGATTCAAAGCTTTCGTGACTGCAGGGATTCATCTTCTTGGTTCTTTCGGTAAAGTCACATAGAATGGGGATAAAATAATAATACAAATTCTCACGACGTTTCGGAGGCAACACAAGCTTCCGTCTTCAAGTGGGAGCAAGATCGCTGATCAGCGATCAGCGATTTTGCTGTGACTGTCCCACCTGAAGACGGAAGCTTGTGTTGCCTCCAAAACGTCGTGAGAATTTTTATTATTATTTTATCCCCATTCTACGTGACTTTACCGAAAGAACCAAGAAGAAGCTCACAGTTGTTTGTGTGATCCATCAACCCTTCAGCTTCCAAGCCACTGGACATGTGGGCCATCGTGGCTGGCTAAGCCTATCAAAGATCATCAACCAGATCAGGTTTTGTGCAGCATTTTTGTTGTTGTCTGGAAAAATGCAGACAAAATCTCTTATCCACTAATAAATGGGATCCATGTCACTGGTTTTGTGAAGACGCAAAAGGTGTTGGATCTCCTGGCTGATCGTGGCAGATGGTGGGGATTTGTGTGTGTGTGTGTTATCCTTGTAGAAGAGCACGATTTTCCACCTTCACACAAATGTACCTTTCACCTGCGTCTTCAGCCACATTCTCAGAAATGTAATTTGATGATCCAATTAAGGCGACACCCGATTGCCGCTTTCATTCCACTAATTTTCATCACTTGAAACGGCGGCCCAATTACGCACTTTAAAACGCTTCAAATTTTGTGATCTTCAAGGCCATCGTTGTAATGAGCTCTCTAATTTGTCAGCGCAAAGCCCCGCATAATAGTTCTGCCTTTTTGCCACCAGAAAGCACAAGAGCTTTGGAGCAGCTGGGCTAAATGGTGCCCAAAGTAAAGCATCGGCCCTCACCTTCTCTCCCTTTGGCCCCGCTGGCCCGAGCGGCCCCGCTGGCCCGTTCGGCCCCTAAGCGAGATTGAGCAGCAGCAGCAGCAGGAAGAGACAGCAGGAGACAGAGAGAGAGAGAGAGAGAAACGGAGGAGCGAGAAAGAGAGAGAGAGAGAAGGACCGAAGCGGGGAGACAAAGTGAAAGTGACTTGACATACCGCCTCGGCAACCGCAATGTCCTTCACCGCGTGACCCCTTATCCCCACCTCCGTGGTGGCGCTCTGATTAAAGCCAATGCCAATGGGGTTCAACACCCGACTTGTTGTTGGTGCAATTTGGAATGCCGGTGGCCTCTGTGCCAGCAAACAACTTTGAGGTCCCAAAACCTCCAGCGCTCAGGGGACCAGAACGCGTCAACCTCGTTCGCAGGGCGCTGCGGGGCGGCGGTACAAAGCGGGTCGCAACGCCGTGCATACATTAGAGGGCGCTCATTAGGGTGTCGTTTTGGCGGAGGGAAACGTTTTTTTTTCCCTCCGCAGGGGGTTCCGGCAAGGCCCGCTGCAGATTTACGTGCAAGCGATGCATTTTACAGACCGGTGTGCGACTGCTGAGCCATCTGTCACTACTACCGTTGTCGCTAAAACGCCGCACTGTATATAAAAAAAAAAACAATTTAGACTGCCCTATCCAATGCACCGGCCCGGTACAAATATTCTGTCGATTATGCGGTGATGCTGCTGCTGTTGCTGCGTTGACAGCGGTGCACAGACACCAATAACAAAAAAAAAAACACTCGTCAATAATTAAAAAACAAAATATATAATAGGCGACGTTTCGGGCAATGGCCCTCCTCCATTGCCTGACACGTCACCTGTTACATGTTTCATTTTGGAGCAGCCTTATTGACGAACGCGTTCAGTTGTTGTTGTTGTTACGTGCGCTCGTGCACCACCGACAACATCGCCGATTTATTTGTTTTCATATTAACAAATATCACAACTTGCACACACGAGCCTGACCTTCGCCCATCTAGCAGTGCATCGACACAGATTAATCATCTGTGTCATAATCTTCGTGCATTAACCCGTGACGTCACAAGGCAGTGTTACAGATATGTTTAGTAAATTAATGAATCGTTTATTTATTGCACGTGTTTCACTGCAATTGGTGTTAGCGATCGGCGGTTAGGAAGCCAGAAGCCATGACCCCCCCCCCTCTCCACCCCTCTCCCGCCCCTCGTGCTCTCATAACGGCACCGCCTGTAGCCCCTGGTGAGTTCTTTGCCTCGCTGATGGACATTAGTGGACAGCCGCCCTATCACGCCCCCCCCCCAACCACCTCCCGAGGAACAGCAACCTTGAGCCAAGTTCCCCAACCACCCACCCTGCCCCCAACAAATGCGCCTTGAATGCTCCTGCACGTGGAGGGTTGCCCCCTGGTGGTCCCAAATAGGTCTGCAGGTGGAGAGGGCCGTTCTCTGCACGGGGCCGCATCGATATTTTATAGATTATATTTGGCCGCTGTGAATTTCCACGTGCGATAAAGCCACTTCGTTCAACTATCATTTGGGGCCATTTGTCGCTTCTCAACAAAAAAGAAGAAGCTAATAGCTCAGTGGGGCTTTACCTGCTTAGATAAAAAAATAGTTTAGTTAATTTGTATAAATTTTAAAGTTATTTGTTTACCTTTAGGACCATAGTTTCCACCCCTATTGTATTTTGGTATTGTTTGTTAATGTAATGTTCTGACCTTCACCTACTGGACTTGTATGATAAAGAGCTTCATAGCTCATCGTATTCCTCCAGTGTAAATATTCAGATTCTGATATTGTCACGGGGCGTGGTGTCGTCCGGCCATGGCCGCCGCTGTTCGTTCGTCTGTGCGTTCGTACGCGGCCGAAAAAGAGCTCGCTGGTGGGACGAAGCCAAACCTCCGCCGGTAGCGAGCGGAGCCGGCTGCCGGCACGCACCGCTGACCGCCGACGGTGGGACTTTCGTCCGCCTTGAACCCTTAAGAGCCACCTGGTGTTCGTCAAACGGTGAGTCCTCCGAATTCTCACCGCCAAAAAATCGGCATTGCTCATCCGCTTGTGCACGAACGGATGCTGTTGCTCAGCGATACATGCGGGGGGGGGAGGGTTTAATGTCTGTCCACACAAGGCAGGCTCGCACGAGTGGGCGGATGCGTTTTCGTCGACGTGGCGGCTTGTGGCGGCTCCAGGTTGAGGCTACAAACTGGGCCCTGGGGTTTTTCAGTCTCGGGTGATAACGCGTGGAGGTTGATTATTTAGGTAAACTGCGTCCCGAGACGCGGTTGCATCCAACCAGATTGTATCGTATCATTGAATTGCAACTGGATGCGCTGGCGGTGGATTCGTCGGTGGTGCACGAGCGCTCGCAGCCCGCGCAGCTTCCTAGGGTTATGATGCGGCCAGTAAAATGGATTCTTGCAGCCATGATACAAGTGTCACATTGTGTGGGTGAGAATCAACTGCAGTAAATGGATGGTGACAATTAATCAAATTGGTTGCATGCATAGAGCCTATCATGAGCACACATTTAACATCATAATCATCGTCATCACCATCTTGACTTTCCACCAATTCACGAATCCACCGACATGTGTGACCCGAGACTGGAAAAGTCACGGTGGCGTTTTGTAGCCTCCTAAACCGCGAGCTACGAGCCACCGCCGTTGTTTGGCAAGAGGCTCATGCTCACACTGACACAGACCCCGACTCAACACTGAAGCCTCATCCGTAGGTCACAGAGCCCACCAAAAGTCTTCCCACCTCTCCATCCCTGCTCCTCCATCTCCTCCTCATTTACCATGCACCTCATGCTCAATGATCCCGCCAACTTATGACCCCCTACCCCTCTGTCCCCCGTGCCCCCCAAAAACCAAACCACCTCCCCCCGCCCCCCTCCCCCCCCGCCCAGCACTGTGCCAGCCCACTCACCGGTGGTCCCGGCAGCCCGTCTAAGCCCGAGGCGCCCTTGGCGGTGGGATGAGGTTAATGAGGGGAGGATGAGGAGAACACACGGAACCATTAGGGGAATGGCACGGCAAAGCAAGGGTTAATCCCACGACCGCGTGGGCTGGGGTGGGGGTGGTGGAATGGGGGAACACAAAGGTGTGCGGCGCGCTCTGACCGAGGATTCACTTAAGCATGGCACGTACGCAGCTCCATTAAATGCATTAATTCCAAAAGAACATAACAGGTTTGTGCCAATCGGTGCCGATCACTGAGCGGCCGCCCTAAACTGCCGGCCCGATTCGTTGGGAATTGGCTCAGAATCAACGAGGCACGGGCTCCAGCGGCAGCGCATGTGCTGGGGGGAGGGGGGGGGTGGGGGGCTTCTCCGGCTGTCCGGAATGCCAGATCAGTCCGTGCGTGTCGCTAGAAACACCGCCACTGCCGGGACGAGAGAGCGCGAACGGGGGGGGGGGGGGGGGGGGGGGGGGGGGGGGCTAAAGGTTACTCCTACTCGGACAGAAATCATGCACGGGTAACCGAGCGAGTCTTTTTAACAACTCCGGGTCTCACGGAGATGAATTATGTTTTTTTTTTCTCAACTCGCCCGGGCAGTCGTCATCGTTTTGATGCGACAGGAAATTAATCCGCCTCGTCATGGCGGCTTTCAGCGAGAGCGCGCGGCTCGAGAGCGCCCTGCTCGGGTATAGCCGGCGCCGTTCCGCTCAGTGTGAACCGTCTACGCTGGTGAAGGAGTGGGGCAATGGTGTGGGGGGGGGGAGCGGGGATGAGGAGGGAGGTTGAATGAGTTGAATGAGATGAATGAGCACACAAGTAATGAATGAGCACACGACTTCAAAAACACAGCGTGGTGCGCCGTGTTGGGAGGTGAACTTCGACTCCCCCTTGAGGAGGAAACCTGCCCCCCCCCCCCCGCCGCGCCCCCCACCCATGTGCCGTGGACCGGACCCTCGTTAACAACGGGACGGGTCGATTCGCTCAAGAACATTTACACAGCGCGCCGAGCGCGTCAGCGTTTCGAGGTCCGACATGCACGCTCTTTGGGCCCCGCGCCTGCGTCAGGAACGAGTCCGGCGGGTTTTTTTTTGGCTTTGTTTTTTTTCACCAAAAATGTTTTTAATACAAATTCACGGGTCATAATTACCGTTGCCGAATTCACGCACGACTTGTTATTTTTAATTCGTTTGAGCGTTTATAATTTTCAGAGAACTTGCAAAGGGGGCGGGGGGGGGGGGAGCCAATTAGAGGAGCTCTTGGCGGATTATGATGCGATTTAGCTCCAGCAATCAGTCGGCCGGCACCAAAAGTTCAGGAGACAAACTTGAGATTGGGCACAGAGGGCGAGGGCGTGAAGAGTTGCCAGGGGGGGGCATCTGTACGCCCACCACGATCACAGAGACCACGTACCGAGGTCAGTGAGGTGGGGGGGGGAGGGGGAGCGATGGAGCTGCGCGGGCATGGTGGCCGCCACGGCGCCATGTAAACGGATCGTGTGATGGAATGGTGGGGTGAATGTCACAGCGGTGTTATGATCCACTCATGAACAGGGCAATGTCATGCAATTCGGAAATTCTATAGCCGGCTTCAGGGAGGCCGTGCCCACCCCCCCCCCCCCCCCCCCCACTAACACCCCCACCCATAATGAAAAGCAATGCCCCCCCCCCCCCCGCTCCCCTTCCGACGTGTTCCCCGAATTCAGCGGCAGCTCCTTGGGGTGACCAGGCAGGAACTCGAGTTCCAGCTAATGAAGCCATCCTGGCCAACGCCTTTGACGCCTCCACCCATCGCCATCGCTGCCAAGCCCTTCTGCCAGATCCCGCAGCTGTGACACAATGCACCCCAGATCTCCAAGGTTTGCTCCTTCACATTCCCACTCGTGGAGTTTTACACTCAGGGCTTTGTTTGATGGGTGGCATGCCACCCACCCTCCAACAAAATAAGTCCTAGAATCGCCACTGCCCATGCGTCCTGGTCAGTGCGAGGTCCCCTGGGTCAACGGTAGAGAATCGGCTGCAGCCACGAGAGGGCGCGCTCCGCCTGGCCAGACCCACAGCGCCAGAGCCCTTCACGCCGGTCCAACAGCCACCTCTCGCCTGTCCCGCTCTCGACCTGTCCGGACTGAGGTATCTCTGCTTCCCAGGACACCATAGCAGAAAGATTCCCCCCACCCCTCCCCCTCCCTCACCCCCTCCATCACTCCCTCCTTTTTTTAGCTTCTTTATACAGACGTATGTAAACACACAAACACACACACATGCAATTCCCTACAATATTCTCCTCATAAAGGGGTCTCATTTATATTGTTCAGAGTAAACCAATAATATCCATGTCCTGTTTCGCCTCGCCCACTAAATCCAGCCCCTGCCCCTCTGATGCCAGCAGTGAACGATGCAAGGGGTGTGTGGGGGAGGGGGCGCAGGGGAGCACGAGGAGGGGGGGGGGTGAGGGGGGTACTGACTGGGAGTCCCATGGGGCCCCGGTCCCCTTTGTCCCCAGTGTCACCCCGTTCCCCCCGCAATCCGTCCATCCCCGCGTCTCCCTGTGGGCGCACACGGTCACGCGTTAGAGAATCGCCTGGCTCAGGGAGCGCCCAGAGCGGCTCGGGGGCTGCGGAGGAGGAGGAGGGGGGAGGGAGACATTGGGGAGAGTGAACGACGTCGTGTCTCCACCTTTTCTAGAGGTGGCAGTGGCCAGAGAAAGAGATTACATTGGAGAGACTTCGTGAGATGTTTGTGATCGGCTTTCGAACGAGCGTTCGAATTCTTGGCATGTTCCCCAATTTATGTGAGAATCTTCCCGACTGGTTCTCTTTCTGGGCCATCGCCATGGCAATCGCTTCATGGGGTGGTTTTCATCGTTACTTGGCGAACCGTCCCCCCCCCGGCCACCACTGAGGGTGTCTTCTCAAAAACAACGAAAAACTCCCATTTCTTGGAACGTCGAAGAAGCTTCGGGCTAGATAAAAGAAAGATCCTTTAAAAAAAAAACACGTGAAATTCAAGCTGAAGCTGTATCAGCTGGGGCGACTGGAGAAAAGAAAAATGAGAACAGTTAAAAGCACCCCATCTTCGGCCTCCCATTGTGTCAAAACAAGCCCGGCCGCGGCACAATGCGATTCACTTTGGCCACGAAACGCCGATCCTCAATTCCAACGTACTTTCACCCCCCCCCCCCCCAACTTTTCAAAGCCAAAAAGTGTGATTATCGACGGACGTGCGTCGAGTTTCTATCACGGTCGTTATTTGTGCTGTGCGCACCACCGCCGTCACGGCGGCGGCAACAACCGTAGCAGCAGCAGCAGCAGCACCGCCAAAACAATTTGTTCAACGTTGGTGTCCACGCAGCGCTCGCTCGTGTAAATCACCGTCAGTTATTATTGTTGGTGTTGTTGTTGCTGCTACGCTTGCGCTCGCCAAAGGGAAAAAAAAGGCACAAAGAGCGTTTGCAAAGCGAAACCTGCAGCCGATTACGGAAAGGGGTGTGCGATTATTTAACATTTTGTCTGCCGCTCTGAAATTCGCGTTTTACAATGTCTTAAAGGGTCCACGGGGACTCACCTTGGGTCCTGGAAAACCTTGCAGCCCCTAACAGAAAACAAAGGGAAATGATCATTACGGCGAGAATGGTACCAGAAGTGAAAATTGCATGACAGGAATTGCACGGATTTTTTGGGGCTAATAGCATACTGATCAACCCATACGGTTTACCCGTATTTTTGTACAGGGAAATTTAATTTTCAGTTCCGTACGGCGTACAGCCGTTTCAATACGGGCAGCACATTTTTTTTGTCTATTTGGTCGCGTTTCTCTCAATGTAATGGGACTTTGCAGGATCAACGTTGAGATTTATAAGGGAACGGGGTGACCAATAAGGTCTGAATTGGTCTGTGATAAGGTGGGCACTGATAAGGGGTGGACAGGTATGTAGTAGTCCTCGTATGGAGGGACGACGAAGTGCAGCCGTTTTCCCAGCACACCACGTAGCGAGTTATTGGAAAGAACGCCGCCTTTCGGGAAACATTACGGTTTTAACGTGATTATAATTAATGATTACAACTTTGCCGTTAACTTGCGCACGCAGCAGCAGCATCGCATCCAATCGGGCAGGTACCCTGGGAGAACAGTAACTTTGGCACCGCACACTTCTTCTTCTGCTGTATATATATTTTTTGCAAAACAATGAAATATAACAATGATTCTTTCATTATCGCCATCATCATCATCACCTATCTACTGCCGGATGAAAATCTTTGGTAATAGCGTGCTGGTATTCCCCATCATCATCATGATTGCCGACGGGGTAAACATCGCCAATGTGAATAAAGAATTAAAGCTTTCGTGACTGCATAAATTACTCATTGTTTTTTTCGGTATGTTGAAATACCAATGTGATTCATTTCGACGTGGATCCAACCACTTTGCCTGCGTCACTAAGTCTCCCTCCGAGGTGCTGGATTGCAGATATGTGCCCTGCACTCAGTACAACCTCCACCCCCCTCCACACTCTGCGCGAAATCCGCAACGCAAAAAAAAAATCCTTAAAAAAATATATATGCTTACGCGGTGTTTTTAAACGTGGAAGTGACACAATCGCTTACCGTAGGCCCGGGAGGACCGCTGGGGCCGGGCAAACCCTGGAGACCAGACATCTATTGGAGTAGCGAGGGGGGCGTAAGCAGGGAACGGGAGAGGTAGAGGGGTGGGTGGGATTGGGGGGAGACGAAAGCAAAAAAAATGAAGATTGTCAGGGTAACTGAACGGGCCAAGCGAACGGTTTGTGACGGGTGCAGCATTGCAGTCACGTGGCCGCGTCTGCAACACTGCAGGTCGAGTTTCACTTTGGTCTGCCAGCCGGGCTAGTCGCTCTTAATTAAAAACGCGGGGAAAAATATTACACGGCTGTGTTCTGCTGCCATGGGGGGGGCAGGGGTGGCGGGGAGGGTGGGGGCAGGTTTTTCCAACGAACGCGACGTGGAACAGCGTTTCGTGAACGCGCCTAATTACCGATTACAGGAGCCCCCATATTTATGTGTGTACGTTTAATACCCCACGGCTGTTTGGTTTTTATATTTGTATACATCAAAAAATGCAACCGGCGCGCCATTGCGCAGGATTTTTTTATTTTATTTTCTTCCCGTGTTTTTCGAAATCTAAAACCGCGCCGCGTCGCGGGTTCGAAACGAGTCACGGTTACGCGAGTTTCTTTGCCAAGGCGAGCGTGGCCCTCCACCGACAGGGCTGGGGCGGCCGAGCGCTAGAGTGGCAAACGCGACTCGCCGCCCCCAGACTCGAGAAACTTTTCAGCTTCTCCCACATCACCGTGGGGCAGATAGCCCCGCAGGTGTCCGCTGCACATTTCGTCCTTTCACTTTCTTCTCTGTCTCGTAGTGCCAACATGCTCAAGCAGTGGCCACATCTTGCTGGCACCAACCTGTTCATGCACACCAAGCTCTTAGGGCTAATGGTTACTCCGACTACACAATCCGCAAAGCGATCACTCAAACCATGAAGAAGGACCCTCTTGAGGAGCCTTTCAAAACCATCACTTTACCCTACATTGCGGGGATCACAAAAAAGGATCTCCAAAATCTTGAATAAACACAAGATCCAGGTCCGATTCAACACATTACATAAATCTGTGATCTGGTTCCGTCTGTAAAAGATGTGATTCCGGACATACAATACCCTGGTGTCTACAAACTAAGTTGCCTCTGTGGTAGTAGTTACATTGGAGAAACCAAACGCCATGTCTCGGACCGCATTCGTGAACACAAAGCAGACCTTAAACACGGTAGGACCAACACCTCGGCCGTGGCAGATTATTATAATTCAGTAGGCTCACATGACATTGACTTCTCCAAGACAGAGGTTCTTTGTAAGCCATCTGGCTACCATGAGAGATTCGTTCATGAGGCTATCCACATATACAAGCACAGAAACAATTTCAACCGAAAAGATGGATTCTGGCTTAGCAATCATTGGAAGGATTTGATAAACCATTTCAGGTCTTAATTGATTGTTCACACTTACGATGGCTTTCTGACAGCATACATTAATTTTTCGTCTCCCCCCTCATCTTTTCAGAACATAGATGGACTCGTCCTTCTAAATAAACTGCCAAATCGCTGCCCGTGGTGCTAACGTTTTTTTTAAAAATAAGTAAATACACCGTTTATAAATAAATAAATGCAAACCGCCACTTCTTTCAAATGTTTCTTGCCGTTGGGTTTCACACCTGATGATGACCGTTTGTGTTATGGTCGAAACGTCGTGAGAATTTGTATTGTTTGATATATATTTTTTTATTTTATTGTTTCCCTTCAACGTGACTTTACCGAAAGAGCTAAGAATACGAATTACTGCAGTCACGAAAGCTTTAAATCAAAATTGTTGATGTCGTTGTCAAGCCACTCTGTCCGTGAGGTCTTCATCTCTTTTCGGTTCCTTCCATTTTGCCGAACAGCACACTTTCAATGTCCATCCTACACGTGTGTCCAGGTAGTGCCAGTTTCCTTCTCATCACTGCTTGCATCATCAGGTTGTCTTCTTCTATGTGCAACCTTTTTCTTACTTCTCCGTTGGTCACTGTTTGGGTCCAGCTTAGACGCAAGTATGCTGGACCCAGAGAGTGACCAACGCTTCTCCCCAGGGACACGCAACAAACTCTTCATAATCATCATCAGCCACGGTCGATCCACTGCTGGATGAAAGCATCCCAAATATCCGTCGCCATGATCGCGCCATCCCGCGTTTGTTTCGTCGCTCCGTTTCCTCGGTGGATGCGCTCAGATAATAAACTCTTGCCGGTGGTTAAATATGATCCGTGTCTTGATATATTCCAAGGTACAATGGCCACGGGCAGCAGTGGGAGGCCGCTACTTGCGCACGGGTGGAGTCACGCCGCCGCTTGCCCGTCACGGGCGCCACGTGCGACCGGACTGCGAGAGCGTCGCGCGGTTCAGGAGATGTTTGTTCACGCTGCGGTGTCCCCAGCGATACACTCACTGAACATCCAACAAAGGAACCTGGCGTCTCCTTGAATCAACAGCACTGCGCTGCACTTTGCCGCGTGAGAGATACACGTGGAAGAAGCAGCTGCCTCCGTAATGAGTGAGAAATTAAGGAGTCTAGGCCCAAATCTGACTGCGGTGAAGGGCAATCCGTCACTCGCATCACATTTTCAGTGTATAGCGTGCGTCTCTATGGGTCTCTATGGGAGTCGATGGGTCTCGATGTGAGTGAAGTGCAATCTGTCACTCATATCACATTTTGTAAAGCACGAGTCTCGAGAGAAGTCGATGGGTCTCGATGTGAGTCTAAGGATTTCCATGTCAATAAAATGGAATCTATGCGGCCAGCCTAGATGCCATCAGAAGGTTTCTCCAACCTCAACAGATGACATTCATAGACTTGTCTGTTGCTTTTCAAAATGCCATACAAAAGAAATGAGACACCACAAGGATTCGGGAAGTACTGGGTGGAGCTGTGAAAATGTGGTTCTGTGATCAAGGGAGGGAGGGAGAGAGAGAGAGAAATAAACCTCAGAACTGACACTGCTCCAGCGTTTTCGCCTCTCTGCCAGGCCACCCGGCGTGGCGATCCTGCCATTATGAAAACGCACCGGAACACTCGCGAAAGCTGCTGTATTTTTTGCAGATTTTTTTGTTTGTTACGGAGCATTAGCGGTGGATTCAAGTCATTCTTCTTACTCACATTTATCGTTACCGGAAAGAAAAAAAAACACCCCCACTACGCTCACAAATTTCCACGGGCTGTAATTATTCTGTCCAAAACAAATATTTGCGTTGCTCCACTGTAGACCCCGAATGCGTGATTGCCCGTTGTAATGTACAACGCACTAACTAATGACTTGTTCAATTGCACGGGTTCTGCTCTGAAGGCCAAACAGTCCGAAGCATTCCCTTGCTCGTTCCACTGTGAAACCAGGCTTCTGCACACCCCACTTGCCCCCCCCCCCTCCACTGCCCCCGCTGGGAATCCTCAGACCTACAGGAGCAGGCGACTGACCCGAGGTTCGGTCTCGAGGTTCCACAGCTGGGGCGCCCACAACCAGCGCAGTACAGGTCGCCACGGTGGCGAGATGTTAACTACCTCGCATGGTATACAGGAGGTCGTGGGTTCGATGCCGATGCATGTATATTTGGAGTTTGCATGTTCTTCCTGTGGTCGTCTCCGGGTTTTCCCTCCACATTTAGAATCAACACGCATCTAGAGTGTTGGGCTGCTACAAACGTCCACGTGATAAGCCACTTCGTTGAGCTGTTATTTTTGGCCAGGTAGCTTCTGCCAAAAATAGCTACATAGCTAATTGGGCCTTACCTGATACAAAAAAATAGTTTCAGTTTAGTTTTAGTTTTGTGCGTGGTGGTTTAAGTATTTTGGCATAGGTGTTGAAATATTTTTCACGAATACAAATATACTGTACCTCAGTTCCCAGCAAGTCAGATATGTGATGGTGTACTGTGTTGGTAAGTGACAAGCATTAGGACGGGACAATTAACATCACGCCGTGAATGCAGGTATGCTGAACTTCTTTCGCACTGCACGCAGCCAACTGTGCTAATCGTAGGCGCAGGAGAAGGACAACAAACTAAACACAAAAATTAGTTCGAAAGAAATGAGTTCTAAATCTAGATTTAAATATATATCATCTGACCACCACATTGCACGTAAAATGCTCTTAGCCTTGTCCAGACCACCATCTCCATGAGAGCTGGCATCATCATCAACAGGAGCGGAGCCACGGGGGTGACAGGGATGACATTCTGCGTATAAGTGCACGACACTCGGTCTGGCGGACTCCGTGCAACTGCATTGTCAGAGCGTGTCGCCAACCGATGGCGTCTAGCTCAACAGCCTGACTCTCTAATCATTCTTGAAATTAAAATTTGTTGAATGTCACCCCGGCCTGAAATCCTGGCTCCGCCCCTGATCATCAACAGCCATTATCTTTCTAATGCCAGATGAAGGGCTCCTCAAGCCATCGCCATCCCCCACAGACTTGTGACCGAGATCCACGTAGCCTCCTGCACACGCGCTGATTTCATCGCTCCGTATCTCGGGCGTCCTTCCTCATCTTGGCTGCCACTCCATCATAAGTCTCGACTACCACCCATCGTACCGTCCAGCGATGTGTCCTGCCCAAGCCCAATTACTTTTCCCGGCTGTCAATATGACAATTCTAACTTGCGTATGTTCTCTGTGTTCCTCTTTCTGACCCTCGGTGTACTTTCAAGCGTGCGCCTCTCTCTATGCTACTCTGCCCGCACTTTAGCTGTCGCTACATATCCGTTGGCGATGTCCACGTTTCTGGTCCAAATGTCAAAGCAGATGACGTGCAGCGATTGAAAACTTTATTCTGCAGGCGCATTGGTGTTTTTGCGTTTCTGCGGGGCACTGCAGAAGCACCACAGTCCCTGCTCTGCACAAAAAACACACGCGCACACTTTCCATTGCTACCACATTCTAGTTCTGCAGTAACTTACCAAGACCTACCAACTGATACCTACAAGCCAACACAATTACAAAACACCCTATCCAGTCATGAGAACAGCACACACCACTCCCTACTCGCCACCTCAAACACACACCGCCCATTACAACAAACGCATACACACACACCGCTACACACACACACAGAAACAACACTCATCACAACACACGCTACTTTTAATCGCGAGCACACGCCCCTCTTCACTACAAAGATCCCCCGTATAGCCTTAACAGACTGTAGGGGCAAGTGCTGTTAGCGAGCACCTATGAAGGCCGGAACGTTACACGAGGGGGTGGGTGGCCAGCACCACGCCCGACCGCCTTTGTCTCCCCAGTGGCGATGTTTACACACCGCACCAGGTACTCATTTCAGGCTGAGTCGATCTAGGGGAGGCCCAGGACCGGTTCAGATAATCGTCACTGGTGTTGGCCGTGAGCGGGAATCGAACCCGGGTCTCCAGGTTCATAGCGCAGCGCGCTAACCGCTACACTACCGCTCCCCACTCCAAAGATCCCCCGTATAGCCTTAACAGACTGTAGGGGCAAGTGCAGACACACACACACACACATCGGTCATTACTAATCACATACACACCACCGCTCATCACCGCACACACCAACACACACACACCGCGACAACACAGGACAGGACAACATGCCCCACGCACCCTCCACGCACCCCCCAGTAACTTGTTTACCGTTTCTCCCATTCTGTTGGCTTATTTATTTAATGTGTTTGTTGATTTTTGCTCGTCAGCCTTAGGGGCGCTTCAGCGTGCCGCTTTGTGTATGCTTTGGCTGAAGCGTCTGGGATTTTAAAAATCTTTACAAGTCCAAATTCTACGGAACCCATGCCCGCCCCCTCCCCCGACTCAACGCATGACATTTCGTTCGTCATGAAACAATTATTCCTGCGTCCCTCACGAGGGAACGTGCGGTGGACTGTATAGTTATGCCCGGTGAAACTTACCACGTTGCCCAAGTCTCCCTTCTCCCCTCTATCTCCCTTCTCTCCCTGCAAGGCAGCAGCAGCAGACAACAATCCAATATTATACATCACACTCGCCGCAAATGCTGCTAAATGTGTCTATGACAAAGCTACCGGGTGTATATATGAACGTGTTTTATATATAATATTGAATGATCTATTTAAACAAAAAATATCATTAAGAACTCTGTAAAAAATAAAAATATTGCCAACAGGGTCAGAAAAACATAAGGTCAGCCGCAAACTCACCAAATTGAACTCGGCTTGCAACAGCGGCTAATTGTAGCCACGGTTTTCCACGCTCGAAATAAAACTCGCGACTTCAGCCGGTTCCCCTCCTGTGCCGCGTGCGGCGGCTGGGGCCATGTGCGTCTGATTATGCGTTTGGCAGCGTGCGTCGAGCGAGGCTTCCAGCGTGCGTGCGCGCGTGCGTGTGTGTTCGCTACTTATCGGTGAGGCACATCGTAATAAAGTGAATAATGAAACTATAAAGAAGCCCTGCCGGTGATTAAAAGACGGCCCCGCGTGCGGCCATTACTCACGAGGCTGCCCCTCTTGAGCGTGTAATCTGCCGCTCCCTACAATAAAACGTCTCCAGATGCTCCCGGGCGGTGAATGAATCCCTGATAAGGGCCCTTCAAATCCAGCAATTTGAAGGATAAACATATCGCGGGAACATTTTGGCAAAATAACCATAACGTGATTTACCTGCTTCCTTTATGATTTTTTTTTAAAAAGCCCTTCTCCTCTTTTGGGTTTCTTTGGGGGGGGGGATCCCACAATCTAGCCGTTTGTGCGATGTTCAGGACATGGAGGGCCCACCGGCGAAGGTCGGCAGGGTGCCCATGGAGGGGCAGCCCGAATGAGGACTCGTGACCTGGCCGGCTGCCCCCCCCCCTCTCTCGGGAACGCAGGGGGGACCCCCACTGTGGGCTCCCAGGCCAGAGGCCATTATTTCTCATCTTCTCAAGTATTCAACTAACTTTGGCCTTCGTCTGAACTAAAGACGCCTGTGTTCTGGCCAGACATTGGGGTGAAAAGACTCTTGTTGCTCTCGAGAGGTGGAGCCATTTAGTCAGCCGAGTGCCATACAGCAGCAAGTGTTTGTGTCGCTGTTACGGTAACATACACATCCGAGTCTTTCTCAGCAAGTCAGTCTTCCTACCCTTTTAATGACTAAGGTGGTGCATTATTTGGTTTTAACATAGGTGTCAGCAGAAATAGTGGTGGTCGGGCTTGTCAGTGTGGTGGGAGTGTTAGGGTGGTGGGTGGCTTGTTAAAGTTATGAGGCGTTAGAATTGTGGGATGGTGAGGTGGCAGCTTGTTGGGGTCCTGGGGCGTGATGGCTGCGAGTTGTTTGGGTGGTGGGTTGTAGGGAAGGTGGGTTGTTATGCGAAGGGGTGTCGGGATGGAAAAATTGTTGAGGTGGTGGGGTTACGTGGTTATGAGTTGTTGGGGTGTTCGAGTGGCGTGGGTTGCTGGGTGAAGTCATTGTACACTCACATGGCGTCCAGGTAGGCCCGGAGTGCCTGGCATCCCATCGGCGCCCGTCAGCCCATCCAGCCCCTGCGCACACCGCACGCACGCACGCAGCTCCCGTTACCTCCTCGTACCATTAATAGCCCCGGCAGCCAATTGGAATGTGCAAATTAAAGTCTGCTGCCTTTGAAAGCAACGATGTGACGACAATGAGCTCATGCTAGAGTTGTTCTGTCATCAGGCACCGAGCAGAATAACCATGACAGGTGTTTAAAAAAAGAAACAAAAAATTCCAGGATTTAAATTTCACCGCTCATGTTTGCTTTGCACATTTACCATTCAGAAAGACCCACATGGTGCACAGTCAGTTCCGATTCATGATTTCATCGGGTGCGATTTCTTTGGGGAAAGCATTGCATCCATAACCAATCATAGGGCAAACTGACGAAGCGATATGTTTCTGCCGTTTCACCAGGAATGTGAATCGGACCCTGAGAGTGTGACCCAGGGCCCATGGCCACCTCCGGCTGGTGTTACCAGTCCCAAACCATGGCAGAAGAGCAACTGCCTTGGTCCAAGGCTGTAGCTTAAAAATTGCAAAAACGATGCCCAAAGGCCATTGACGGAGTGGAGATGCAGTTAGGCGGTGGTGCTCAAGACTGCTTTAGACATCGCTGACCACTGATTTTAGATGTGGACAGGTATCAAACTCAGGTGGCTTGGATTTGTAGCTCAGTGTGCTAACCACACGCCAACACTACCACCCGTAATAGGCCTCTTGACTTGTTTTAAATAGAGACAATGCATCTATCTATCTATCTGAGCATGCGATGCTTGCCAGAGGAGCTCAGCCAAGGAAGGACTTACCGAAGGCCCTGGCAGCCCCAGCTCCCCCTTGTCTCCCCTGGGTCCCATGAGCCCCGGGAGGCCAGGGGGACCCAAATCCCCTTTAAGCCCCATGGGCCCTTCCTTGCCGGGAAGCCCCGACTCTCCGGGGTCCCCTGTCTTGCCGCGTGGGCCCTGTCAAAGAGAATAGCGTCTCTTTGAGGCCCTTCTCACCTCGAACAAAATCCATTGACTCAGAGACTCATTTCTGAATTTTTTTTTTGGGTTATGGACAGACAGGAGTAGGTGGCACGCGACTAGTAGCCTACAGCCATAGTTGAGAGGCACTATCCAGTGTGCAAGGTCATCCAGAAGAGACCAATACAACATATAACGACGCATTATCCGATACACAAATACGAAGGAGACATCACAACCACACACTCCGCTACTCCTGACACGGTTGTCTGGCTTGACCACCTGAATGTGAAAGTGCGGTTTTTGCTCTACATCTACATCAGCAGCCATACGACAAGAAGAAATAATAAAGTGAGAAATATACTAGACAATCGTGCTGGGTGTGGAAATATTTCCTAGGTTACTGTTCTAGACACACCCAGATGAAATTAAGCCCTGCTTATACTGATAGCTTTCATATCTTTCGCACGTGCAGCAGGTATACACTCAGTGGAAATGCAATGTTGGGCCAATGTTGGAATGTGGTTGGAACCGTTGGCCCAACATTGGCCAAACGTTGGCCAACATTGGTCCAAGGTTCCATGTTTACTGGGTATTGTCTGATACTGGCTCTCATCCCAACAAGGCAAATAATTTATTAAGACCTCCGAGACATCACCTCACCTTTTCGCCGTCCAATCCCGGAGTGCCAGGAAGTCCCATTTCACCCTGAGCAAGGGAGCGCACACATAACACATGTTATGGACACATCACGCACACATGTCGCACACGCACCACAGAAGCAACGGCCACATGCCATGCGCACGAACACACATCGGTCCATCATACGTACATGTGCTTAAACTATTTTAATTTTAGCAGGTAAAAACTACTGAGCTATATGGCTCTTTTTCAGAAGCAACCTGGCCCCAAAATGAAAGGTCAACAAAGTGGATAATCACGTGGAAATTTATAGCAGTCAAATACTCGAAACACATGTTAATTCTAAATGTAGAGCGAAAAACCAGAGTAACCTAGTAAAAATCCACCATGGGAAGAACATGCAAAACTCAAAATATCTAGCAGGCGTCAGGGTCAGGATCGAACCCACGACCTCCTGTACATCAGGCGAGGTAGTTAACATCGCGCCACCTCGGCGCCCCATATGTCACAGGCACATGCCATTGACACGCACATACCATGGTGATGTCAAACTCTATCATAGCAACACACAACTCCGTCTGCGCATCGCTCCACATGTGTGCGTTGGTTGTTTAAGCGTGGCGAGATAATTCTCACGAGAACAGGATGAAAATGGGGACCAGTCTCAATTACACCAAAAGCTCTTGAGTTCACCACCGGGTCCAGAGGCTGCAGGACAAGTGAGCTTAAGGAGGTTTTGTCGTCTCACCGGATTGAAGGTGGTGCCAGAACGTGCGGTCGTCATACACAGTATCACTCTCTAACATGAACCTACAAGCTACAGCCACGGTGTTAAAGATGCTGATTAACCATCGTCGTCATCGTCACTGTCATCATCATCATCATCATCGTGAGACATGGTTTATCCACTGCGGGATGGAGATCTCCATGCACTGTCACCATCTCTCGGTCCTGCACATGAGCTGATCCCATTGTGCCACCTCCACGGTGGCCATCCTGTTTCTGTTGTTCTCTCTTCCGGCTGCCATTCCATCATCACACGCCTCATGCATCGGCCATCGTCCCTCCTAGCGATATCTTTCGCCCAAGCCAGCCCAATAAACTTAATACTGTTGTGTATAGGGGCGCCGTGGTGGCGAAATGTTGACCACCTCGCCTGGTCTGCGGGAGGTCGTGGGTTCGATCCCAACCCCGACGCCTGCTGCTGTATATTTGTAGTTTGCGTGTTCTTTCTCCCTGTGGCCACGTGGATTTTTTTTCCAGGGCCTTCCGGTTTACCTCTCCACGTGTATAAACATATGTTTAAACCATTTTTCTGCTATATATTTCCACACGATGATAAGCCACTTCGTTGAGCTATCATTTGTGGCCAGGTCGGTTCTGAAAAACATCTATATAGCTCAGTGGGCCTTACGTGGCAAAATAAAAAAATATATTTTTAGTTGTATATATATAGAAAAATGTGTGCAATTCTTTCGGTTACACAATTAAGTCTCGGTACCTTCTGTCCAGGTGGGCCGGGTGGGCCCGGAGGTCCCTAAGGGAGAGAGGAGGAAAAATAAAATACGAGTGTGAAACTGTTCCATTGCGTGATTCTGTACGGGCAACACTTCGCGTCCGGGCAGCGATCGCGCAAGCGGCGCATGGATGGGAGGCTGCAGCCAAACACGAGCAGCGGAGAGCGGGCACGCAACGCCAGCCAGGCATCCGCACGCAAGCACGCCTCGTACGAGGGGGGCGGGGCAGCAGCGGTGGCGGTGGCACGGGGCCGTTGCTCGCGGGAGGAGCCCGTGCCACCGCGGCCCGCTCAAGGCAATCGTTTTAGTGCGGCGGGCGTTGTTGTGATGCGTTGTGTTACGTGACATCTCACGCGGGGGGGGGGGCAGGGGGGGCGGTGGGGGGGGGGGGCTGGGGGACATGGCACACGCGGGTACGATGCACGCGCATGCTGTGTTACGGCGCCCGCACGAGGGGTCAGCGTTGATCGGTGGTCGGGAAGCATTTTTAGGGGGCTGGGCGAGTGCTTGGGTGACCTCTGTGCTCACGACGGGTCCCAGCTCAACGTAAAAAAAAAAAAATGACATTAAAAATCCCACACGGGATTGCTTTGCGTCTCCCAGTCCTGGCACAGGTAGACGGACAATGTGTACTCCGTAGGAAATATAATCTCAAAGGGAAAACTAACGCACGTGTGTGTATATAGAGCATACCATATGCGTAGAGTTACGTACACAGCCTTGTATATACGCATGTATTGGACAAATGGTGACTGCATTTTGAAAGCAATGTTAGTAAATCATTGCCACATGCAGCGCAGTGAGCGCCATGTGCAAGGAGCTGACCTTTTAACAAGATATGTGTATGGATACGTTAAGTAGAGCCAATCTCACTTAACTCCCTGCGCTCACGTTCCCAGGGACCCTTGAATAAGCATGGTGAGAAGGCGGCGTGGTGTTGCTCAGAACCACTCAGGTTGACCTTTCACCGATGTACATTCTCTTTTCCCCAGCACGATTAAACCTCCCCGATATCTGTACCGGCAAACGGCAACGACCCTGGTTGTACTTTCTTGGGGCAAGCCAAAGCTTGCTCCGCTGGGACCGAGCGCAGGTTATTAAGGGAGGTGAAAAATGAACATTTTGAGGAAACTCCTCTGGGGGTGGAAGTTTTCCCCAACTCGGTAGGAGAGCTGATGATGCACCCCCCCCCCCCCCCACCACCGGGGCGTGCATGGGACACCCGTCACGCTAAATGCTGACATCGTCACAAATCGCCAATTACCATGAAGGCCAGCGTTTTCACTGCCTGCAGAAGAGAGAGTGAGGCGACATGGAAATTACTGCGATGTCTGCTCACGGACGAGGCACACTCACTCACTCAAGAACGCCGTCACGCACGCACACTCGCGAGCCAGTTCGTTCACACACTCACGCGCCGTCACGCTTCTTAGAAATTATCATCATCATCATCATCCTCGTTAGCAGGGCCAATACGATAATTCATTACAGGCTGCTGCTAGAAATATTTCCTTTTTACAACTCAAACTTGGCCGAGCTGATTTATGACTCGCGGTGCTCAGCCTCTGGTAGGGACACGACGGAGCCTCTGTAAACTGGGGAGCTTCTGCCGTTCGCAGGAAGAAACGCTGCCAGGATATTCAACGACCCAAAACACTCGGCAGGAAACGATCAATTCCCCCGATGATTCGGTGCAGGTACTGGAGGAGCAGTGTCTTGGAAAAGGTTGATAATGACCTCTGTATGTATGTATTTTAAAATAACCTTGTATTGAAAAACTCAATACAAGGTTTTTTGAAGAAAAAAAAACAGTGGCCTTACATCTCCGTTTTCCTTTTCAGGCCACAGTGTTATTGACGAATGTGCTGACGTTTTAAAATGTAATCGTGCCTGCACCACTGCCAACACAGCGGCATCACCAAAATAACGTGGTTAGCTTCTTGCGGTATCATCTCCACGAAACAATGCTCCGTCCCCTTCCCAGAAAACACAGCCTCACTGTGAAGACCGGGGAGTTAATTCGCCTAAGTTTTTCAATTCGACTCTAATGGAATTCACTTGCAAATGGACACAAGTTCAGGCCCCTGCTTAGACGCCGCCAACACACGTCACGTCGCCCGCTGTTTTACGGAAATGAGGGAACACAGCGACAGAGTGAACCATACCTGTCCCTTCCAGTCTGCGCGCATCGATGTAGAAGGGAAAGTGGCATTAATAATCTCAAACGCGGAACATTAGCAAATCTCATAATACAAATTAGATTATCAGCCTGTTTTAGCTTTGCCAACACAAGCAAATACTTTTCTCTCTGGCCCTCCTGTCCAATAGGAATTCCCTGGCCCATTAAGAGTTCACCTGCCTGTCAGTTAAGCCACCTTATGTCCACCCGTTTGTCCACCTGCATATTTGCCTGTGTCCACCTCTCCACTAACCCACCGACAGTGTGTCACCCTGGCAGGAGTAGCGGCACAGTGGTTAGCGTGGTGTGCTATAAACCCCGACACCTGGGCGTTATTCGTGGCCATAGCTAACATCAGTGGCAAAAACCTCAACTGGTCTTGGATCTCCCCAAGGTAGACTCAGGCTTTAACGAGTACTGGTGATATGTGTGTGCATCAGCAATGGGGAGACAAAGGCGGACAGGTACTCGCTAACACCACTTGCCCCTACAGCTGTCTATTCACCTGGCCATTCACCTCTTCGTTCACCTGCCTGTACACCTGACTACTAGCAACGTTGCATCAGGGGAGGTACAGGGGGCTAAGCCACCCCTCCCCCCCATTGCTAATGGCTCAGCCCCCTTCTTTTTCCTTGCAGTATAATTAAGCGATGGGCTTTGCAGCCATTGCTCAAATACACAGGGGCCGTGAGCCAGAGCAGAACGCCCGAAGCGGAACACACCGGGATTCGTTTTGCTGAGGGGTTTAATATTTGAAAAGTTTGTTTAACATTGACTGTGCTGTCCCCCCCCCCACCCACCCCACCCCCGGCCCATCATGGGTTTCTGTATGCCCCACTTTTAAACAAGGTCACACGAGATCATTGCTGTTCCGACCCCCCCGCACCCCCGCCCCCCATCCCCCGCCCTCCCCTCGCCCTGTACCTGAAGCGCCTCCTGGATGTCGCCATTGTAGTCGATGACCTCAGTGGAACCGCGATCGCCCTTGGGCCCCTCTGCGCCCTGACACGAACACATGGCGACGTACATACAGAGCCTACAACGATACGTAACAACCCCCCTGCAGAGCCTACACAGGCTCCTCACGCAGGAGCTGATCACGTGACACACGCTCCCACAGCACCAAACAGCCTCCTGGCACAGTCCGAGATAGTCCAAGATGGGAGCCCACCTCTAATTAGGAATGGAAGCTCGATTAATATTTCACTTATGTTACCAGCCACATGCGAGGGTGGTTCCAGCCATTCCCAGACGTTTTTATAGTAGAACAGAGAGTTTTACATTCCAGGATCATGGCAGCTCCATGTTTTTATTGATAATCACCGTCCATAGCATGGCAGCCGTTACCAGCAACTACTCACAAACAGCCACCGCATTCATAACGACAAAGATCCCCCGCGTAGCCTGAACAGACTTTTGGGGAAAGTGCTGTTAGCGAGCACCTATGAAGGCCGGCACAGCACATGAGGGGCGGGTGACCAATACGAATCCCATCCACATTTGTCTCCCTAGTGCCGATGTTCACACATTTAAGGACGAGTCGACCCACAGGAGGCCCGTGGACCGATTCAAACATTTGGCATTGTTATTGGTCGTGAGTGAGAATCGAACTCGAGCCACCGGGTTCACAGTGCAGCCCGCGAACCATTGCATCCTCACACTCCCACTGCCCATACATATTTATGCGTACATACAGTACACATATGCAGCGAAACATCAACAGTCGCATCACCGATGGCCATAAGACACGCACGCGTATGTGCGCAAAAACTTTAGTTTGAAGTAATCGGTTACATGTGATTGCCAAAGGTAGGAAAACGTATTTCCAATTAGTACTCTTGGTAGGGGGATGCTACTGCGGTGTAACGGTTTGCAGCACAATGGACTTGGAATCTAGAGGTCACCGGGTCAATTTTATCTCCCACCGTGACAGTCGATACGACGGTGCACGTTTATCAAGTCCCCCCACTTCAGCGGTATACATGGATAGACCACAGTTAGTTGATTGGCAAGTCGTGTGTGATAGAAGAGTAGGCCAAATATTTTCCAGAGGGGCTCTCCTGAAGTACCCTCTAGTGTAGTCCCTTCCGCCGGCAGCAACGTGAGCGAGACATTGCAGGGCTGCGCCTCTACGTATGTATATATGTTGAACTTCTTTCGCGACCGTACGTAGCCAAACGTGATAATCAGAGGTGCGGGGGAAGGACAACAGACTAAACACAAACATCAGTTGTAAAAAAATTAGTGTTCAATCTAGATTTTAAAGTGCATAGCTCCAGTGGCTTCCTAATATCAGAAGGAAGAGCGTTCCAGACGGCGGCAGAAGCGCATCTGAACGCGCGCGATGAAGTGACTGTCTATGTTCGAGGGCTTGCTGAAAGCCGCTACGAGGTTGACCGGAGTTTGCGTGACGGTACCGTTTCCCCGTGGTCGAGAAAAAAATTGAATGTTCCGTTTGGCTATGCCACTGGGCGGCAGGGCCGAGGGTACTCGTGCGTACCTTGGGACCCATGGGGCCTATGGGGCCTGGGGATCCAAGTTCTCCCATGTCGCCCTTCACGCCACGCTCACCCTGCACACCGCACAGACGGACAGGGCATGGCGTTACGGCACAGCTGAGACAAGCTAGGCGTAATCCAGATTCTATACCGGTCTGTGGGCACAACCGTCATTCATGTGTGTCTCTGTACATACACGTGTAAGGGTCCATAATAAAGGTTCTTGGGTTAGATCGCGTTTATTTATAAATGTGTCGCAACCCTCCACCACCCGACACGGCCAATCAGCAAAAAGTGTCACGTTGACAAAGACAAATAATTCACTACTGTCTTTGTCAACGTGACACTTTTTGCTGATTGGCCGTGTCGGGTGGTGGAGGGTTGCGACACATTTATAAATAAACGCGATCTAACCCAAGAACCTTTATTATGAATAATATTGGTCGCGAAAGCCTACGTGTTAAACTGACGTGTAAGGGTATTAGAAACACGTGTACGCATTCGTATACCATATTATGTACTGGAGTGATGGTGCGTTGGAAAGCGCGCTGCGCTACAACACCCAGCGAGCCGAGGTAGATTCCTGGCCATGGCTAACAACAATGGGAAGTGAAATCTCAGCCGGTGCGAGACCACCAATCACCAACACGCACCTGACCAGTGTGGTGAAGTATGGCCAAACAACCACCCATCACTAACAAGACATGGGAAGGCCTTCATCCAGCAGTGGCTTGACAGTGGCCTGTACATCATTATACAAATGTGCATATACGAGTAACTCGTAGCAAGCAATAGGGTTTACTCTTTCCGGCAATAAAACAGGTGTTAAGATGTAAAAAAACACCAAACTGAATAATTTTTCCACATTAACCACACGTACTTGTGGTGAACATGCAAACAAAAACATGCTCTGCTAATATATGCATTGTCTTTGAAACTGATTGGTCCACACCAGAGACAGCTTTCTTTTGGAGCCTAGCCTCAAAGTGTTAGACCAGAGGACGCCAAAAGGCCAAAAGGTGAACATCTTTGCCTGACTTGCATTGGCTTAGCATCTCTCAGGTCACTGATGATGGGGAAGGGTATTTGGTGGTAGTGACGGTTGATGTTGAGGAACAAACACTTCTCTCTCTCTCTGCCGCTCACCTTGCTGCCATTGAGGCCAGGTAACCCGGGCAGCCCGGATGCGCCGCCGTCTCCCACATCGCCCTGGGAAACGGAAGGGCGGCGGTTTACCGATCGTGCATGCGGCGTCGTTATCCGGTTAAGTTCACAGCGACATTGCTGCACGTGTCACTTTGGCTGTGACAGCCCCAATTTCACGTCTCTGGTCCCTGTGTTCGTGCGACTGTTGATGACCAGAACGGGACGTTTGCTTGCGGGTGCTGCTCCTTGGTTAAGCGAAATCAACTTGGAACTTAAACCGGACACCAGCACTCTGCCATACTCCCAAATATCTCCATGAACCTGCACCCCCCACCCCCTACCCCCACTGGCGGGGCTTCATGCGCAGTGCTCCACAGCCACCTCGTGAGTCACAGAGTGAGGGGATCGGGGTCTCGTAGGACTGGGGGACCGAGTTCACATGGCTCACCTTCACCCCCGGGAGGCCCTGCAGTCCGGGCATACCCGGAAGTCCGGGCATTCCCGGTTCCCCCTTGACAGCGACGAAAGCCGAGGCGGTGCTCACCTCTCCCTTCTCACCCTGCAAGGGTTTTACGGGAAAGTGGGCAGCCAGGGAGGGTATGTGAGAGGGGTGGGGGGCGAAAGGGGGTGCGCGCAGGTCGTGAGTTGAGCAGCAACAAAAAAAACAACTCGAGGCGAATGGGCAGTGGAGCGAAAGACGTGGGGCTCTGGACCGGAGATGGAACGGAACGAGATTGACGGATGGGAGCGATGCCAGGAGGCAAAGTCGGAATTCACAGCGCTGCCGACTTGGCTTTCCCTGGACGAAGCTCACCACCTGAGCCACAGGCCCTGCAGGGCTTTATTTCGACTGGGTTAATCTGGATCGGTGACCCACAAAACATTTACACACCCAACGCATCACGTTCAGTAAGCCTCACAACCATCGCGAGAGGCAATCTAAGTCTTATCAGCAACCCTGAATATATTCAGTGAGAAATTTAATCCTGGGCACACAGATTGGTGGAAGAATAACTTAGGGACATCTAAATAATCACTGTCCATATTTCCCCATTCGGGGAGAGTAGGAGGCCTAGGTGAATTACTGTCGTGACTTAGATAAGTCAGACGAATGAGATAGTTAAGGAGAAGGCCTTGTCAATAAGTGGAGCTACCTGTGGTGTAAGAGTGTGTAGCCAGAGCCGACTTTGGAATGAGTAGTGGTCGTGCGGAAGGCACATCGATGGTATCTCACATGGACAGCGTTGGACGTAGACTCAAGTGATTGAAGCATCCGACAAGGGAGGGTTCTAGTGCATTACATTCGCACTCCTCCCCATCAGTCTCCTTGACGCCGCGACCTCGGCAAAATGTAAGTGTTCAAGCAAGGCGACACTCTACAAAAATTACAATCAAGTGACGCGCTCGCAAACACGGCTTAATGTGGCCAACATCGGCGCTGCTTATACAACCCCAGGGACGTTTCCAAAACAGAGCTTCACTCGTTTGCACTCCATGACTCCGTGTTCCCATGAAAGTGGGGTTTACTGTGTCCAATTAAATGCAACCTTTGCGTGATCCCTCGTCGGAATAATCTACCGCCTGCCCGCGGCCGCCTAATGACATCAATCCTCGTGGAGAAAAATCTGGAGTCCTTTCTATTTCCGTCCCTGTCGGCACAATCGCCCCTTCTCCGTGCCCGTGCCTCGGGGGCCGGCCGGGCCGGCATCGCGTGCGCAAAAGCGGGGCGTGGCGCGGCCACGGCCTAAGGGGTGGAGGGGTTGGGGAACGAACGGTCGAGCAGGAGGTGACCAGATGGCCCTCGGCAGTGAGAGACACCGAGACACCTGGCCACCAGCACCGCTGAGACGATGGGTTTTGAATTCGGGTTTTGGCCGCCCGACCGTGATTTGACCAGGTTCTCAAATGAAGCCGAGTTCATGACGGTCTCAGCCAGGTCACCAGTGACTCTACGACAAAACAATTATGCTACGTGTTTTTTTTTTCTGTTAATTAGTCGTTATTGATGTTTATGTATTATTTATGTCGTTTCTGTTATTTATTTGTACATTTTCTCTCCTTTGCACCTCTTTCGTTTTTTGCATTTTTTGTTGTTGTAACTTGCTCACCCGCCACTACTGGACGTCTGTGAAAAAAAAGCTTCATAAGCTCATCGGATTCCTCCAGGATAAATAAATATTCCGAAATAATAATAATAATGAAGATTCTGAAATGCTGAGATTTTAAATAATCGGTGTGACTGCCGTCGGCCGGATATTTATCTGTGACCAAGACGAGTGGGTGCTGCATTGTTCCCCCGAATGACTGTAGATAGAAAAAAAACTACCCAAAGAAACAACTCGACGGGATCTCAGAAGCAGTTCGGCAATATCTGCCCGATCGCGCCGTTCTCTCAACGGGAGGCGATGCGCGGCTCTGTGGATTCGCCTCTTCGCGACACGACGCCGACGACGCAATTTGGGACCACATTGACAAGGGGGACAAAAAAGTCGAGGGCACAAGAGGCGAGCGCATTCTGCACGCACCTGCCACAACACAAGCACGACATGCGCTCACGCACAGGGCACATGCACATCACTGCAAGACCACTGCCAACTACCCTCATTATTTACCAGCTAGACATCCTGCAAACTCTTGGGTGGCTGGAGCTGTCAACACTCATTAGCGCTTGGCACGTAGAAGACGATGCTATATATTCTTGGTTCTTTCGGTAAAGTCACCACGTAGAAGGGAAACAATAAAATAATAAAAAATATTAAACAATAAAATTCTCACGACGTTTCGACTGCAACACAAGCAATCATCATTAGGTGTGAAAAACAAGAATTTTGAAAAAAAGTGGCGGTTTTTTAAAATTTCTTGTTGTGGTTTTCACACCTGATGATGATTGCTTGTGTTGCATTCGAAACGTCGTGAGAATTTTATTGTTCAATATTTTTATTATTTTATTGTTTCCCTTCTACGTGACTTTACCGAAAGAACCAAGAATATGAATCCCTGCAGTCACGAACGCTTTAAATCAAAATTTAAGACGATGCTCATCGATGTATGTTAAACTTCTTGTGGAGCCAACCCGTGCTAATCGGAGGTGCGAAAATTTTAAATTGACTCTTACACTCACCATGCAAGCACCAAATCGTAATAATTATTCTGGATTTCCCTGTATTGAATGTAATTGGCTCACGTGACCACTGCACGCCACTAGAGGTGCTACATTCAATGAAAAATAACGACCACCGAATAAAATTGAGAGGTCAGAGAATCGGTAAATTGATACTCACCACCAAGCTGGTTTGAATGGATTTGACGGTTAGATTCCTGCTACAGTTCACTGAAGTATTCCATCCACTGAAAAGTGGAGGTTATGTATAATCATGTCACGTGAGTCATGAGGGTCAGAAATCGTGACCAAAATATAAATGTACAAAATTACCAGCAAATAAAACAAAATATCATCTAAATGTATCAATAAAAAACTGAAAACAGAAATAATTTTACGTTGCAAATATCACTCCGGGCATGCTTTTCCACGACATCATCATTCAGATGCACCGATCAGGCCCATGCTTTGCGTCATGACATCACCACTCAAGATGCACCAATCGGGTGCATGCTTTTGCGGTGATGCACCAAATGGGATGCATGCATTTCAGCGGGATCGTACCGTGGCTCCTTTGCGTCCGGGGATGCCAGGGCGGCCCAGGGGGCCCGGGCCACCGGCTTCCCCCTTTGCGGGCAAAGTCAGGGGGGCAATTAGCAACATGACTCAGACACGCAACCGCCCTGGACTTGCCACCTGTCCTGGACTGTCCACCATCGTTCTATTTTTCTTGGAGATAACTGTCCTTGCGAATATACGCACGTCGTCCCAGGACATTGAAGTCCTGTTTTTATTTTGTCAGTTGTGAAACGCTGATAATACGATTACTACGACACACGCAGTTCTCCCCACTGCCGGTATTGTAAGAATTTATCCATCTCCCCATCACAGAGGTGGCAACCTGTAATTAATTAATACAAAATACTGTCTAAAAGCTATGCAAAACGCATACATCACGTAAAGATGGCGACTTTTTGCTATTTAATATGGTGGATGGGAGAATACAGAAAAATATCTGTTTAAATTTGAAACACTTTTCTGAAGGTATTTGTATAAAATGGCCTAAAAACCGGATTGATACTTACACGTGGGCTTGCAAAAAAATCAAACGAAAAATAATAACCACCAACAACACACGTGTTGGGCCTCTTATGTTGTAGTGTAGCTGTGAGGTGGCGTTCGGAGAGAAAAATAAAATCGTGGTAGCAGTTACAGCAGTATACTTGTCTGTTGCGTTGTGCACCAATATGCCGCCTGCCAGCAAACAGAAAGATACTGACACTGCCAAGTCAAAGCTAAGACTCTGCAGTTATCTACCAGAATGGTTTTACGCTGGCTGGGAGAACAAGTATGAATGTACTACACTTTAATTTGCATTCGTCACGTATGTTCAGACCAGACTGGAACATAACAGGATTGATGCATACGGTGGAGCTGACATTCCTACAGAGTGTGCACTCGGGAAAGTACGGAATGGTCAAAATAAGGGCATGGTTTTTGATGGTCTCGATTTCTTATGGGACCTCAGGGCAACACATCCAGCACGCTTGTTTACGCAGGATAAACTCGCAGTCTCAAGTCTCTTTCTCAGGAGGGTCCTGCCGAGTGTTTTCTCAGGGGGGATGTTGCGACACGTAATCTCAAGTGAGTGACTGACAGGTAGTTTTTTTTTTCCTTCTTCAGAATTGGGATGTTTTGGCCAATACCAGTTGATGGTGTACGCTCATCTTTTGCTATGGGACGAAACCCAGGATAGAAGATTGAAACTCTGCACAGAGAGGCGCTCGAGTTGGCATTCGGAACACAGACGCTTCTTGCTGCGAGGCACAAGCGTTAGCGACCGCGCCACCCTTGGGCGGAAGCCACAACCGCAGGCACGGAGAGCGATGGTTCTCAAGAGGAGCGCCAAGGCAGCGTCAGGCTACAGCCGGTTTGCTGGGAGTACCGGCACGAGTTCAAGCGGCGCACCTTCCCCATGCATCGCGGCGCAGAGCACTCGCGCGCTAAACCACTACCGACAGAAACACAACGCAACAACACGAGCCCGCCAGTGACATCACCGCCTGAAATTAATACAGTTTTTAAGCGTTTATAATGGGTGCCGCATTTAAGTTTGCGCTGCGTGTCGCACGTGCTGCACCCCCCCCCCCCCCCGCTGGTCCCGTCTCATCTTGTAAACCCCGGGGTCTGTGGTTTGGCGAACTCTTTACTCGCAAAACACACAACAGATGCTCCCCTTATGCCGACCTGAACTTAAAAAAAAGGCTTGGCTACCGAATCTCGATTCCCCCCGCGGCACCCCTCCCGCCGCACGCCCACGACCATCCCTGGCACGCACAGGCCCAGGTCAATGTGGCTGGGACAAAAAGCCCTCATCTGACTCTTAATAATTGTAGGTTTGACAGGTAAATGGGTAGCTTAGGGGTGAGATCTCAGAGATGGCAGTGCTGAGATCTGGGCTTGGCATCCGGGTTTCAGCCGCCCGTGATTTAAATGGGTTCTCGAGTGCAGTGAGCCGATGGTTTCAGCCTGGTCGCTGCAGTGACAACATTTTTTGGGGGTTTTTCCCCCCCCCCCAAAAAAAATGTCGGCTCTGAGAATGAAAAATATGGGTTTCTCGGCCATACGATGAACATTTATCTGCAGCAGGGCACGTGCAACGGTGTGCCTCCGAATGTGAAGGACTTCCAGAAGCAGATCTTATGCTATCTGCTTTCACGTGCTGTTCTCTAACACGAGGGGTAGCACTGGCCTGTTATCGTTCTGAATGGGTGCTTTGTCAAGGTGACAGGATGGCAATGCCACAATTAGAATGAAAAGGAGAAAATGCAAAACACGGGATAAGAAGTGTGACGTGGCGGAGTGAGAGAGGACACGGGTGACAGGAGGAGTTGGGCTTAGCGATGCAGAGGCAACGTTACCTTGAGGCCTGGAAAGCCAGGGGGCCCAAGCAAGCCTGCCTCGCCCTGCCCACGGGAGAGGCAAAAGAGGAGGAAGGAGGCAAACAGAGAAAATGAGAATTGTGCGTATATCTACACACACACACAGGCCCCAGCCTGGTGTGTACCGATGGCATTTCACTCATAAGAGAGGGTCAGGCTTAAGTTGCACATTGCGTTAAGTATTGTGCTAACAGTACAATCCTTATAATCAGTGAACCAAGTAATCTGCCTCCCGTGGAGTGTGATGTGATAGGAGAAAGAGCAGCAAAGTCTGCTGCTGGTTACAAGTGGATACATACATACATGGCAACACACACATACATACAAACACACCTACTTTGACGAATACCTCACACAAAATATATATTTAATTTTATTTTACTACTTGTTTATGGAACACTGTAAACTGAAAACCCACTAAATACGAGTTTAACAGCTCCCCAGAGCCGATAGTAAGTTTTATGGTTCCGGGCAGGGCTTTAATTTGAGAGAGTAGCGAGGGCTTCCCCCATCGCCAAACACAACGGTTGTTGCCGTGAAAAGTCATTCATGAGCCGAGGGGCAGTCAACAGCTGAGGGAGGGAGAAAGCGAGAGAGGTGCTGAGCATGGGGTTAAAGTCATAGCCCAGGAAAGGAGCACAGGTATGTGACACAGGTATGTGACACAGGTATATGACACAGGTATGTGACACAGGGACATAGCAAAGGGACGCAACACAGGGATGTATGTGTATGTGTGTTGAACTTCGTCCGCACCGTACGTAGCCGACCACGCTATTCGGAGGTGCTCATGAACGTAGCACAGGGGACATAGCACAGCAAAGAAGGGGAGGCGGGGGGGGGTAGCGTCACCTTCTGTCCCGGGAGCCCAGGGAGACCGGGAAAACCATGATCCCCCTGCGAGATGGAGAGAGACAGAGGGATCGACAGCAGCAGTTCGGGAGAGAGGGAGACAGGAAGAGAGGAAGACAGGGAGAGAGGGAGACATGGGTTATAAGAGAAACATGTCGATATGGAGAGCGGGAGACAGGGAGACGGAGAGAGAGGGAGGCAGAGCATGACAGAAAAGTTGGTATTAAATTGAGAAAAATACAAAAATACAACGAAAGCTTGTGTGAGGGAGTGAAAAGAGGCAGCACAGGGGACAGCGGATCGGGTGTAGGGGAGGGGGGCACCTTGATTCCGGCCGCGGCGGATCCTGGCGCCCCCTGGAGAGCAGGGACCGGATCGCAGAGTCCGGCACGAGGAGGGGTCGGCACAGAGATGCACAGAAAGCAGGGGTCAGAGGTGACGCTCAAGAGCGGGAGCCGCATGGGGAAGAGAAGGAGAGGCTGAGGCTGCACGCTCGCGGCCCTGCTTGAGCAGGCTGGGCTCGAGGTGTGGAGTCCTCATGCTAAGAGGGTGGTGGCCTTGAAGTCCACCAGAGGCGCCACGGCGGCCAGACGTTAACTACCTCGCCTGGTGTACAGGAGCGCGTGGGTTCGATCCCGACCCCGATCCCTCTATATTTGGAGCTTGCGTGTCTCTCTCCCGGGTTTCCCCTCAACATTTAGAAGCATGCGTTTAGAAATTTTGGTTGCTGTACATTTCCACATGATAAGCCACTTCGTTGAGCTATCACGTCTATGCTGCCCACCGTCACCAACCCGCACAGGACCAGCGTGGTGAAGTATGGTCAAACAACCACCATGACCGACACAGCATTGGAAGGCCATCACCAGCAGTGGATTAACATCAGTTCTACTTGAGCAGGTCTTATTATTATTTTGGAGCCCTGAACCTGTTCATGCATCCTCGGTCGCTTAGACGGTGGGTGTCCTGTTTATACAGTGGTCCTCGGCATAGCAATGTGGATTTTTAAACAGCAGGTTCGGGCCCGCCAGTGTTGAAATGGAGATGGGCACTCGTTTGGGTGTGAGGACGCAGGTTTAGACCATTTTGTTTGGCTGTCAGGTGACTGATCGCTACGGCCCCCCCACCCACCACCTCCCCTCACCTTGGGCCCTGCTTGACCTGTGGGCCCCATGGGGCCTGGAAAACCTTGGGCACCCTGAGTAGGAACGACAAAGATGCAAGGGGGAAGGAAAATGAGAGAACGTAGATTCAGGTAAAGCGTAAACAAAGGCGGCCCCTGTGCAGTGGCCTAGAGGAAGAGAGAACGTAAAGGAGATGCAAGGGAACTTCCTGTGCGATTATTGTGGGAGGCTCCTCGGAGTGGCGATTGTCGCTCGTGGTTCTCTGGCAGTGTCTGCTGCTCGTCGCTTTCGGGTTGAGGGGGTTTATAAATCCCACCCCAGCTTTTCCAGTGGCAGGTGATGTGTGCAGGGGGATTCATTGCTGAATGAAACACGAATGAAGCGTGTGGTGATGATGATTCAATGAGACATGTTATATCAGGTTGGCGATCGACAGGGAGAGTGGTACAGGCAAATTGTGGAGACCTTCATCCCGCAGCGGATTGACCATAGCTGATGGTGATCTCTATTCAATGCTATGGGTCTCTATGTGAGATTAAGCCACCAGCGCATTATAGTTTCTCAAAGAATCCACCAGCGTGCATTAGCATCACTCGAGAACGGAAAATCCGGGGGTGGAGTTTGCAGCCTCAACCTGTTGCCATGAGCCGCTGCAGTTTCCTACTCACCTTGGGACTTATTTTATTTGTACAACTGGACAATCACAGGGTTAATGACTCGCAGCTGGATTAAGGCAAGAAATAAATGAGTTATTTTTGTACTCTCTCTCTCTTCACACCGACGATCTCTGCTTCTCTTCTTGGCCTGCCTGCGCTGCCAACTTCCCCCCCCCCCCACCCCTCACCCCACCGGCGCACCTCACGAAAGACAAATGCTAGGTTATGGGAAAACCTGGGTTGGCTCGATTGTGCGCATTGCGCAAAATAGGAAAGGAACCGAGAAAAGCAGTGGTGGGTGGGGGGTTTGTGTGGGGGCGAGCGCTGTTTGTGTTGGCGGGGGCCGCCGCACCGCCGTCTGTGGAAACTCGGGGAGAGCTCCACCTGGCTCGCGCTCACCACGCCGCGTCGAGTTTCACAAACACATGGGGACGCGGGGGTGCAGCGCAGGAGGAGGAGTAGAGGAGGAGGCAGAGCACGAGCAGAGTAACACAGGGACAATGGCATCGCAAGGAGTCGGGGAGCGTCGAGGGAAGAGCGAAACGTCGTTGAGAAGAGGGGATAAAAAGCACGCAGTGGGCAAGGGTTATCGTTGAGTGTGCAGGCGGTGCGACTGCACCGCGGGCCTTACAGGCCAGAGGGGCCCAGGTGCCAGGCTATTCTGTGGACCAGGGCAGCGTGCCAACCACGCCACGCCACTCCACTGACAGAGAGTGGTTGGGCAAAGAGAGACGAAGAAGGTGGTTGGCCGCAGAGAGGAGAGCGGTGATCGTCGAGAGGGAGAGTGGGACAATTACGAAGACGAAGAGGCAGGGGGCATGGGGGATGCGGGAGGTGGCAAGGCAGGCACGAGGCGATAGAGGGGAGCGTCGAGGTGCAATGGCAGAGGATACCAACGGACGGTTCCGTGAATTAGGCAACATCGCAGTCAGCAATTCTAAATCATCTGAATAATACATGTGGGGCGGTGTACCTTTAGTTTGAGTAAACACGGCTTATTTAGAGAAAAAAGTCAATTGCTTGATGCACACACAAAACTGGATACACAATCACCATCCCCATGTGGATGCAAAAGTCAGTTCGTTTGATCAAATGATTTCTATCTGAATGATAGCCCTGGACGGTTGACATAATGTCCAAGTAAAGAAAAAAAATCGCGAATGATCACCAACATCTTGAGAGTGTCTGAAACGTGTTTTTCAAAATCGTGGACCCTGTACAAATTCAATGGTGAACAATGCAGGCGGGAGACGGAGTCAGTGACCGGGCAACAGACGACGACACTGAGTGCGGATGAGATCAGAAACAAGCGATGGGAAGAGACGGACAGAGAGCAAGCACGGGGTGGGGGGTGGGGGGGGGGGGCTGGGTGTTTAGAAACGTGCGCTGAGAGTATTTGGCCGCTACGAATTTCCACGTGACGATGAGCCACTTCGTCGAGCTATCATTCGTGGCCAGGTCGCTTCTGAATAATATCCACACGTGGTCAATAAACAGAAATCTTTGTTTAGGTTTTGGGAAGTGAGCAGCGGGGGGTTTTGGGTGGGTGGGTGGGGGGTGGGGGGGGTGGGGGATAAAATCCCGGAGCGCTAAGTGGGCCCTGGGCATGGCAACTGCTCGTGCCTGGGTCGGAGCGAATCGTCAGCGGAAAGCGGTAGCTCCTGGGCCAAGCACGGGGGCCGTCGGCTCCCGCAATCGCTGTGCGAGGGGCGGCGAGAGGAGAAGCGTCGGGCCCACCGGGGGCGCCCGCCGTCTAATCCCGGCGATGTTTTCCAACACGCGACGAGACCGCGCTCCCAGTTCCAACAAAAACACTTCACTCCGCGCTCCTCCTCCGACGCGCCCCTATGCGGCGGGCCCCGGCTAACGCTGCAATAATAACGTCAAGTGAGCGCCGCGCGAGCACCGAGCGGGCGTTTAAAATCACTTAATCTTCATTCATTTATAATTTTCAGCCCGTAAGCTTTCGCGACCATCGATTCGTAATGGATTTTTTTGGGGGTTTTGGATCGCGCGGGTCAACCGTGTGTCGCGAACGCACCCGCCACCCCATGCAGCCGATTAATAATCTCACAACATTCAAATGGTTGTGAGATTGCTCCCCAACACACACCGGTGTGCTGCTGAAGCAGGAATTTATTGGCACGTTTGTTGACGGGACAACTTTCTTAATCGGCTGTGTCGGGTGGAGAAACGTTACACGACACGCATTATACTTAGGCGATGCGACCCAAAAAAATCAGTTATGAAGCAATGTACAGCCCCTTTGTAAATTCAAGGCTGGACGATGGCTCCTGCAGGCTGTGCTCGCAGGACGTGGGGATTGCGTGACCAAACTTTGTCAAGCTGATGACGATGATGCCTTTCGCCACGCTGGTCACAGAGTGGGTTGGTGAAAATCACCAGCGGCAGTGTAGCGGTTAGTATGCCGCGTTACGAACCCCACGACTCGAGTTTGATTCCCACTCACGGCCAACACCAGTGACGATTATCTGAATTGGTCCTAGGCCTCCTCCCCTAGGTTGACTCAGCCTCAAATGACCACCTGGTGCGGTGTGTAAGATATTAGCACTGAGGAGACAAAGGCGGCCGGGGCGTGGTGTTGGCCACCAACCCCCTCCTGTGCCGTGCCAGTCTTCGTAGGTGCTCGCTAACAGCACTCGCCCCAACAGTCTGTTCAGGCTATACGGGGGATTTTTGTCTTTTGGTGAAAGTCACAGCGGGTGGAGGGGGGTGGCATGGGAGGGGTGCAAAATCGGGGTTCACATATCACTCACCACTGATGCCAGCCAAGGTGGCAGGGTTCAGAGTGCAATTGCGCGAACCGCTGCATCACCGCTCCTCCCACGCACAACTTGTATGGAACTATATGGAAACCCACCATCGATCACCTTCACTCATTTTCACTCCGCAATAAAAGGCGACCTAATAATTTACGTGCCGCGCGCACGCGAGCCTTTTTTGCCCGAGCGTTTCTGAGGATCGTGCAAACAATATATTCGGCGGTACACGTCATCTAGTAAGGCCTGCACGAGGTAACTATTTAGCTCATTACACCATTTCATGCATTTTTGACGCTTGAGTCCAAACAAACTCGAGGCGAAAAAACAAGCCCACGCCGCCGTCGGTACTCTGCGCTCGCGAACAAGATGTACCGATGGGGTCGGCGAGGCGGTCAGTACCAGGAAACCAGGAACGCTACCGTGTGGCTTAAATGAGGCTTCCCAGCAGTCGATTGCACGCACGCATGCACGCGCGCGCTTCCGATGGCGCGCGTGCACGCACGCATGCACGCTCACGTAAATCTCATTTTTTTTCCCCTCGTCCTCTTCTGCCGTAATTTTCCCAAGGAGAGAAACAACTCCGCGGAGCTGGTAGTCACCGGGGGGGACAACCGGTGTGAAAAGCGAGACTCTGGTAATTGTTGCGTCAACACCGCTGCCGTGCCGCGCACAAAACGGGTTTGCCGCGAATGCCATTGCCTGGGATGGGTGAACCACGAGGCCTCTCTCCGGCTCGGTTCCCTTCCCAATCTCTGGCACCCTTCCCAATCTCTGGCATCCCCCACCAACTCTCAACATCGCCACCCCGCTCCACACCAGCAAAAATAACAACAATGTCAACCCACGGTTGCATGAAGGTCTCCCCATGCAGTGTGAGCAAATGAGGGTTGTTTGACCATACTTCGTCACGCTGGTCAGTGCATTTGATGAACCAGTTATCACTTGGTCACTGATGTTAGCCGTGAGAGGAAATCGAACTCGGGTGGTCAGGTTCATTGTACAGCGCGCGAACCACCGGGCTGACGAATCACAAGAACAATGTGCGCATATTAGGTCACAATTGTGAAAGGGGCTTTTTTAATGCAATGCATTAATCTGCTGCGGAGGAACATTCATAAACTATAGAAGCCCAAACGATCTACGATCTTACTTTGTGTGACTGTCGGCTTCTGCACTCCATTGTATCATTCTGCTGCCATGGAAATTACGATAAGTATATACGAGCATCATCAGCCGCTGTCTCCATCCCCCGCTCCTTGCACACGAGCTGACCTCATCGTTCCGTCACTACTGCCCTCCTCCGGCTGCCGCTCCATCACCAGTCTCATCCACTGGCCACTGTCTCCACCTCGCCACGAGGTGCCCTGTCAAAGCCCAACTACTTCACCTGAACAGTCAATGAGGCTTCTCCGATTTGTATAAACCTTCAGGCAAGATGCAAGTTTTACTTTCTTTCCCATTCTCCCCGAAACAGGACAAGGGGAGGAGCGTGCCCACGCCACAACACGTGCCCACGCCACAACACGTGCCCACGCCACAACACGTGCCCACGCCACAACACGTGCGCTGCCACGCGGCGACATTTTGACCGAGCCAAACCGCAACCAATTCACCCGGGGTGCTGCAGGTCACAGTGCACCATCATCGCCACTATTTCCGCTTACCCGCCACTCCCGCCACCGCCCCCTTCCTTCACCAGATACCCCACTTCAGGTGCCGCTCATTTACGTAACAGGCCGCCTGCGTAAACGCTCCTAGCAAATCAAACCAAAGCACCGCGTCAATGGTGCGATGGCGGTGCGATGCGATGATGGCGTGATGATGGGGATGGGGGAGCAGTGCGCACACGTGCGTGCGGCAATTTTTACGGCCGTCGGTTCAGCCGGGATTGTAAAAAAAGAGCTCGGAATGAAACCGCGTCCATCGCGAGGAGCGAACGCGTGGAGGCGCTGCCCCGTGGGTCACGGCTGCTGACCAACAGGCGCACGCGCGCGCGCACGCCGCTCGTGAAACATCTGCCTCTGGTGATTTTCGTTTGTTCGCACGGCTTAATAAAAAAAAAATCCCGGTGTATATTATTACACATCTGTATTTGAGCCGAGATGCCGTGCTCGGCAAAAAAAAAGGAGCGCCTTCGCCTGAACTTCAAAGGAGGAAATATAAAAATTGTATTCGTGCGTCCCCTGTTCATTGGCAGTCAAGGAAATTAAACTTTTCCACGGCGTCACGGCAGACATTTCCAAATTGGCTGCTACATTTCCCCCCCGCCCTCCCCCTTTCTGCAGTGAGCATTGACCGCGACGTAATAAATATCGCGATGAAGTTAAGGTCAGCTGTTGCCAATTTAACTCACTCGCGTAATTATTTTACATCAACTTCGAGCTCGTTACATAACAATGGAGGTCGTTGTTTTGTGCCCTGTGCTGCTAACACTTTTCCCCGGCAATAAATCTCGGCGGCAGGACCGCGAAAGCGGCATGAGCGGAGATGTTTCGGTGAGAGGTGTTAACGGGGCCCGGGCGAGGTCATCCTGTGTGCGGATTTCTCCCCTTCCACCCCTAGGCGCCTTCGTGACGCGACCCAACATGTGGCTCCACGTGACTCCGCTTCACCACGTGACTCCGCTTCCCCGTCTTACTCCGCTTCCCCGCCTTACTCCGCTTCACCACGTGACTCCGCTTCCCCGCCTTACTCCGCTTCCCCCTGTTACTCCGCTTCCCCACGTGACTCCGCTTCCCCGCGTTACTCCACTTTCCCCTGTTACTCCGCTTCCCCGCCTTACTCCGCTTCACCACGTGACTCCGCTTCCCCGCCTTACTCCGCTTCCCCCTGTTACTCCGCTTCCCCACGTGACTCCGCTTCCCCGCCTTACTCCACTTCCCCCTGTTACTCCGCTTCCCCGCCTTACTCCGCTTCACCACGTGACTCCGCTTCCCCGCATTACTCCGCTTCCCCCTGTTACTCTGCATCCCCACGTGACTCCGCTTCCCCGCGTTACTCCTCTTCCCCCTGTTACTCCGCTTACCCGCCTTACTCCACTTCCCCACGTGACTCCGCTTCCCCGCCTTACTCCGCTTCCCCGCCTTACTCCGCTTCCCCGCCTTACTCCGCTTCCCCGCGTTACTCCGCTTCACCACGTGACTCCGCTTCCCCGCCTTACTCCGCTTCCCCGCCTTACTCCGCTTCCCCGCGTTACTCCGCTTCTCTGTTACTCCGCTTCCCTGTTACTTCGCTTCCCTGTTACTCCTCTTCCCCGCCTTACTCCACTTCACTGTGTTACTCCGCTTCACTGTGTTACTCCGCTTCACTGCAGTGCTCCTCTTCCATGTGTTACTCCACTGCAATCGGAGTGAGACCACTTTGAGAGGGGTGACTCAAAGACCCCTCCCTCGACGCCGAAGCGTCGATTGAGTTTAAAACGTTACACGAGAGGGTGATGCGGCCTTTTCCCAGTGATGATGATTACATGTGGAACAATAAGCTCCTATAAGGCTGAGTTGATCTATGTGAGGGCCGGGACATTGTCAGATAACCCCTTGCCACTTTAAACAAGAATCCTCTCAAATGTGTCACTTATGTTGGGCTAAGGATCTATTAAAAGTTCAATGTGCAAACCACAATGGGCACCACTTTTCATTTACATGAACGACTACAAAGACAAAGATCCCCCGTATAGCATTCACATACTGTTGGGGCAAGTACTTTCACGAACACCTATGAAGGCCGGCACGACACTCGAAGGGGTGGGTGGCCAACACCACGCCCAGTCTCCTTTTTCTCCCCAGTGGCGATGTTACACACATGCACCAGGTACTCATTTGAGGCTGAGTCGATCTAGGGGAGGCCCAAGACCGATTCAGATAATCGTCACTGGTGTTGGCCATGAACAGGAATCGAACCCGGGTCTCCAGGTATTGTAGCACGACGCGTTAACCGCTACACTACCGCTTCCCACATACACACGCACACACGTGTGTGTATACATCTCCTTCAGAAAAACCCCCCATTATGAGCCCAAAAATAACTGTAATTTATAAATAGGGTAGCTTAACGTCTGAATTTGTATTAGTCCCTAACGCCCACACGCACACCGTGGGTGGGATTTAATCGCTCCAGAGTGCACAGCACCCTGTTCAGAACAAGTTTAGCCCATCTCATCAGCTATCTGCCCAATAGTTACGAGGGTAATCTTCTCATAGGTATGCTACTGCTTGGGAAGGCCTTCATCCAGCAGTGGATGGTCTATGCTCTCGCTGCTTCACGAACCAGCAACGATCATAATGGAGAGGTAATGGTCAACCGACTCCCACGAGCAACCCGCTATTGAGGAGGGGTCCTCATTCAGCCTCAGATTGTTAAAGGCCTGTACATGAACAGAGTATGTGGACCGATTCGGACTGTAATTCACACGGAAATAGTTTTTCCGGATTTCTGGACGAGGGAGAAACGCTCGCAAAGCGCCACGGCGTCGGACGTGCTCAGGTGCAGTGACTTTTTCGTCCACGCTGGCATGGCGGTGGAGGTGGCGACGGTGCATTTTGGTCGATTCCCAACGATTGAGAAAGTCGAAACCGACACGCGACTGCGATATAAAAAAAACACAAAATCCTGGGGCCTTGTTACGGCATTCGAGCGTTGCCTGTTACTTCAACTTTGACGGCGACCACGGCGCCGACCGCGACTTGTGCGGAGGAAGCGGACGCTTCCGCCGCGTGTCGCTGGCCAGGCACGTGGCTTCCACGTGTTTTTTGTGTGACCAGGGGATCACAGGAGGCTTGCTCGGTGTGGAAGTTATTATTATTTTTTAAACGGATCGCGCGCAGCGAACGCGCTCGCCAGCTCAAAGTGTGCCACAACCTGCGTCGGGCCAATAAAACATACACGTCAGCTCGTGGGATCAATTACACACGCACAAAAAAATTCGAATGAAAGTTCGATTACTAGAAAAATAATAACATTTGGAATGAGTCTAACAGAATTAATTACCCGGATCCGGCCGGACCGCGCGGTGCGAGCAAAATCGCGGCAACTCCCAATCGCAATCGGAAGGGTTTGAAAGTTCAAAATCCGGTCAGGGGGTCAAGCTCAGCCTTTCATCTGCCCCCGGTTTCAATCGAACGAGTACCACATTGTGGGAACTTAACCGCAGCCGTTCTCTGTGGAGATTGGCCCCCACCATAGGAATGCGGAATTTGCATTAATTGCCCCAGAGTTGTAAAGAGTTGATGAGCGCCGCGTGTGTATCCAGCAGCGGATAGACCCAACACGGCTGATATGATGATGTGGACGTGGACAAGGTGAACTGAAAAGCCAAGTCGGAGTGGGGGGCCTCTCGACCTCACATCTCCGTTTTACCCCCACGGAACGATGCGGAAGACAATTTTTGAGCGTAGTGGAGCGAACGCAAAGGCTATTTCAAGCACATTCGTGGTCCATGGTGGACTCGCACAATTCCGGGGTTGGCCACGAAACTGCGTCAGCCGTGGCCTAGAGGGCCCAGAGAGCGTCTGGCTCCGAGTGCTCAGCGCTCGAGTCCCCTCCCGCCTACCGGTCGCGATAAGCCCATGTGGCTAAACCCAAATGTAATAAAACCCAAGAAATTAATCCACGTACGTATTGCATGCTGAACTTCTTTCACACCACTCGTAGCCAACCGTGCTAATTTGGGGGTGCGATGATGTCAATGGTGCGATGGCGGTGAGATGCGATGATGACATGATGTGATGATTGTGACGTATGTATTTCAAATGGCTTGTTGTATGTATGCTGAACTTCTTTTGCACCGTACGTAACCAACCATGCTAATCGATATGGTCAACCCATGTCATAATAACAACAATAATTTTGATTGTTTTTATTATTTTATTGTTTCCCTTCTATGTGACTTTACCGAAAGAACCAAGAATATGAATAACAATAATCCCACATTCTGAAACTCATCTATTAAAGTCAAGGGGTAGAATGGTGGGGCAGTTGTAAGCACATGGCAATGTTAACCCGAGTGTGAGTCCTGGCCAGAGTGACAACTGAACTGGACCTGGGTACCCACTTCACAAGCCTGCACTGACCAAAGTGGTGAAGTATGGTCAAACAACCATTGCCGACGCAGACTTGAAGAGGCCTTCATTTAGCAGTGGATTGACAGAACTCTATGAATCATGTATCATTTTGTTCCAATAAAGTGATACAATTAGCTCATGTGATAAACTCAAATGTTAAAAGCAAATGTGTAAGCCACATTCCTAAGAATACTTCTAAAAGATCCAGTCATGCATTTATATATGGCATTAAAATATACTCAATGTATTTATCAGATCAGTTTTGTGAAGAACATATTCAATTTCATAGCGTATATTTGTCAAAATGTTTGAAACATATATACAGTATTCAAAAACCAATGGAAAATTTTCCCACGCCATTCGTGTTGCCTTCGCAAGAGCGGCCGGCGTAGGGTACCCACCTTTTCTCCCCGCTTCCCGGGGAAGCCTACATATCCCCTCTCCCCCTGCGAGCAGAGAGGCACACACACACACACGAGCGCACGCCACAACGGAGCAGGAGACAGAGAGAAAGGACGGAGCCCGACAACAAAGATGAAGGGTAGAGAAAAAGAAAAACAGCAACATGAAAAATACATTTAAATAAATTGTTTTTGGTGTTAGTCCAGCCCAGTGGTCGCGACACAAGCCAATTGGCAGAAACTACCAAGTACCCGGGCCCTCTGAGCTGATAAAGTCAAGTGCGCACAGGAAACAGGCCGCTGCTGAGGAGCTCAACCCAAACATTCGGCTCGGCTCTTCTTGGGGACAAAACAAAGATGTTGGATGTTGGAGCAATGCACCTCGGCGTGCTCGCAAATAGCAGCACCACGTGGCAACGTGCGGCAACACGCGGCAACACGTGGCAACGTGCGGCAACACGCGGTAACACGTGGCAACGTGCGGCAACACGCGGCAACGCGCGGTAACAGGCAGCAACACGCGGCACCACGCGGCAACACGCGGCAACGTGCGGTAACACTCGGCAACGTGCGGCAACACGCGCAACACGTGACAACGTGCGGCAATAGGCGGCACCACGCGGCAACGTGCGGCAACAGGCGGCAACGTGCGGCAACATGCGGCAACGTGCGGCAACACGCGGCAACACGTGACAACACGCGGCACCACGCGGCAACGTGCGGCAACAGGCGGCAACGTGCGGCAACACGCGGCAACACGTCACAACACGTGGCAACGTGCGGCAACACGTGACAACAGGTGCCAACGTGCGGTAACACACGGCACCACGCGGCAAACGTGCGGCAACAGGCGGGAAAGTGCAGCAACACACGGCAACGTGCGGCAACACGCGGCAACACGCGGCAACGCACGGCAACACGCGGCAACACGCGGCAACGTGCGGCAACACGCGGCAACACGAGTGGGGAAGTGGTAATGAATGCACTTCGTCTTAGCGGGGCAAGCACGGCGAGTGAGTTAGCAGCGACATTAACTTAGTTTGCTCATTGATAGGAGTAGTAGTAACTTTGCAGCTATTTTCTTACATTCATTGTTACAGTTATTTACCCAGGAAAGCGACACCGAGTCTCAAGACTCTGTTGGCAGTAGGGGGGCGATGTTGCTCTGTGTAATCCTAATTGAGCAAATTTACAGGTGAATTTTCACAGTTTGGTATGTTTGGCCAATACCAGTTACATTTTCTGCGTGTTTTTTTTTTATTCACGTGAAGGGTATATTAGCAGCAGCAGCAGTAAATGCAGCATGCTCGTTAGCAGCAGCAGCAGCATCGGTAACACAGCAAGTGCTTTCGTAGTGGCAGTAACTATTCACTATTTTACTATTTACCAGGTAAAGCCCACTGAGCTATCAGCTCTTTTCAGAGGTGGCCTGGCAGTAACGGGGAGAGTGAGTTAGTGGTGGCACTAACGGGGAGAGAGAGTTAGTGGTGTAACTAACAGGGAGAGTGAGTTAGTGGTGGAACTAACAGGGAGAGTGAGTTAGTGGTGACATTAACAGGGAGAGTGAGTTAGTGGTGGAACTAACAGGGAGAGTGAGTTAGTGGTGACATTAACAGGGAGAGTGAGTTAGTGGTGGCACTAACAGGGAGAGTGAGTTAGTGGTGGCACTAACAGGGAGAGTGAGTTAGTGGTGGCGCTAACAGGGAGAGTGAGTTAGTGGTGGCACTAACGGGGAGAGTGAGTTAGTGGTGGCACTAACAGGGAGAGTGAGTTAGTGGTGTAACTAACGGGGAGAGTGAGTTAGTGGTGGCACTAACGAGGAGAGAGAGTTAGTGGTGGCACTAACAGGGAGAGTGAGTTAGTGGTGGCACTAACAGGGAGAGTGAGTTAGTGGTGGCACTAACAGGGAGAGTGAGTTAGTGGTGGCACTAACAGGGAGAGTGAGTTAGTGGTGGCACTAACAGGGAGAGTGAGTGAGTGGTGGCACTAACAGGGAGAGTGAGTTAGTGGTGGCACTAACAGGGAGAGTGAGTTAGTGGTGGCACTAACAGGGAGAGTGAGTTAGTGGTGGTATTAACAGGGAGAGTGAGTTAGGGGCGGCACTAACAGGGAGAGTGAGTTAGGGGCGGCACTAACAGGGAGAGAGAGTTAGTGGTGGCACTAACGGGGAGAGAGAGTGAGTGGTGGCACTAACAGGGAGAGTGAGTGAGTGGTGTAACTAACGGGGAGAGTGAGTTAGTGGTGGCACTAACAGGGAGAGTGAGTTAGTGGTGGCACTAACAGGGAGAGTGAGTTAGTGGTGGCACTAACAGGGAGAGTGAGTTAGTGGTGGCACTAACAGGGAGAGTGAGTGAGTGGTGGCACTAACAGGGAGAGTGAGTTAGTGGTGGTATTAACATGAAGAGTGAGTTAGTGGTGACATTAACAGGGAGAGTGAGTTAGTAGTGGCACTAACAGGGAGAGTGAGTTAGTGGTGGCACTAACAGGGAGAGTGAGTTAGTGGTGACATTAACAGGGAGAGTGAGTGAGTGGTGGCATTAACAGGGAGAGTGAGTTAGTGGTGGCACTAACAGGGAGAGTGAGTTAGTGGTGGCACTAACAGGGAGAGTGAGTTAGTGGTGGCACTAACAGGGAGAGTGAGTTAGTGGTGGCACTAACAGGGAGAGTGAGTTAGTGGTGGTATTAACAGGGAGAGTGAGTTAGTGGTGGCACTAACAGGGAGAGTGAGTGAGTGGTGGCATTAACAGGGAGAGTGAGTTAGTGGTGGCACTAACAGGGAGAGTGAGTTAGTGGTGGCATTAACAGGGAGAGTGAGTTAGTGGTGGCACTAACAGGGAGAGAGAGTTAGTGGTGGCACTAACGGGGAGAGTGAGTTAGTAGTGGCACTAACAGGGAGAGTGAGTTAGTGGTGACATTAACAGGGAGAGTGAGTTAGTGGTGACATTAACAGGGAGAGTGAGTTAGTGGTGGCACTAACAGGGAGAGTGAGTTAGGGGCGGCAGTACCTTCGTGCCTAGAGGTCCGGGTGGCCCGTGTGGTCCAACCTCACCCTAGCGCGACACAGACACGGCCAACGATGTCACTGCGTAACGGCCGACGCGGACACGACCGTGGCGGTGACGTTACGGACTCTTACCCCGTCCCCTCCAGGAGGACTATTATGAGACTGAACGAGCGTGGGAACACGTTTCACCCGGAGAGAACCCGCTCGTATGCGGGGATAACTCTCGATAGAGCTCGGTCATTAACCCCCTCCTGCTCTACTGCATTCTCACAGCGCTGTCGATCCCCCTCCCCCCGCCAGCGTGGGTGGCGGTGCCACCCTCGGCCCGTCGCCATGGCCCCACGTGGTGAGTGCCCTCGAACAGGACCATGGCCCGCGCCTCTCACTGCGGGCCGTTGCAACAACACGTGCGTTGATGAGAGCGCTGTTTAGACAACACGCAAGTTCATCGTGGATGAAAGGCGAGCCGCCGGGCTCGGCGCCGGGCCGCGGTTGTCGGCGGCCGGCGCTGGAGGGGGTCTCGTTGCTACTGGGCTGCCTTCATCTGCACCCCGCATGTGTGGGAGGGATTTCTTTCTAACAGGCCATGACCGCGCTAACTAAGCATAGTTGGGGGGGGGGGGGGGGGGGATGATCGGACTGCCGTCATTTGCTCCCCAATGCGTGACTGAGTTGAAGGCAATGTTCATTTGATGGAGGTGAAGCCAGCTCACCAGACACGTAAAGTGCTCGTCACAAGTGAACAACGATACCTCGCTGATCTCGCCAAGGAGCATAAATCATCATCACGTGACCTCTGGTCATCCTCGCGGCAGCGGCTTTTGGATGGCCACCGAACAAACAAAGACGGTGACTACATCGCGAGCTTTCGGATGCGCTTCTGCGGCCGCCTGGAACGCTCTTCCTTCCGATATTAGGAAGCCGCTGGAGCTATGCACTTTGAAATCGTAGATTGAAATTTTTTTTTACTGATTTTTATGTTTAACTTCTTGTCCTTTCCTCACACCTCCGAGAAGCACGGTAGGTTACGTACGGTGCGAAAGAAGTTCAACATACATATATACTCTCAAACCTTTTATCCTGCATCTGTTTCACACCCGCTGCGTTTATCCTTCTGGCGTGACATTTCTACTATTTGTCAGCAGGAAAGTTACGAGATTGTGGAGTCGCAAATGTATCAGTTTCAAGTGCCAAACATCCCTCTGGTAAATGTTGAATTAGAACACGTTCTGTAATTATCGACGATAAACTCAATCAGACTTATAGAGATACACTGCCACCGCCTTCCCCACGGCACCGTTCAGAAGATTTGCAGGAAACGTTCTGCTCACGGGAATGAGTTTCGTTTTTTGTTGTTTCAGGGGTCACATCTTGAGGGAATGCTGCCCACCGGGGTCAGTGTGGTGAGGACATGGGCGCGGGTGAGGTTAAGCGTTGAAAACGGCGAATCTGGGGCTTGCGGTCCGGCGACTTTCCCGGTGAGTTAAAGTAAATAAATCGCGGGTGATGGACTTGATGTTCGGCCAATCAATCAAACAAACTCGGTGCGTATAAAGTGTTTCTGTGCAGATTCGACGCTACGTAAATCCACATTGTATTGTGTTGGGAATAATGAGTTCAGACGAACAGCACGCGCAGACTTCTGGTCGCCGTGACCCTACACAGGTCGTCAAATGTGTGCTTTGTAGAAGGGCCATTGCCAGAAATCACCTCTTTTATATTTTCTTTTAAGGCCGCAGTGTTGTTGACGAATGCGTTGAGTTTGTTTTTTTGTGTTCATGGTGCTTGTGCGCTATCGCGAACGCAGCAGCATCACCAAATAATTTGTTTAATTTTACATTCATAGGCCACGTGAACGGTTGCTCATCACCATCGAATGAACAATGCCTTCAACTCAATAAACCCGCCTTTGTCCGAGCCGTCACATCGATGAGCACCGGTCACGTGCTGGCAAGACATCATGTTTGCTCTGCTCAAGGGAGCTCGCATGGCACCAGGAAACTCCAGTGGTCTCTCGCTGTACTTTCCACATCCTGATCAGTGTGGAGGGGGGGGGGGGTTGGGGGGGGGGAGGCTCTACCTGCCCATACAGGTACAGCCGTGATTCCTGAAGTGGCGCGTTCATGGTCACACACGAAGATTGCAGAAACGGCGCTTGAATTGCGAGCCCTTCCCGCATCGCGCCGCAAAAAATCCGATCGATTTTGCCCCGACACGGTTTTTGCGGTGCGAGTGCTGGAACGTTTTTTCCCCGTTTTATTTTATTTTATTCCCCCAGAGGTCATTTCCCTTAAAAACAGAACCGAGTACCCGGGGACAGGCGCGCCTTGCTGCCCGTGGCGCTGAGCAAATAAACAACGGCCTCAAGGCCCCAACCTCGATCGCATTCCCCTCCAGCCTCGCCGCCGCCGCCGAAGCTGCGCGCGGCGCTTATTCGTCGCGCTGTCAAATGCGCGTTCCCCCCCCCTCCGACCTCTGAACTTAAGCATCGTATTTCTCGCTAAGATCAACAAGCGTTTAAATTAACGTGCTACCGTTCGCTGCTCGACACGCTGCGTTTCGGCGATCAGGTGCGGGGAACAGTGATCGGGCAGCAACGTTACAGCCGGGATTCATTAAAAGCCGCGGCGACACGCAGCGTAGGCGTACGCACAGTCCCGGCCCACGAACCCCGGGAATAAAAATCCCACACCTGGCACAAAAACCACATCCGGTACACCACTCGCTACGGCTGTGGCTGCAAGACACGTGCCCGATCTAGTCTGTGAGTGACCTGGAAAACATTCAGTGACGAAGACCTGCGTACGTATGGTCATCGCGGCCAGAAGTTGCACGGAGCATTAAGTCACGCAAGCCGCTGTTTTGATCGCGTGTCCGAAAGACTTCCCCCCCCCCCCTCTCCGTCTTTCGGGCGGCGGAATTTGGTTAAAGTAAAGAGCGATACGCAGGACCCCTTGATTTCAAGAGCTAGCGCTAATTGTCCCCCTGGCCAGCGGCCGATAATGACTAGCACCAGGCCGGTGCAGGGCCGCTCCGCGGAGACAGGCGCGCGAAACGTGTTTGCCATTACGGACAGGAGGCCTCCGTGGCAATCATCACGTCAGCGTTCCCTCGCGCGCTCCCAGCTACGGCTAACGAGCTCGGCCGTTTAGCCGAGCGCGGTCCGGACGGGGTGGGGTTTAAAATCCGCTAGACGGTGGCGGCACGGCCGGTGCCGACGAACTGTCACGGCTACGTGAGCTCTGTCTGCAATTGAGGTGGGGGGAGGTGGGGGGGGAGTCGTGCAGAAACTTAATAACCCACAGCATCTCATTGTCAACAAAGTGGGGCTGGTGCTGAGAGAGTGAATTATGAAAATCGTCATGTGACCACCTGGGTGGATAGGATACGATGAAAACCATCGAAAGTGGAAGCTGGCAGCGTGGGTTATCTTTAAAACGGCCCCCCGGTCAAACATACAACGTGCACTATTTTTGGTGTTTTTATGCAATAATCAACAGTATTCTTGTTTACCGTCACTCCGCTCTGTGCCAATTGGCCCAATGTCAACAGAGTAATTTGTGCTACTACACGAACGCCACATGGCTCCGGCTCCAGCAGCTCGACAGCCCCCCCCCCACCCACCGTAACCCCGCCCCGCCCCCACCTCATTGCATCCCAGTATCCGTGGACGCGTGCAGATGTATTAATCGGGTAACTTTGGGATAAGGCAGGATTTGCATATCTTTCATTACACACACCATGGCGATGATACTAAACGGTCATTCGTGAAAGTGGCCAAACATCGCAATGCAGGACCCTCAAGACGATAAGTATTTAGACTCAAGTGAGGCTTTCCTCGATAAACAAATGGCATTACTGTGTTGCTATCATTATTATTATAATGGGCCAGTGCCCGGCCCCCACCAGACCAGGTTAGCTTGGCGAGTTGCATGGGCTGTGAGCGCCCATCTGATGACGAAGCCCACTGCCAGCAGGTTCCAGTTTCTCACTGTGACCTCTGTGGGTCTCTCTATGCGAGTCGAATGGTTTCTATACGAGAAGCCACCGGTTCCTCAGCGATCCATCTGCACGCCTCGGCATCTGAGGCTGGAAAACAACCCTGGAGCGGAGTTTGGTCGGCTCCTCAAACCTGGCCGCAAGAACCGCCGCTGCTCACACAGCGGGACTGATATTGCGATTGCTGGCAGGTATTTGTGCGTGTCAATGTTTGCCAACTTGTTTGAGATAACATTCGGCCTCGTGCTGCTGTAAAAAGAAGGGTGGGCAGTGAATGGACTCGGTTGTCACTTGCATGGCCTGCATGAGGCCCGAGTGCAATCTCCTCCTACCTTCCATCCCATCATGCCTGGCAGGCCGGACTCGCCCTGTGTGCGAGAAGACAACACCGAGCGTTCAAAAAGCTGAATACGTGCAACAAACACAGACACACACACAACAACTACAACTACGGCCACCAGGAGGGCCTCTCCAGTAAACATGGACCATCGTTTGCCAACGTTGGTCCGACGTTACATATTTGCTGCGTCCCCACGCAGTGCGAGTCAGGGGGCCTATTTGACCATCCTTCACCTCGCGGGTCAGTGCAGGCTGGTGAAGGTGGGGGAGGTGGAGGGGGTGGAGGCACAGATGTCAGAGCACAGCACAGTACAACACCAAATTAGCTGCTGGGGTACGGGACGCACGTTGCGTCGTGCGGTTGAGCGCTGACACGTTTCCTGTGAAAAGGAGCTAATCCTGAGAGCGATCGGAACCAGATACAATCTTCTGCCCTCGTGCAAATATGCTTCATAATTCATATAAGGGTCCTGCACCATTTGCTATTAAGCATTTTCCGTCTTATTTTCTTTGATTTTTGCGGTCGCGGGAATTTCTGCTCCGCGGTAGCGGCCGGGCGCGGGAATCCGCGTCTGCCCGGCGGTGCCGAGCACAGGGCGACCGTTTTCCCCCCCGCCGCTCGTGATTAATGACCGAGCCCGTTCCGTCTCGCGAACGAATGAGAATAAAGCCAGAACTGCGTTTAAGTGTGACCCTCCGAGTGGCGTCTTGGTTACACAGAGCTCGGTGTGGAATCATGAAATGAATTACAGCCACCCGCAGCCTCTTTGTCGGTGTGTGTGAAGCCCAATCCGAGATTCGAGGACAGCAACAGAGAGATCCCTAAAGGGGGGATCGGGACATCTGGCCAATCGATCGTTCGGACAATGTCTCCATTTATCTACATCGGCCGAGCCATGTGCCTTGTGTCCTTTATTCGTAGGTACGGCATTGCGCAGCAGAGGGCAGTGTAGCAGATCCACTGTTGCACTGTTCTGCTATGCACCCACGTGTATACTTCCCAACTTCACAAAAAAGCCGCACCAACCAGCGCAAGGAAGCATCTTCAAACATTCTCTACGATGCCCTCAAGTTTCAAGTTTATTTTGTTTAACCGGGCGAGAACTCAAGACACCAGTGACGAGTCTCACATGCAAGAGCGACCCCGGGTGACGAAAATTACGAAAGCAAAACAAATAAGGATGAAGTACAGCAGTGAAGGAAATAGAAACGAGCGCAAAAAAACAACTGTAACGTGAGAAATCTAAGATATTGCAAATCAACGTACAATAATTAAATTCCACGTAGCGCAAGTCAGCTCCGGCAGATCATCCAGAAGTGCATCGACAAAACTGTCCGTCACGTGCTCATGAATTGAATTATCAAATTATTTGACCGAGTTTGTGAAAGCACCGACCTTCTCTCCGGTCCTGCCCGGGAGGCCACCGTCTCCCTTCTCTCCCTGTGGACGACCGCAAACGAGAGGCGAAGCAGATGAGAGGCTCAGACGCCGAGCGGCGCACGGTCGCAAGCACAGCCGCCGCGAAAGCAAAGAAACCCGCGGAATGTAACGAGTTTAAAAAAAACAGTGATGTAGAGAGAAAAGTCGTCGACGCTCACCTGAAGCCCCGGCAGCCCAGGTGAGCCCTGTGGAGTCAATACAAAAATAACCAACAGCTTGATCTCTCCTTGACAGCCTTTTTATTTTTAATTCCTGGCTGCTACTGGCCTCACGACGATCGTAATAAATAAGTATGCGCATTAGCTCTAAGTAGGGATGTGATTCAACGGAGCTCGTGGAAATAGCCTGTTTTGTTCACAGAGCTCTCACTCTCAAACAAGTTACATATGGGCAGGGTATTTTACGCCATTATGGACAAACAACAGATGGAATCGAAGAAAATAAACGAATACACTGTCGTGAACTGTCATGCACGAGTCAAAAATAAAATAAAACTCAGCACATTCGGCAATAACACTGTGGCCTTCAAATAAAGGCAATATATAATAGGCGACGTTTCAGGCAATGTCCCTTATTCGCAGCACATGTTTTGTTGTTGTTGTTGTTGTTAATTGTGCTTGTGCACCACTACCAACGCAGCAGCATCATCACCAATTAAACTGTTCTACAAGTTAGAATCGGTACGCAATGATGACGAAACACTTCGTCGTCATTGCAAAGCGCACCGTTTTGACATGCATGCTCGTGACATGACCGTGACATCGCTGTCACGTGTCTTAATTCGTTAACGCCGTGATGTCACGCGAGTGCAAATTACGGAGCGCTTAATGACGGTGACATTAAAATCGCTTCGCCCCCCCCCCCCCGCTAACAACGCTTTTTCAAACTTCAAACATAAGACAGCCCGGTTAGAATATAAAATAAAATACGAGCAAAGATCAGGCACAAAACAGTGTTAAACTTCAAAGTCATATCCTAGGAAAATGAGGTGTTTTGGAAAGCAGCGCCAATCGCGGGGCAGGCTATTTAAAGGAGTCTAAATTGTGCTCGGGAGACCCGCGTGACTTATGAAGCGTCAATATTAATTACGTATGGGGCGGCAACCCCCATCCCAGGGCATACAGCGCACACATAGCTCATACAGGGTGTGTAATCTATTATTTTACTTTACCCAGGAAAGCCTCACCCGAGTCTCAAGACTCTTGTTGAGGAGGGTCCTGACAAGTTTTCACAATGGGGGGGGGGGGGTGGGGGGGCGATGTTTGCTGTATCGTAATCCCAATTGAATAGTTTGCCAGGTACATTTTTTTTGTTGCATTGGGATGTTATTGGCCAATATCGGTGACATTGTGTGTTGACTTATTTTTTGAGCTGTGGGGAGGAAACTGGAGAGCCCAGAGAAAAACCCCTTGCAGAACAGGGGGGGGGGGGATATATACAGAAAGGTGTCCTAGCCGCGAATTGAACCCACTCAGTAAACCTGTCACTTTGGCCCAACGTTGGGCAAACGGTTCCAACCACACGCCAACTTTGGCCCAACGTTGGCGTGTTTACTGGGCAGGTCCTTCTTGCCGCGAGGTGTTTCCACTGCGCCACCCTGTTCCCCCTTAGACAGAAGCCGCTTGACATTTGGGTTACGTCTTTAAGCACAGAGGAACGCTCGCTCGCTCACTCGCTCGCTCACTCACCTTGGAGCCATCCTTGCCAGATTGACCGGGCTCACCCTGTCGAGGAACAGACACGAGCGACAAACTGCGTGAGCGGCTCAGCTCGGGCTGGGCCCGGCTAGCCAGGCCGATCGCACCTGCGATTAGCACGGTTGGCTACGTACGGTGCGTCATAAGTTCAACGTACCCATACGTACGTACGTGTATGTACGTGGGCAGCAGCGCACGGGGGCAACGTGCCCGGGCGCCGCATTCTCACGGCGTGACTCACTCAGGGGGCAACGCAGATCGAGCGAGGCTGAGAAAAGCTGATGTTACATAATTGTGCCTCGCCGGACACCGAGTGTGAGGTTTGCTGAGGGGGGCAATTATAAGAGAGGTGGCGGGGACGGTGCTGGTGGTGGTGGTTGTGGCCATTTCGGTGGAGCGTGGCGGGTTACAAGAGAGCGGCGCGCAGAGGGCAAGTGCTGTTAGCGAGCGCCTATCGAGGCCAGAATGGCGAACGGGGAGGGGGTGGTGGCGGGTGGCTGGGACAACAAAAAATAAAAAAAAGAGCCGTGGAAAAAACCGACGTGCCGCGATTGAAAATCCCGATGAGAAGTTTTTCGCCGGCCAAGCGCGCAAAATTTCCGAGCGGATGTTTAAGATAATTTCCGGATTGATATTGGGGATGAGAGGGTGGGTGTTATTGCAGGGATAAAGGCGCTGGGGCACAGGTGGATAAGTGGGTCACGAACGCACGCACGCACACACGCGTGCACTCGCGCACTCGCAAAACACGCAGCGCAGATGTGGGGATGTGCTGCGTCCCTTGCACTGCCACACACACCGCACATACTCATGCATGTGCACGCTTTGCAGATGACCACACCAATGCATAAACATTTATATGCATAGACAAGGAACTCGTGTTTAGCTGGCATGGTCCATCAAGGGGGTAAAGCACCTTGCCCGGTGGCCACCTTTGTCTCCCGAGTGTACATTTTCCACACTGTACCAGGTCAACCGAATGAAGGTTGAGGATAGCTTCAAATATCACTTGCCACTAACGCTAGCCGTGTTCGGGAGTTTAACTGCGACACAACAAAGACCCCCCGTATAGCCTTAACAGACTTTTGGAGCAAGTGGTCTTAGCGAGCACCTTTGAAGGACAGCACAGCACATGAATTGGAGTGGTTGACCAGCACCATGCCTGACTGTCTTTGTCTCCCTCGTGGCGATGTTTTTTTTACAACCGGACCAGGTACTCCTTTGAGGTTGAGTCGACCTAGGAGAGCCCAAAGACCAGTCCAGATAGTCACTGGCGTTGGCCGCGAGCGGGAATAGAACTCGGGTAACTGGGTTCACAAGCACAGCGCGCTAACCACTACACCACAACTCCCCGCAACTCCGACACACACACACTCACCGGCAGCCCCAAGGGGCCACGGGGTCCGTCTTTCCCCATATCGCCCGCCGGCCCTCTGGGTCCTGGCAGGCCGATGGGACCGATGGGGCCTGGAGGGCCGGGTGGTCCGGGCGGCCCAGCCTGGCCCTGGTCTCCCTGGGGACAGCAAGCCAAAGACGCGCTTGGTTGGCCGCTGCGTTCACGGCAGGCGGCTCTCTACGTCGAGTGGGTCGTGGGTGGAGGGAGGAGGCCGCGCGGTTTTGGCCACCGCCCTGCACCTCACGCAGGGTGCCACGGCCTAGAGGACCATGTGGGTTCTATTATTTAGAGTATTTGGCTGCTGTAAATTTCCACGTGATAAGCCACTTCGTTGAGCTTACATTTGTGGCCAAGTTGTTTCTGAAAAAGAGCTATATAGCTCAGTGGGCTTTACCTGGTATAATAAAAATAGTTTCGTTTATTATCCTCTCAGATGCGTTTTTCGGTACCGCGTGTTATGTCCGGCGGTTCGCCCCACGTGCTGGGAGCATCTTCGGTTCTTCATCTTCTTCAGGTTCCCAATTTACTAACGATGTTGTTAACATTTGACTAGTTCTAAGAAAACAGTTAACCCTGCTCATCGTTCTCATCACAAAATTACACCATTAACTCTCATCCACCACAAATATCGCAAACTTCTTCTTGTGCACGGATTGATAACAGCAGATTAATCATGCAAATTTGCTCTGGCAAAACACGAGTGACACAGCGACACAACGGCACATCATCATTATCATCATCATCATCATCGTCGAGAACCGAATACGAGCGCAGGTAGACACCGCAGCCCCGCCCCCACGTCGTACCCTGGAAGCAGACGGGCGCGTTAAAAGCCGCGGCTATCGCTGGAATCTCAGCAGCTACAGCTCGATGCTATCAGACCTTGGTTGTAATTACTCTTGAACCCATTCCTGGGCTGAAGGAGACGGGAGAATGGGTTTGTGATGATCCGTGTTTGGACAACTGGCTCGCGAGTTTAATTTCGCTCCGATCCGAAACGCGCGGTGCGGAGAAGGTCGGCGGCTTTGAAGGTCATATTTTTGAAAGAAAAAAAGCCACATGGATAAGGAAGATGGGAAAACAAGAGGCGAGATTCGTGCAGCGCGGGTGCACCTGCAAGCACGCACATGCGCTTGCGCGCGTACATCTCCCTAAGGAGGTGCACGCGCACATCACATTAACACACACTCCTGCCGCATTGCCTCTCCGTATTATCCATACGGAGGCATGAAGAGTTTTGGTCTATGCCAGTAATGTCAATTTCATGACCGGATGGATGCTTCGTCCCAAAAGTGCAGGCCTGAGGCTCCTATCGTAGACATGCCTTTATTTATTTAGTCATAACATCTGCTTATTGTTTCCCAATCCTCGCGATTACAACTGCCATTTCAACGCGCGCAACAAACCGGGGCAGCTCGCACGGTCCCGCCGATAGACTTGCGAGCTCTGAGCAGAACGGGGAGGCAAAATTTGGAGCGACGCGTCGTCCGCCCGCTCTGCTCACGATCGCAGGACGGCGGACGGAGGCGGGCCGTGTGCGAGGGCCGACCGCGCATTTTGGCACGGGGCATTGGCGGACGACGGAGCGCCCTCGAATCAGACGCCCGAGCGCTGAAGATCGCCGTCACAAATGGGCTGGAGGCATTGGTGCGGCACGGGGTGGGGACGGGGGGGGGGGAGTGGAACGCGACCCCACGCACAGCCGATGGTGGGCACGCTGGAGTCTACCTTTATCAACCGCCGCTTAATAATGTGCTGGTCGGCCGCCAGAAAGTCGTAATTCGTTCGAGGAAACACCAGCTGAGAAGATGGAGGGTCGGTCACGCAGGCGAAAGGATTGGGGGGCACGGGCAGCACAGGGAGAGGAAAAAAACAGCAGAGGCAGGAGAGAGTCGGGAGAGGCAGAAGGTAAAGGGAGGGACAAAAATGACAGCCGTAAAGAGAGAGAGAGATGAAAAGCCTGTACTTGATAAACGTCACAATCGTCTGGAAATCGGAATCCAGGGGCGAAACAACAAACCCGCCTCTCAGTGTCGGCATTACCGTTACCTTTCCACATTCAGCGCTACCCACGCAGGTGCGTGTGATTACCGTCGGCACCTTAGACAAATCTTCGGGGAATATAAATTAGACGGTAATGTGCCGTGATTGATATCCCCTCAGTGTTGAGAGAGGCGGTGGGGGTGGGGGTGGAAAGCAGTTCCCACTTTTACAGAATTATGTTCGTTTCATATTTTCTCACCCCCCCTCCCCCCGCCCTCCTTTGCTGCCACGTGTATTTGGCAGGCGCGCGCGTTATTCACGCGCCTCCGCCATGGGGAGACCAAGAATGAGATGAAGAAGCGTGAGCAGGAGGACTGCCTCTTTAGTTTGCAAGCAATGTGTTCGATCTTTGCGGCGAGCAAAACTTTTCCTACTCCACACATCAATCTGGTCTCCAGCTTCCTCTTTAATTTCTGGGCGCCTGTATTCGTCTGTGTTTTGATTGGCTGCCCAGATTACCTGTGGATTCCGACTCCCGGGCTGTTTGAGCGCACAATCAGATTTGGCCAAGATGCTGATCACCTCAAGTTTAAAGTAGAGAAGACAAAGAGACTGGATCAACATAAAAAGTAGGCAGCAGTTTAGTAACCGCATGTTCAAAGCTCTCATAATTCTCCATGTCCGCGGCCAGATGTAAAAATCACGCTCGCCTCAGAGCGAAAGACAAGCGCAGTGATGTATTCCATGTACCCCTGTCCCGCCAATTATTCCTCTAATTAACGCCTCGCTGCTTGCAAAATGCAGCCAGTCAGACGGTCTGTCTGGCAAGACCTCCGTATGTCTGGTGATGGAACGAGCCGAGATCGCTGAGAGTGCAAGGGAGTGGGCAAAAAAAGTTACAATTCCCCGAGAATAATAAATGTACAATTCCAACTGTGGCTTGCGTCGTTGTGATAGGGGGCTGTCTCTTTAGTTTGCAAGGAATTTGCTCGATGTTTGCGGCGAGCAAACACGCAGGCCTCATTCTAAGGAGCTAGCCTCCTGACCCGAACGACAACGGCCTCTTCGCCAATATCTTGACCATCGCCCACTTCACTTGGTCTCCTGCCCAACGTCAACGGATCTCTTCATCGTCTGCCATAGGCTTGGATGGGGAATTAAACCTCCGCCCGAGACAAGCTGGGCCAGTAAAGCCCCCTTGTTAAAACGAGGCAGAGCTCTGTCCGGGGCAGCTTGGCCGAGGCCGAGGTCATCAGTTTTCTTGGCAAACTCCCATTGTGCGCGTCTCGGATGGAACCCGAGATGGAACGGGGGGGGGGGGGGGGGCGAAAGGGGCCACCGAGGCCGACCCCCTGCGCTGACAGGGTCCAGACAGAAATGGCTGGATTCCAACGACCACTTAAACACAGGTCACTGGGCTTTCGCCAAACGCGCAAATTTTGTCTGCCGCCCGGCCACCGCGATGTGGGTGGGTGGTAAAACGGAGGTGGATTTTGTCTTTTTCGATTCGTCAATTTGTAAAATGAATACGTTTTTTGGGGGGCCCAAAATTTGTTGCATGCAAGAATGGGGAAAATAGTTTGTAAATCCTATGGTACAATTTATGATGATCGTTTTGGCTTAGAAAATACATTACCAATGAAAAACTGGGTCATATTTGATTGAATTACAAATCTAAATTGCATAATTGCATTTTATTAATAGAAGCTATTGCCTCACACCTACCGCACTAAACGGGCAGACAGAATTACGGCGTAAAAGTGATGCCACAAGCAGCCCAAAAGAGTCTCAGACGGCTCGATTTTAAAACAATCAATTTTCCAAAGTGGCCAATCGGAGTGAGAGCGAGTCCATCGGCAGAAAAGAGAAAAAAATAAGCCACTGCTCAATCCTGCCCGCAATTTCCCAGTGTTTCTGAACGAACCAAGTAGCCAAATTTTATTGGGGAAAAATATCACTCAAAGGTGCTGCGAGTTGCTCTTGGCCCAGCCGCGGTGCCGTGACCTGTGCTTGCGCGGGGGGGGGGGGGTGGTGGCTCCAGCCAAAGGTGTGTACGCTGTGTGGCCACGGCCACAGCCTGTGACGGCACAGAATTTGGCACTTAAACCGTCCCATGACCAAACCTCCCCTCCCCGCCCCCCCGGAACACGGACCTTCATGTGGATCTGGTTACTGTGCAGAAGATGGCTGTGTGTGGGCGGCAACCCCGGTAAGCCCTGTCGCGTGACGCGACAAAGCCATGAGCAGGAGAGGGGATTGTGGGGTTGGGGGGGGGGGAAAACACATCACAACGCACAGCAAAACATGGGTGAGGCATGCAAACACACATCATCACACAGGCTTTGGTTGTTCATCACTGGGGCCCTCGGATTTTCCGTGATGTTTTCGTTATGCGTTTGCCTTTTTTGTTGTTGCTCACATTGGACATCGATTCATCACTTAAAATCCAGGTCCCTATTAATCACGTTAGAAAAAAAGGCAACTGTTCGTTAATTGTTAGGAAAAAAACTAAAGTTATGCAAGCTCAGACACAATTCATCAATACGTAATTCAATCACGAAGCAATATGTTCGGTCTAGGGCAACAAAGTATTTTCTGAGAAAAAAAACTGGTTTCATTTTTAAAGCCATGGCTCCTATGACTCCTTGATCAATTGACGGAATGTGGTTTGGAATTTTTTTTTTGCTCGGGCAGAAATTATTCAAGAACATCAAGAGCAGCTGCAGTTTGGGTCGAAGTCGGCTTTACACAGGCCTCAAGTGAACAGGATCCCGGTGGCCTTGGCCGACTGGGCCCTGTACCCTGCGACTGCCTGGGCCCTGTACCATGCATTGTCTCGGCCCCTTGCCCTTGCACAGTCTATGTACCGTGCCCACACACCTCCCCTGGGCGCTAGAGGCAGCGCTATCGTCTCGATCGCTTGTCGTGGGTGGCACGGGCGAGGTTCGCTCAGGAACGATTAAATCCAACACGGCCTACTGCACCGGTCACTCTGATCAAAGCCTCGCTCAAAGTCAAATTCTGCCCCACTAGCCGTAGGTGGCATTGTTTTGCAAAGTCGCTTTGAATTTTATTTTTGCCAAAAAGCTTTTTTTTTCTGCTTCTCCAAAATAAATGCTAGCAAAGCCAGTCATCAGTGTTCTGGCAGCCGTCAAGATCTGAGGGGCTGAGGCCGAAAGGGGCTAGAGGGTTCTTAAGTTGGGCGAGAGGTGATCGGATTTGAGGAGGGTCGACACACGATCACAATCCCTTCACCTCTGCACTGGCCCAGCCTTCATTTAAAGGGCCGCCCTCATTTAAGCCACGCTCGCGTTACAGATTTTCGGCCGGCAATGGCAGCAAAGGGCAGTTTTCCGATGCTACTTAGAGATTTTAAACAGAAACCTCATCTGTTTGTCTAGCCTAGGCATTTGGCTTAACCCGGGGCCATGAAGCGAACCTATTTGGGACAGCGAGCCAGACGGTTTACCGGTAAATGGATGTCCCTCGTTGTCTGGCCTTCTGGGAAGCTTTAATCTCTAATAAGGCTCCTTTTCATTTAGCATCAACCACCGCGCTGCAAACTATTTAAATTACGGAAACTGCATTTTTTTTCATAACGAGGTCATTATTGCGCACGTGAAACGTTTGCGTCGCTTCAGGGATGGTAAATAGTGAGAGGAATTGTGTAAGCAACAGCGGCATTTCAGCTCGGGCAAGTCCCGCGGCGGCACAGCGCAGATGCTGCTAAACCCAATTCCCCACGACGCCTTTGCGCGTCTGACTCGACCGCAAACAGCCACGGACGAGCGGTTGCCAGGGCCCGGCCACCAGACAAACTGCCACCGATCGGGTGGGGTGGGGGTGGACCTCTCCGAGGCCTCACCGCGGCAACCCGCGGGCTGCCCCTCTCTCTCTCTTTGTTTTGTGGAAATTTGGCAGCAAATTTGGAGAAAGAAAAAAATAAAATCCTCCGCGAGCCGCAGACAAGATCCACATGCGCGCGGCGTAATTGACGCCCGCTTCTGTTTGTTCTGGGCGCTCTGCTGGCTTCTGCCGCATTCCTCTTTTGCAGATTATGTCAGCAGCGAATTAAGTGACGGATCGGAATTCTCGCCGCCGCCACTTCTGGGCTGCACGAAATCAAACAAAATAGCAAGTGCAGTGGAGCCAAGCTCTCCGCCCCCCACCACCAACCCTCTCTCTGCTCACCCCACCAGAGCCGAAAGGAGGCAAGTTGAAATAGAAAAAAACAAACGGCTGTTATTTTAATGTTAGTATCTCGAGGCTCAAAAAGCCGTGCGTAATTAAAACAGCTGCGGGCCGGTGCCTCGATTCCACCTTACCCTCGCGCCCATGTCACCCTGGTCGCCCTGCAAAAGAAGGAGATCATTGTGTGAAGTGGTGGAAAACGACGGTCGGAGAGTTAAAATGGACATCAAAAGTGTGAGAAATATTTCGGTTTATTCGAAATCAAAATTGCCCCTTTTTTTGTTTGAAATTCGGTAACTTTCCATCGTTAAAAAAAACCTGATTTTTTTTATCTTAATTAACCGCTGCTGGCGGAGTGTTTTGCGATTCAGGCGTGAAGTTTTTGACAGTCGCATCATGATCGTAACCATGATTGGATGGAATCTGTCCCATGCGACACATTTCAACTTAAAGAAGTTATTCGCTGCGTCCGAAAAGCGACGCACTACCGCAATGATTAATTGTACTGTACATCTGTATTCATGTACAGTAGGGTGTCACGCAATATGCGTTTCAGCTTTCTGGGCCCACACCTCTCAAGTTGTTACTTTTGGTGTTAAAGTCAACAGCTGCATACGTCAGCCTACTCTGTCTCACATTTACAAGTTTCTCAGAACACAATCCCTTTCCTTCTCAGCATATGCGCTTATACCACAGGGTTCGGCAACTTGCGGCTCTTTAAGGACTCCTTTGGGACCTTTGTGACATTATTCATTAAGGACCGCGTCTCGTATTCACGTGCATTGCGGCTTTGAAATATAGATTTTCTTTTTACCGATTTCGAATTTTTTTACTCTTTTTGTCAATTTGGTTGCCGGTAGCCGGCTTATTACCATGCCTATACCTACTACAGACTGCACCGCATTTTTCGACTCCGTTGACCGGTGGTTTCGATTTAACAGCAAACGAATAAAACCAGGAGACCGTGATCTCGAAAATAGCAACCTTGAATTGGAACGTCACCCCCCTTCGAGTCGGTCCACTGCTGAATGAGAACTCTCCCAAAGCATTGTTGGCCGTGGAGGTCATTTGACCAAACTTCACCACACTGGTCACGATGTGGGTTGGTGAAGGCGGGGGAACATGCACGTGGGAGCATACGAGTACAGTAACAAAATTGTAGTTTGCTGCACTGCCCCTCTGCAGCACACGATGTGGCCCTGTAGCAGCCTAAAAACAACGTTTGTCCATCATAGTTACCCATCTAAGCACTATCCAGGCTCAACCATGCTTAGCTTCCAAGATCTGACGAGATGTTGGTGCGTCCCTGGTGATTTCGTGATGAGCGATGATTCATGAGGGGTCATTAATCAGCGTGCACAGGAAAATGCATTTGGATTTATTGGCACGGATACAATCTCCGCTGCATGTCTGCATCGGTTGTTTTTTGATCTGAAGGTGCTGATGACACCGGGGTCACGCGTCCCTGGATCACTGGCCAACCAATCAAGCGGGCAAGACTATTTTCGGGAGAGATTTTTTTTTTATAGAAATGATGTTGCGTTAGCGTGCACTTGGAGCTCATGGGGGATCGTATTGTATTACTTTCCTTTGAGGGCACCCGCGAGATCGTATGAATCTGACGTGACGGATGTGCGCCGGCTTAGAGCCTGCCGATGTGGAGTTCACACGTGAATACATTTGGCGCAGAGCGCCCCCGGTGTCTGGCTTATGCGGCGGCAAAGATGAAAACATCAGGCCAGACGGATCATCGGCAAACTTTATACCCCAGCAGCTACCCCTTCAGATTTTTTTTTTAGAAATTAACAGATACATTTTTTTTTATTTGACGGAATAAAAATTGTGCCAAGGGTGACCAGAAATGCACGTGTTCCCACGTGCACTCATGCGTGCACGGGGGGGGGGGGGGCGGCGGGGGGGGCTTGGAGGAGCCCAGGAGCAGTTCGTACCTTATCTCCTTTTGGACCAGCAGGGCCCTGCAAAGAAAAATAAAATTCAGACAAGCGGTCAAGCGCACACTTTGCTTTTCACTTGACCGTAGTTGCACAAGCAGCCACCCCCAACCTCGTGATCGCAGCCCCCCGTGTATGCGGCCAGGAGACCCTTTCCTCGACCGCCGAGGGATGAGAAATGCCAATCGTTTAGTGTCGCAATCGGTGCTAAAACACGAACCTTCGCGTCTCCCTTGATTTGCTTTCACCTAAAGGGCTGGCTGCAAAAATCCTGCTTTCCGTTCCAGCAAAATATTGGGCTGGCATTTAGAGCCGGCCACAACACGCTCTCCACGCTCAACATCTTAGGACAATTTTTAGCCGTAAGTAAATGCGATCGCATTCAATTTGACAAATTTAAACAAAACCGCACGGCTCCCAGCGCAACATCAAAGCTGCGTGCGTTTTTGCGCAAGTATGCGTTAAGTTTTTTTGAGCTCGAATTTCCCGTAAAGATACGAAACAGGCTCGAGGGGGTCGAGCGGGCCCCCAGGCGGCTGGAGTCCCACGGGGGGCCAGCGCTCAATGCCGGCGAGGGCTGTTGAGCCCCGGGGCAGCGGCCAGACCTCCGACACCAGCAGGCTCTCCCTGCGTTTCCCCCCCAGTGGGCCGGTGGGGCCAGACTGACGTCCAGCCAGACGTGGGCTTCATTTTGGCCAGGCTCGGCTCCATTCCGGCTTGTAATCGCTCGATAAATATTCCTCGCTAGTGCTGATGGCGCCATCGCGAGAGAGGCTCGGCCGTTCCGTGTGCGTTTTCCAAGTGCTGCTGGTTCCAAGCGTGCGCTGCATGGAAATGATGACCCCTTTTCCTTAGATTTTTTTTTATTTTTTAAATATTTTTATTTTCCTTAAATTTAATTTTTGCTGGGAAGTTTTTGCTGAAACGCACAAGTTAGATGCTCGGTCTCGTTTGTGTTGGGGGAAGAGGGGATTTCGAGAACTGGCGAGCTAGCGGATATTTTGGCCAGAGCAGATTTGATTGACCCGCGGTGGATTTTAGCCAGAACCTCGGGGTTACGCCCCCCGTGTCCGTCTGCTAGGAGATGAAGTGGAATGGCTACGGGTGGGGGGGGGGGGGGCGGCGATTGCGCTGACACCCATTTGTAAAGAGAAATCTATTCTACGGGCGACAAAGTTGAAAATGATGCGATCGCTGGTGTTTCCGATCGCGTATCCTATGTTGGGTGTTTAACAAACGTGACCGTAAAAGGTTTGAAAGTTTTGAGCGGTGTGGTGCAATGAAAGACGACGAGAAGTCAGCTGGACTTCTAGTAGAAAACCAGTGCCCTGGGTGTTGTAGAAAAAAGTTTGAGCTGCAATTTCTTGTCAGAAAACTGGATCACGGAGCAAATAATGGCCTACAAAATTGAGGTGATCGAGGGAAGGGAGGGGATGATTAAAAGAAAACGTGGAGAAAAGAGGCAGAAGATGTCTTGGATAAATGGTGCCAGAGCGATGCTTGGAATGACTGCGGTGAATGCGTCAAGGCTGGCACGAGATCATGAGAGATGTAGGCTGATTGTGCAAGATGCCACAACCACTCCGAACTCCGAGCAATCTGGACGATGATGACGATGATGATGATGTTTGCAGTCTTTCATTAATGCAACATTGTTTTGGATGCAAGCCGTGTGATGTTCCAACATGTTCCTTAATCCGTGTTGCAGGAATTCTGCAGGCACTTACATTTGCTCTGCAATGCTTTTCATCAAGCCGTTCATCAAGCCCGTATTGTATTTGCTCACTGGACCACTCCGTATTTGTTTGCCCTGCCCATTACGACTGTTTACTACCGCTGCCTAACGATAACAATACAGTGACAGAGTTGCGGGAATTTAAACGAATGGCTCTGGCAGAGCTGTGCTGTAAAGGGGTCACGAGGTCAGCTTTAAAGCCGACATTTGATGTGGGTTCTTGTTTCTTTCGAGAAAACAACATCATTAATTGCTTTTCGTCCCCCTTGATAATTATTTCTTTAACCCCCCCCCCCCCAACAATTTCACCGTCTTTTTTTGGCCAACTTCAAGGGCTGGTGTTTGTGCGGGAGGCAACGTGTCGGGCCCCAAAAGGGCTCCGCTGGCACAGGGGGCATGGCTCGAGCCCAGATCTCACGTTTTCTTGCAAAACGATAATTGGCCGACCCTCAGACTCCCTAACCTTGACCCAACGCTCTGATACTCAGATCTGACATCGATGATGTTTGCCCAATGGCATTTTGCCCAATGACATTGAAATGGCTTGTTGTATGTATGTTGTACTTCTTTTGCACCGTACGTAGCCAACCGTGCTATTTGGAGTTGCGATTAGCACTGTTATTGACCAACCCGCACTTATCAGTGTGGTGAAGTATGGTCATACAACCCCCCCCCCCCCCCCATTACTGACACAGCTTGGGGAAGACTTCATCCAGCAGCGGGATTTTTTTAATGCCTGTAAATTATTAATTCTAGATTTGAAATGCGATGCAGTGAAAAAAATCCAAGCATAAAAAACACAGCCACCCAGCTGCAAACAGATATTCAGAGATTTAACAGTCCACTGCTGGATGAAGGCCTTCCGACACTCTGTCAGCCATGGGGTACAATAACAGGTTGAATATCACTGGCCACTAACATTAGCCGTGGCTGGTAGTCGAACTCAGGTGTTTAGGTTTGGAGCCCAATGCGCCAATAAGCACTGCGCCACCGTTTCACCCAATACACGAAGCAGATAACTGCTGCAAAATGCAAACGTACAGTATACAGTCACCAATTAACATACACACTCTCTCCTGTACGACTCAGGACAAGGCTGCGTGCAGAAGGGCACCTGAAACCGCACAGTGATGGACGCCCCACGACTGAGCCAAGACTGAGCCAGGGATGAGACATCACAGTTGAGCCGCGCGTCCAGATTTGGCTGGCGAGTTCTGAGCGCCATCGTCTCTGTGCCACCCACGGTGGCCGCTCGCCGGGCATCCGTCACCAGCGAGATCGGAAACCCAAAGCGGCTAAGAGCATCAGCGCCTCTGTCACGGCTCACGGAACCGGGGAGCGCGGCTCTAATCGTCGCCACCGCGCCGACAATCAACGCCAGGGCCCGCCACGATTTGTGTGTTTTTTACTTGCTTATGTATTACCGGAAGATGTTGAACTTTTTTTTTGCATACGTCCCTTGGGGGAAAAACAATTATTTGAGACCCAGAGGGATAGCGTGCTGCGTGTGGTGGTGGTGGGGGAGGGTTTGTCGTTGACCATTGTTACTATCGTGTTATTGTATACGGCACTGTTATTAGCCTGCCTCAAAGTGGTTACGGCAAAAGGTTGGCTTCGGCGCGTGACTCGGTGTGGCAGCGTTTGAAGTTGGTTTCTATCGAAGTCGTTTCCGCGAGTTTGCCAATTTTGAGCTCGATTCGTCATGTATTCTCCCATTGGCCGTCTCAACACAGCCTCGGGGCTGTGTAATGAGTGCACGGGGAACATGGGGGACATGGGGGACAAACTGAGAGATGCAGGGGCCACATCAAGGTCGAGGTGAAGAGTTCATCACGGCCAACATATGTATGTATGTTGAACTTCTTTCGCACCGTATGTGGACATCCATTGCTAATCAATCCCATAACTGTTGTGCAGTAAACACACTTGCAGTCTCATCATCAACACTGCCATCTGGCTTTAGATCTTTCCCTTGGTCCCCAATCACAGGGTGCCAATCCAATGCTCACATTGGTAACCTGCCCTCCTCTATTCTGCACACGTGTCCCTCCCATCACAACCCCTGCGCAATGCTTTCCCACCACGCTCTATTCCCAGCCTCCAAGTTGCTTAAGCCTTTCCTCCTCCGTTCCTCACACGTGTCTCACAGATTGTAACCTCATCTTTATGACTTCATCGACGTTTTCCTGCAACGTTCTATTCCAAACTGTCGACTTGTTTTTCGCGTATTCAAAGGGTAGATAGCATCGCTTCTTGTCGCTTTGTTAAAGTCCATCTTTTCTGAGCCATTTGTGCGGTGGACACAGGCACTATTACTCTTGCTTCAAAAAGTGGACCATGTGAGAGTGTAGGGGAAACCGGTCGTGGTGGTGGCGGTGGCAGCAGTGGCTGCGGTGACGGCGGTGGTGGCGGTGGCAGCGGTGGCTGTGACGGTGGTGGTGGCGGTGGTGGCGGTTGTGGCGGTGATGGTGGTGGTGGCGGTGACGGTTGTGGCGGTGGTGACGGTGGTGGTGGTGGTGGCGGTGGTGGCGGTGATGGCGGTGGTGGCGGCGGTTGTGGTGGTGGCGGTGATGGCGGTGGTGGCGGTGGTGGCGGTGGTGGCGGCAGTGACGGTGGTGGTGGCGGTGGTGGCGGTAGTGGCGGTGGTGGTGGTGGTGGCGGCGGTAGCAACTGAGATGACTAAAAGACAACTCACAAGCTCTCCTTTGGTACCCGGCTGACCCTGCGAACATAAACAGCGGGGAAGGGGCTATGAATAATCACTCGAGGCATTGGAATATTTATGACAGAGCTGTAAATGAATCCAGCGAGATGCAGTTGCATGTAAGTGCTTAATAACTGTAAATTCCTCTTCTTTGCTTATACTTACTAATTTTTTTGTGAGTTTTAGTTTAAAAAAACAGTTTAAAATAGTCTAAGTACGGCAAAACATTTTTGAGAACGCTGCATATTTTATTGAGTATTCATAGTTTGAATACTTTTCATAATAAATCTACTACTGCCCTGCGTCAATCCACTGGTGGGTGAATGTCTCCCCCATGCCTTGGCGGTCAGTTTGACCATACTTCACCATGCGGGTCAGTACGGACTGGTGAAGAGGGTGGGGAGTTGGCAGTTTGGGGTTGGATGGGGGGTTTGGCAGCAACAGTTCAGATATCACTCGCCACTGATGTTAGCCGTGGCTGTGAATCGAACTTAGGTCGCCGGGGTTATCCAAGCCGAGTCCACTATACACACTGCGCCATCACAAACTCTAAAACAATCCTAGAATAAATACCGTAGATTTAATTCCGTTGTACAAAAGCCAGACCCTAAACACGCACGCCCATTACATTAACAATCGAACGTTAAAACAATTATGCTTCTGTGCAGCCGAGATATTTGACGTACGTGCTTTCCATCCAGTCCAATTGGGCCCTAAAACAAACGACAAAGAGAGAGAGAGAGAAAACACAAACACACGCGAGAATTATAACGGGAAACGGAGGGCAGCGAAAAACACGACGACGCTTCAACAGAGCAACTGCAAACAATTAGGGGGGTACATTAGCTTGAGCAAAGACAATTGGGCGAAAGTGACAGGTGATCGGAAAGGAAAACAAATGAGCGACAGGGAGAGCAGCAAAGCCAGCGGAGGTTAGGAGTGAGGCAGAGAACCAGGGGAAGAAGGGCCGCCCTCGTCTCTCGTGAAATAATGCATCGGTCGCCGAAAAGCTGCCCGGTGGTAACGTGTGCCTGCCACCAGCTCAACGGGGGAGAGGGGGGGTTGCACGCGGAGCTGCTCGTTACATCCGGCGTTTGGGGGGCATGCGGCCAAAAAGGGGGGGTCTCCCCTCCCAATTTCCCTCCTCCACACCCTCCCCCAAACCCCGCCCACCCTTACAACTCTAAACAACCTCACCTCCCCCCTCCATGCCCATGGCTAAACACGATCGGTTACGCCCTGACGATACCGTAAACACTGCGGAGTCATTGAAATTAAAGCCACGTGAATTATCCTTTCATTCAACAATCCGATGTGCGCAATCATCATACACACACACATACTGACTACGTATGTAAAGTGTGTATGTGGGTGTATATATCGTGCACTTTTGAGTTAGTCACTGCTGATGCCATGACCGCACGTGCAAGTAAAAAAATAAACAAATATGAACAGGAATGGTTATTCTTGCAGCGAAAAGTGATTTCTCTCGTAACAACCAGGTCAGAGAGCCTAGTGTCATTGACAACAGATTACACCATGAATGCACAATTGACTAAAACCTCCATTGGTAAATAACGCTACATTATACTAAACTATTTATATTTTTACTCTTTGTTTTTTTTGGTAAAGTCACGTAGGTAAAATAAAATAAATGAAAACAACTCAATTAAATCACGACGTTTCGGAGGCAACACAAGCTTCTGTCTTCAGGTGGAAACCGTCACAGCAAAATTGCCGTATCAAGTGAAGAGAGCTCTAAGAGACCCGATATTATATACAGGTTAAGGGGGGGAGCTTGTGTTGCCTCCGAAACGTCGTGATTTAATTTAGTTGTTTTCATTTATTTTATTTTACCTACGTGACTTTACCGAAAAAACCAAAGAGTATGAATCCTTGCAGTCACGAAAGTTTCAAATCTAGACTTATTTATATTTTACCAGGTAAGGCCCACTGAACTATATAGCTCTTGTTCAGAAGTGACCTGGCCACAAATGAAGTGGCTTATCACGTAAAAAATGTATTGTAGCCCAATACTCTAAACGCATGTTTTTAAATGTGGAGAAAGACCACGGGGAGAGAGGCATACAAACTCCAAATATACAGCAGGCTTCAGGGTTGGGATCGAACCCACGACCTCCTGTATACCAGGTGAGGTAGTTAACATCTCCTAGCCACCACGACGGTTGTTCAAATACAGATCCCACGTCGAGTCGTAGATCGTTGGGGGTCAAGTGCTCTTAGCGAGTACGGCTGGCGTAGTACGGACGTCGAGGGGACACGTGTGGCCAGCACCAAGCCAAGACCATCTTTGTCTTGCCCCGGTGCTGATGTACACACACCGCGAGCAGGTACTCATTTAACTTAGGCGAGGAGCTGAACAAAGTTCTCAATCATTCGCCGCTGATGTTGGCCGGAAGCGGTAATGCCGTCTGCCCTTCGCGCCGCCGCTCGTCGCGCTGTTACATCATTTCCAAACACGCACGCACGCACACGTGCACACACGCAGACTGGTGCCACGAGCCGCGTACATGCAGGTGAGTGGCACGTGTGCGGGTTCGTGTTTCGTCCCGCGTGCATAAACAGTTTATTATGCGTTTAGTGGCTGCTTTTGCCCGTCTCTTGTTCGCAAGGGGGGTTTTCCAGGTTGGACAAGGCCCTCTCGGGGAGTCCAACCTCAAGCGCCCAGTGGTTATTCATCACAGCTTCGGTCGTTTGTTATCGCGTTCGTTCCCCATTCTGTGGGGGCCCACGTCCCACTGACCCCGCATTTCCGCCACGCTACCGCGGGAATTCCCAGATGCACGCTGTTACAGCCGACGGGTTGCTTATTTTCACAGCCAAGGTGCCAAGCACCACACAAGCGAGCAAGTCCCGGAGCACAGGGTTCATTCCATGGGGACGGGTAGGCCTGTAGGTGGGGGTGGGGCGGAGCGGGCATGTTTCCCCATATGCACCCCACATTCAGAGTGTGCCTACCCAGGGTGGCTGAGGTGGCATTCAAGTTCAGGGTAACTGTGTCTGTACGGCCATTACGGGCAAAGCTGTTGACAGCACCACTCTCTTCCTCGCCCTGCTGTCAGATCCTGCACATTCTGCTCTCACGGTCTCATTCGACCCGAGGAGCTTTACGCTGAGGGTGTGGGCATGGGTGCCGCTCCATAACATGGATATGGGTGCCCCCACATCCATATTATTATTATTAGGTGGCAACCCCCCCTTGCTCCCCCCCACTGCTTAGCTGTGTTCCAGAATCTAGCCAGGCAGTTACGCCTTTAGTAAAAACATTAAAAATGGGAAGCCATTGATATTGTGTGAATTGCCGTCGTCAGCAGTTCTCCTGCTGTGTTTGTTTCGCCTGATGACGGCTGCTTGTGTTGCGATCGAAACGTCGTGATCTATTAATTTTCTGTCGACCTGACTTTACCGAAAGAACCAAAGAGTGTGGATTCCTGCAGTCGCGAAAGCTTCAAATCAAGATTGAATCAAATGTAAAGATATCTGTTACCAGAGTTTCCATTGCCTCTGTAGGCCTACAGTAAGACAGACGTAGCACATCTTAAGAAGGCTCCAAGAAAAGGATAGAAAGTGCCCAGACGTAATGTCAAACCATTACTTATTCCCACGGGGCTTAAATTAACGAGTTAATGCCCCAAAGCATTAATTATGACAATTTCCCGAGCAATTGTGGCAACGGGCCAAGACCCTCCAAGCAGGCTACATCTTTATGCGAAATGTCTCAAAGTCGTTAAAGAACAACATTCGGCAAAACACAGCTCAAACTAATGTCTCCCAGAGATAATCATATATCATTATAAAGTAATTAAATCCTATTTTCCACGCCAGATGCCTCGCTCAGCCTTGTGTAATACTGTTGTGGCATTATAGACTTCGTGAGAAGTTTTTAAGGCTCACATTGGTGCACAATGGGGTGGTACATCAAGTACCATACGTACTTTATCGTTTAAACTTTTTATACACACGTGCATACACACAAAGATGATGATCCCCTGTTTAGAGCTATAGAACAGTGCAACTGTTGGCTGGCATCTGCTAAGACTGATACTGTGCATGATGGGGAGGTGGTGTGGCTGGCCCAGTGCTGATGCTTATACACCTCACCAGGTACTAATTTCAGGTTAAGTCGACCTAGGGGAGACCCAGGACCAGTTCAGATATCACTTGCCACTGATATTAGCCATGACTGGGAATAGCATTCGGCCCTCTGGGTTTGTAGCACAGTGCGTTTGACACTCTGACAGCGCTCCCCAAAGGCAAAGCCCCCCCCCCGTGTAGCCTGTAATAGACTGATGGGACAAGTGCTGTTAGTAAGCACCGACGAAGGCCGGCACAGCACAGGAGGGGGTGGGTGGTCAACACCACGCACGGCCGCCTTTGTCTGCCCAGTGCTGAAATTTACACACTCTACCGGATCAAATATTTGCCACTGTTATTGATTGCGAGTGGGACTTGAACTCGGCTCGCCGGTTTCGAAGTGTAGTGTGCTAACCACTGCGCTACCGCTCCCCATGAACGCGCGCACACGCACACACTTGCGTACACCGACAGAGCCCTGACACGAACAGCGCTCAGCCAGCATGTCAGGCACTGCAAACTCCTGCCAGAAAAACAACAACACGGATAAACACAGCTCACACGCAATGGTAAATGATTACAGCAGACGCACACGGGCATGCGCGTTGTCATGCGTGCCAGAATTGGCGGCGTTTAACTTCGCTCCGTGCTAAACCAATACGGGAGCACTGTCAAGCTTCAAGAGCGTTCCAACGCCATGCCCCCACCCCCCAACACGCGCCAAGATTTGCAGCAAACAAATACGCGCGCGCGCACGCACACGCGCCGATCCCGCTGCCATCCGCGTTGCGACTAACATGGAGAGAAGCACGTTTGTATCCATGTTCAACTTATTTCGCACCGTACATAAAAAAAAACCGCGCTATTAGGAGGCGCGGGGGAAGGACAACAAACTAAACACCAAAAAGCAGTTCTAAAGAAATGAGTTATCAATCTAGACTTAAAAGTGCATAGCTCCAGTGGCTTCCTAACGTCGGAAGAAAGAGCGTTCCAGACGGCCGCAGAAGCACATCTGAAAGCGCGCGATGCAGTGGCCCTCTCTGTTCGATGGCCAGCCAAAAGCCGCTGCTGCGAGAATGACCAGTAATGGGATGGAAACGTGTACATGCCCAGCACGTTGGGCTGCTGAACGAGGGCCTCCCCGTCGCTACACATCGCACCAGGTACTTATTTGAGGTTGAGTGACTGCTGTTGGCTGCGAGCGGGAATCAAACTCAGGTAACCGGGTTCGTAGCTCAGTACGCTAACTGCTACACTACTGCTCCCCACATACACACACAGAGATATAAAAACAAAGACATACATATACTAATAGAGCACGTGGTACACGCTAAAACTGAACACTTTGCAGATGCTTTTCATGAGAGGATGTGTGAAGTTACTGACCTAGATGATTACTCAAGACATTATTGAAACTACAGACGGTGAATCTGCATAAACAGGATCCTCTATGCACGTGCTTATCCTGCCACGCGCTGTCCATTCCCCATCTCACACGTGATATCCCGTGAAGGATTAAGCTAGTGCGGGGCCTGTAGCATATGTTATAAAGGAGCCCTAAAAATATATATTAAAACACATACATTTTTTACTTGCATAGTAAAGATTGTATTTTTTTCATTTGCTATACAGCCAGATAATACGACAAATCGCTAACCTCAAACACCCAGTCGTTCATAAAAGTTGAAGGCGGCATAGTACTATAGTAATAGAGCAAGTGCAGAATCACTGATCCGGAATTTATAACTTGAAAGCATTTAGCGCGGGGCCCTTGAAAGTGCGGGGCCTGTAGCATTATGTAGCTACTTGTGCTGCTAGGATAATCCGGCACTGGTAATATCCCGTGACAGCACCGGACTGCTCATGCTTATTCTAACTCGCTATTCGCCATATTACACGCGTCTCTTGAATTCAAATCGACGACTTAAAAATAAGCCAAAAGGTCCCCTGTATAGCTTTCATCAGACTGTTGGGGAAAAGTGCTGTCAGCGGGCACCTATGAAGACCAGCATTGCACACGAGGGGGTGGGTGGCCAACACTACGCCCCAGTGCTGATGTTTTCACGTGGACAGAGCCACAACACAGAAAGACGGGGGAAAAGGTCCACCACACCCACACGAATATGTACGGGGTCCCACTTCCCATCTCGCGCCAGACAAGTGGGGACCAATCGGTGAGTTTTCGCGAGGAGGGACATCACCGTTTGCGCTTCTCCTCAAGCTGTCTCCATCGTCGGGTTATTGTGACAAGTTGTCTGAACATCTGCATTGCACCGCTATGGATGTTTTACATTTCTTCCCTTATAGCTCTGCGATCATCCACTCGCTTCCCAAAAGCCTCACTCCTGGCTTCTTAAAATATGCACAAAAAACACACACACACACATCTCTCAATCGCAGCTGTGAAACGGAGCTTTAATCTTTTTCCGGGCCAAGTGAACTTTTCTCTGAAGTATAAAAAATGCTCCATGGGTGCCAGTCCCCCACCATCCCCCCCCCCCATGCTACACTGATGACACTTCCCAGCCAGCGGAACAAATGGGGGGGGGGGGCCTTTAGCACATGCTCAACGCAACTCTGACATGAAGATAACCAACCGGGAACATCTCTATTCCTATGCGTGCAATATGTCTGCATATTTGTGTTCAGTAAAACAACCCCCCCACCACCCATCAATAACTCCGACAAAAAGGAGCGAAGGCCATAACGTTGAACGTATCCCTCGCGTCGCCTGCACAGCACCGCGCGTTGTGGTTTTACGTCGGCGAAGGCGACTCGTGTCTGATCGTGCTGCCTCTGCCGCTAGAGGGCCCGGCCGGATGTCCACTGAAGCTAATTTTGTTGACAAAACCCCGTGTTTGTGCTAAAAAGGCTAAATACTACTTTTGGCATTAGCCGGCGGCTGTTAAGGCCTATATATCCGTTTCCCTTAAATGCGTTTAAACATTTCTCAAGTTTTATAACGCAGGCAAAGATTCTCACATCTGCTGCTGGCTCGGTTCGCTCGGAACGCAGCTCATCCGGCCAAACATTTGGAGAGTGGGGAACCTAACCGGAACCCAGACACGCTTTTCCCCTGGAAGCGTTTTGGTGTTTTAATGTTATCCTTAATATTTTTAACGTCTGCAGTTATTTTCCCTCATCCATCTCAGATGATCGCTTTCAGGAGATTCTTGTATAATGGGTCAGTAGATATTACAAATAGGTAAAAGGATTTTTCTAAAGGACGTTAGTGCCTCTGCGGTAAGCTGTTGGCACTGGCAGTTGGATTATGTCTGGATGGAAGGATGGTTAAATCGGTGAATGGAGTTGTGGACTTGCGGGGCGGATAAATTGACAACAAACGATCACAACGTCCGTCAGAACTCGCACCGACCGCAGGAAACGCTCACGAACGGGAATACAACAAAAACATGTTTTTTAAAATCCAGAGCGCTTTGAAATAATTAAAAAAACAACAAGGAAATATTTTGGCAGTGGTGCACAAGCACAGATAACAAAATAAAAATGAAACTCACCATCTTCGTTAATAATACCACGCTATAGCATAACATTGTTTGGCAAACATATTCGGCTACCATCCTTCTTCACGACAGAGAATAATTGCCATTGCTCTGAAGTTGTTAGCTATGTCAGGGGATCGATTCCTGTCACGAGGCAGTGCCAATGATGAAGGTGGCCGATCTTTCCTTCTGGTCTGCCCCCGAAGCACTTTGCTTTGTTTCCTACAACATGGAAATGTCTGGCTCGGTCAACAGAAAATTAATGAGAACACCTGAGGATCACCAGCGCCAAGAGCTTAAATGTTACAGCCACTCAAAGAGCAATGGGATGGGTGGTGGGGGGGTAGTGGCGGCGGGGGGGGGGGGGGGGGAAGGCTAGCGGTGCTCAAACTAAAATTAAAACCGCGGCAACATTGAAGGATTTCTCAAACAGTGCCCCAGTGCAACCGGTCGGCGAGAGAGTCGCGCGGCCGGCGGGGCTGGAGGCCAGACATTAGTAGTAGATGCAATGCAACGGAGTCCGTGGGGGTTTGCCAGGTTCACGTTTTATTTCCGGACAGGTCAGCAGGGGGAGGGCGGTGGCAAACGCGAGCTGCCGAGGGGCAAAAGCGTCAGTTGGCGTGCCACGGCAAAAAGAACACACAAACCAGGCGGGCGTTAGTTGATGTTAAATAAAAGTAAATGAGGGATTGTTGTTGTTGCTGCTTTTGATCTTATGAGTCGTTTTTTTTGTTTCTTTGCTAACGGCATCATGCCATGGGACGAATACATTTCCATTCGGAAACTCTCGCAGCCAGCAGTGAAACACCTCGCGTCAGAGCACGGCCCTGGCAGATGATATGACAGAACACATATTTAATTCTCCGAGATTGAAAAAAATTAAAATTGAATACGATGTTTTCGCCCTGCAGTCATTGGATGAGATGATCAACTCCCGCTACACCTGGAAACCCATTTCAATCACGGGTGGTTACCTGGACTCGAATCTAGGATTCACAGCAGTGAGTGCCTGCTCAAGTGCTCTGCCCCAGCGTTAGCCCCGTGAGCCACATGACACGCTTTCATTGCTGTTATGAGTTTTTTTTGGTTAAAAACATTATTTGAAAGACTTTTTTAATTAGGTTGCCGAGTTTTCCACACACCGGAAATCCTGGGAAACCTCGCGAGCCAGGCTGCCCCTGAAAAACAAAACAGAGTAAAAATGTTAGAACAAAATTAATACATAAAATACACACCCACACACACATGCGCGGACATGCCTATGTACATATGGAGGAAAGCGGCCACCAAGGGGCTAACGCGCTGCGCTACGGAGTTTGCCATCCGAGTCCAATTCCTGACCTTGTCTGACATCAACAGCACATGATATGTGAACCAATCCCGGCACCTCCACCCCTCACCAACCCGCAAATACGGCCAAACATGTTGTAAAACTGACGCGAGGGAAGACTGAATCCAGAAATGCATTGACAAAAGGGCGATAAATTATAATAATGAATATTATTATTGTGTACATATGGACAGCTGTGCTATAATGTGCGGCGGAGGCTGATGTGTGTGGAGTCATGGCAGTGCGTACAGAAGATGCCACGACGGGGTGAATGCACGTGGGCAGGAGGAAGGGGTTGGCTTTGTGCAAATCTGAGCACCAGCCACACAGAGTTGAAGGGCTCCCAGAGGCTCCATCGCCCATGGACTTTGGCTCACAATTACAGTCATCTCGCGTTTCACGTGCGTTTACGTAACGCGATTTTTAGCGCGTTAGATTCATTTAGACTTATGTTTGTTGTTCGCGCACTATTATTGAATGAACGCACTCCAGCGCATTGGCCATGGTGTATGGAACTTGGTGCGAGCTAATCGTTAGTCGGGCAGCAAAGTTCAGTAACGATGCTGCCTGAGGTACAGTACGACAACCAAAAGCGCGGGCAGCATCAGCATCTCCTTCTCGCTCGCCATTTTGAAGATCCTGTCCACGTGACCTTTGTCTTGTGCACACATTTGCCTACCAATATGTCCGGTAAGCATCTCACCACGTGTTAAGAATATACTTTTCCATTAAATAGGTTGTTACTATCTTTAATACATGAATGGCATTATTGTAAATATAATATGTACTGTAACCAGTAAAATACGTAGATGTAAGCATGAGGTTCGGTAGTGTGCTCTCCCTAATCCCAAACATTTCCTTTATTTCTTATGGGAAAATTATGTCTAATTTACGTGATTTTAATTCACGCGCCATTTTTGAAGAACACAACCCCCGCGTAAAACGAGAGGTAGCTGTAGTTATTAAGGTCAGAGTGGCTGAGTGGCTCAGGGATCACAGCGCTGAGCCGGTACTGCTCGGATTACCGGGTTCCAATCTGAGATTTGGTCGCTCGCGATTAAACCGGTTACTCAAACGTAGCGAGTTGGAGTGTGTCTCAGTCTGGTCACCCAATAACTTGCACAAAAAATAATCGCGAAAAAAATGTTAGCCATTTTCACTTAATCTACAAATATTTCTCTGTAGAAGGGGTGCAGCTGGAAAAGTCGATGATATAAAAAAAGGTCACTTGAAGGAATTTTAGAAGCAGTTCTGTGATATCTCCTTCCGCGGGCCGTTTTCTAGCGCGCGGGGCGAATCACTGATCTGCGAGACTTTCCGAATGGACACTTCCAACTCGTGACGCAACGCCGCGAGCACAACAGGAGTAACGTTTAAAAGAAGACAAAAATAACTCAAAAGTTGAGGTCAAGAGTTAAGTTAAGGTCAGGGTCACGATCATAAAAACAACCCCCCACCCACCATCATCCCCACAGCCCGGGGGGGATGCTGGGATGCAAACGCAAGTGACGTGTTTGGCGGTGACACTCGCCCGACCCCACGGCGGCAACAGCACCTCTGGCCCTGAACGCAAACTCCCTCTAAACCACTTTAAAGCGAAGTCCTTTGGCTAACAGATTAATGGCGCTGCCTAAACGCATGGGTATAGATTGAATGATAAGGTTACACAATTAACCCACGCTGCATGTTTCTCTAATATAAATTACCTAAGGAATGGATGGGGGCGGGGAGGGGTGGTGGAGGAGGGGGAGAGGAGGGAAGGGGGGTGGTGGAAGGAGGTTGACACCACCATCTAAACAGGGGCCGGTTGTGAAAAAAATTCCAGCGAAACATTTCCTCCATCTGTCACCGAAAACTGTGCGCACGTCGTTTGCGACGTTGACGAACTCTTGGAGACATTTTGAATAAACAGCAGCAACAGCGGCGGCCAGCGACCAGTAGCCCCACCCCCCACCCCCGTCTCTCGCAAACTCAAGCCATGCACACCGACGCTGACAAATCGAGACGGGCGTTTCTCAGAGGATTTCTCGACCGGCTGCCATCGTTCAAAAGTTGGCCGAAATCCTGGCTTATCCTTGTTAAGGGATCAGATTGGCCGCTTACTGCTATACCCTGGAAATATTTCGTCCGTCCAATCCATCCAACCGTCGGGGGATGCTTCATGTGCTTTCACAAAACACCCCCGAAATAATTTGCTAAACACCTTACCACATAGCTTCCCAATATAACATTGGGCAAGATTGGTAAATAAAAAAAAGGTAAGAAAAAGAGTTTGCGCGCATACGTATAGAAACAAGTTTTCAGATGTATTAATGCGATCAGCGCTTGTGCATTATAAGGCGTCCGAGTGCCTGTAATGGAGCCTCCATTAATGGACTGGCTTTGCGAGCTTGTTATTTTACTTTGCTGCACTCGCCTCACTTGGGAATATCGTTATCAAACTGCGATGCCGTCGCTATTTGCATGGGATTCTGAGAGGCAATTAACAGCTGCAGAAAGTGTGTCTGCAGAGTTCTCAGAAATCGCGACCCCGGTGGCTAAACTTGCGTGGCTACAGGCGCCTCCTTGTTAGCGGTCATTTATACTCGCGCAATCTGGAACGGGTCAGATGACAACTCCGAGAAAACTTCAAACCCGCTACACGAGTCGTACGGATCGCGACAAATCGCAGCAAAGGGCCGCGTGGCCAAGACCAAAAAAAAAAAATCTCATTGTAATAATAAATCCACTGGCCACGGTTGTAACTGTAGCAAACAGCCTGGCATAGTGAGCGTGCCTGGGGTGATGTGAAAAAGCACCACATTAAACAGCCACCTCGTCCGAAAATTGAGCGCGCTCTAAGAACAGAATGTGCGTTACACGTGGACGTAATTGCATTTTAACGCGGCACTTTGTCAGCCGGCTGAGCAGGAATTCAAGCGAGAGCCGTGCGCGCTGGGGTGGTTTTTTTTTTTTCCCGCACCGCACTTTTACTGTGCCCGTATCTCTCCGCCATGAAACGGGAGAGAGACGAACGTCGGAAAGTGGGCTCCCAACACATCTTTCCTGGAGCGACGCTGGCATAGGGCCCGGCTCATTCCCCCCCTCCGCCCCCTCCCCCGGGGTCCGAATCACCGCGAGTATCGGCGCAGCCAGGTGTACCGAACAATCATTGCTGCTATAAACGAAACGCAGCTTCGGCCAAAGTTGCAATACGGCTGTTCCATCTGCAGTGGCACACCCAGTTGCTATCTCGCCGCACCCGACACAATTCAAAGTGAAATAGCTAGTGTAATCGATGATCTAGGACTCACCGGTTCACTCCCCAGTCACTGGCTCACTGGTCGACAGTTGCCTCCTTATCGCTCTTCTATCGCTACTACCGCGGTTACTCTTCCCGTGAACTTCACTCATTGATTCGCTCCAGTCACTCGCTCACCGGTGATTAGTCACCTCCTTTACATGAACATCACTCATTGATTCCTCCAACTCAGTCGATGGGACTGACTGTTTCGTCTCGACCATACCCCGTGTTCGATCACCACACCGCAGCTCACAGTGCACCTCTTTCTGCTTCTTCACTCGCACTGCTCCACGTCGGAATTCCCTCCCATCCGTCTCTTTCGCCGAAAGTCCTTAAAACCGCCTCGCACAATTAAAGAAAACGCATTAACTCATCGATTGCACTTTCCAACGGTGCTTTTTCTGTTGCTGGCCTCTTGGCGTTTCGGTCCTTCGGGTCTGTGCCCAGCAACCGCGATGGAAAATAAAATCCCCATGGCCACGGGGGCCTTTCGCCTCGCGATTTAACATCGATGTGGCCGCGATGGCGGCGCGACCAGGACAGCACAGGGCTCAGCCGACCGCCCCGTTAGTCCTCTGATGAGATTTTTCTTTAAAAAAAAACCTTTATTAATTTGTTTCTTTCTTCTAGATAAGGAGCGTCGAAATAGGGCACGCGCGGGGGATGCGTGAGGAAAACTTTGAACAAAAAAATTACGGTGATTTTAAGAGAGCGTTGTAGTTTTTTTTGCCATTTTGAAGGATCAGGGAGCATCAGTGGAGTAGGCTCATTATATTATCAGCCCATGAATGAGGCCAAGCGGTGTTTATGTTTGACCCGATCGCACTGCTGCTGCGAGCTCACGGTTAGGCGGGGGGGGGGGAGATAAAACACTGCAAGATTTTACTTTCAACGTTCAATGCTCAGCGTTGCAAAAGGGATTCAGGTTTTTTTTTTGCCCCAAATAATTATGTTTGCGCGTAAAATAGGTATGGGACTTTAAGAAAACGCAGCGACTGCACGCAGACTCTGGCCAGAAACTCAAACTTAGAAAAATTAAACAAACAGTCGCTGGAAATCGGATTCTAATTACACTGGATACGCGTTTTTGTTGCCCAGAACCACACGAAGTCACGCAACTGCCCGCTGACAAATGGCTCTACGATCAATTTATAATTTGCCTCTTTAATTCCTTGCAAATAATGGCCGTTCGTTAATCTTTACTGCTGCTACACGTTGCCGCAGTGTGCCGAGGCTGAACGGACCGCAGGATTAAAGTCTACGCGCGGTGGATTGTGCGGCTCACAGCTGGAACAAACACCCTCGGAGGTTAAATCCCAAAAGTGGTTTGACGAGGCCCATCACCATTCCTCAGGGTGGGTTAAAATTACGATCGCTTTGTGGAGATCTACAATTATATCTATACGGCTGGAATGGCCACTGCCACGGCAAATGTAGAATCTTCGCCACTGGCTCATGAATGGAAACGGATATGAGAATGGCCCCATGCTCGCTTGTGTGTGGGGCCGTACACTTTGACCCTTGTGTAACGTTACTCGAAACTTCGTGGAAACTTTCGGTTGTAC